TCCCTCGCTCGATCATCCCTTCGAGCGTTTGTGGTCTTTGCCTTTCGCATCGTCCCATTTGGCCCCCCACCCCCCCTTCAAAAGCTCACGTGCGGCACGTGCCATGGCGAGGTCGCGCCGAAAAACGAGACTTGCGAAAAAAAACGGCCCATCGAACATCGACACGCGCAAGGCAGCTCCCGAACCCCTTCACCCACTACAGGCAACAACACACAGCAAGAGCTGGTCACCCCCGGCTCTCAGGCCTGCGTCCCGCCTTGGCCAGCCGCACCCACAATGGGACCAGCATGCCGCAAACAGTAGCCAGAAAATAAGCCACACTCTGCTGCAAAAGCTTGCAAAGCCGCCGCACCCGACGTCACAACGTACAATTGAAGAAAAGCGAATGCGTTTCCCTCAGATTCGTACCAATCCGTCACAGCCGCCTAGCCCCCGCACGCGTGCCGACTCGTAGCGATCGAGCACGTGCCTGAACAGTTCAGGTCACCGCCGACACACCCTCCACACTCGCCACCGCCACGCAGACACCCATCACGCAAGTGATGCAGCCACCGTTCGCAACGCATCAAGCCGCGCAAGCAGCTCGGCAAAGTCAAAGACGCCTACGTTGAGCCGCAGCGGGTCCTCCAACAACAGCCCGTCCACATCCGGCGCCCAGAGCCTGCACAGCTCACACCACTCGTCCACATGGCTCATGAGACCGACACACCGGAGGCCAAAAATCTGCTCGGCAGCCAGCTCGTGAACGCCGCCTCCATTCAAGTGCTCCTCCATTGGCTCGCACACGCAGAATCGGAGAACTTGGTGCAAGGCGATCTGCGCCGCAACTAGCTCGCCTTCACTGCTGCCGCCGCTGCTTCCGCCAAACACGCCCGCCTCGGCCCATGGCCGTGGCGAGAGTAGCGCCACCAGCGAGACCACAATCGACTCGAGCGTCGACGACGGCGTCCAAACCGGTCCACGCCCCTCCCATCCTGGACAGTTGCCGAGGACAGGAAGTGCCAACGGCTGTGGCGGCCGCAGATGCGGATGCACCACTGCCCCGCTTCCGGCTCCAGTCACCAGCGTCACTCCGGGTGCACTCCACGGATAGTCGGCTGGAAAGATGACGTCAAACTCGAGCCAGACGCCCGCAAACACCGCACCATCCCCGGCCCGCCCCTCACTCCCCGCAACCCACACCTTGACCACATCGTCAGCCTCCTTGCTCCGCTCTACTCGCACGTTCTTGTACTTGAGCTTGCGCACTCGCGTCACGTCCAGCTCGACTCGTCGCGATGCCTGCGCAGAAAGCCGCGGCCGCAGCCGGGCTTCGCTCGCCACCCGCTCGATGAGCGACTCGGCCACGGCAGCGTCCAGTTGCACCGCAGACGACGATGATGACGACGAGTCAGCTCTGCTGGCCCCCTCGCCCTTACCTTCACTACGCGACACTGCCGCAAGCGCCTCCAGCAACGACTCGCGGCCCATTAGCGAGACCGCCGTGGGCGACGGCGGCGGCGGCGTCGAGGTCAGTAGGCCCCGGTTCGAGCTCATCGCCACACCTCCGACATCCGTCTGGAGTGCCATCCCTCCGCCGCCCGCACCCACAAGCTCTCCATTCAGCTCTCGGTGGAGCTGCAGTGCGACCTCGCGGTCTCCCCCAGCTCTCCCGACAGCCATCGTCTCCCTGCTTCCTCCTGCACAGCTGCTCGGCCCGGCGCCGCTCAGGCCACCTGGGTCCTTGTCCATGCCACACCTGCTTACTCGCCGGCTGCTTCCGTCTGCACACTCTCTCACACACGACACGCAAACGCAAACACGTCACGTTGCAAGTCGGCTGTGCGCAAGTACTGCTCCCACGTCTTCGAAACTTGGAGAGAGCATGCGACCGTGAGCCGTCCGGCGGCCACCCGGGCAAAAAGGCCGAACCTCCGCACACCCACCGACCACGCGCTCGCTCACCGTGACCACTACCTCTCCCTGCCCCGCCTGGCCGTTACCGCCTCGCGCCCGAAACCCCACGGGCCACTCTACAGTGGCACGTACTTCAACGCTCCGCACAACGACCTGCCGCTACCTCACCGCCGCTGCCATCCCGTTTGTCCACCCTAGCCCCAACCCCCTCTACTGCCCGTGCTCAACATGCTGCGTGGTCTCAACAAGAAGATCAGCAGATCCAAGCAGAAGCTGATGCAGAAGATCGGCAAGGCCGACTCGACGACTGATGACGAATACGATGTGCTTGCTGCAGACTTTGAGGCCCTCGATGAGGCCGTGGCGTCGATGGCCGCCGCCACCTCCAGGTACGTCTCCGCGCTCCGAAGCCTCACAGCCGCGCGAGAAGACATTGCCGACGCGCTGGGCTTTATGTTCAAGACCTCGCGTGAGAAGGACGGCGATCTTGGGACCGCCGCACGAGCGTTTGTCTCGGGCCAAAACAAACTAGGAGGCATGACCTCGGTCGCTGTCGCCCAGATCGAGGCCTACTGCTTCTCGGCCCTCAACGACTACACTGCCGCCTTTGCCCCGCTCCGCACCGAGATGAAGAACCGCGAAAAGTACCTGCTCGACTATGATCGCTTCCGCCGCCAGCTCGACTCGCTCATCGAGAAGGGCGCCAAAGAAGGCAAGATCATCAAAGTCCGCGAGTCCATGGGCAAGGCCCAGACCCGCTACGACGCCCAGAACCGTCGCGTCTCCCGCGACCTCATCCGCTTCTTTGATGCCCGCGTCACCATTCTCGAGCCAGTCTTCCAAGCTTTTGCCAAGGCCGAGGAGGAGTACATCACCGCCTTTCAGATCGAGGCCATGCGGACTCGCTCCCTGCTCCCTGGCTTGGCCAGCAACCGAAGCGTCGGCCTCCACCCCACACAGGGAAGCGATCCAGACATCCGCCCACGCGCTGCCTCGATCCCAGTCCATCTTGATTCGTCGCTCCACAATATGGGCGAGCTATCGCTCTCAGGCGACCCGTCGCTCACGCTCCCGTCATCGTCTAGTCTGTTGCAACTGCCGCACAGCGCGCCGACGTCGCCGACCGCCTCCATTCCCCCGCTGGTAGCTCCTCCTCCTTCCACCGTGCCTCCCACGCCTGACTCGGACTCGAACCCGCTTCCACCGCCCATCTCTACCGCTGGCCTCTTGCCTGCAGACATGCAAGCCCGCCGTGACAAGGCCCGTGATCGCATCGCCAAGCTCACACTCAGCCGCGCCGAATACGTCATCAACCTCGAAATCTTCGAGCCCGACACCGACGAGTACGAAGAGTCCCAGTTTCACATCGAGCGCATTGACGTCGAGCTTGCCAACGCCCGTCGTGAAGAGTCTGCCATGGAAGACGGCATCCGCGCCCACCTCGCAGCCAACATCGCCCCACTGTCCAACCCGAGCGGGCTCCCGATCCGAACCCGCTTCCCACTGCAGACCTTCTCAACCAGACCCGCGTTGTTCTCATCGCCATTCACGACTACTCTGCACTTGCCGACGATCAAGTCTCATTCGTCACAGGCGATTCAATGATTGTTGCCGCACTGCTCTCGCCGCAATGGTACCAGGGCATGGTCCAGCGGACCGGCGACTTTGGCAAGATCCCCGCCCACCTCGTCACCATCTCCTCCAACCCGTCGACCTCCTCGTCCTAGCCAAGCCACGTCCGCGTTTACAACTGCGCCGCGACTCCTCCGCGCACACCACCCGCTACCCGCTCCACTCAATCCCGTACCGCAAGCCCTAGTCGTCATCTGCCCCCACCGCCCTTTTCGCCGTCGCAAACTCGCGGCTCCAAGGCCTCGCCGCTGCAGCCGTCCTTGTTGCCTCATTTGTTGCCTCACTTCTTGGTAGCCAGATAAATGACTACGCTCAGAATCACAATCGCCACAATCAACGTCATGATGCCGCCACTGTCACCCGCCGTCGTATCCCCACATCGCCCTCAATAGTGAGCTGAGTGCCGCTTGCCACAAACACAACCATGGAACCCGGCCTGCGCGCCACCAGCGAACCGTTCCCACCGCCTCCCCCCCCCCCCACACACACACAGACACACACATACGCAGCTTTTGCCTTGCGGGTGAGGACAATGACCCGCTTGGTCTCATTCTGCACCTTGCGCGACGACTTCTCGGTGTGCTTCTCCAGGTCGTCAAGCATGTCAATCTGGGCGTCGATCTCGTCGCCGAGCCGGGTGCCCAGCACCTTGCTGTTCTGCACAGAGACAAGCAGCGAGTCGAGGCCCTTGTCCTGCTCCTCCATAGTGGCCTTTTGAATCGCAAGCAAATCCTGGTTGCTCTCCTGCGGCTCGCCCCACTGCTGGTACGCCGTGTCCGACCCATCTCGACCAGCCATGTCGAACGAGCTCGGCTGCGACAAGTGTGCTACCGGCCAAGGCCAAAGACGTCGATTTCAATCCCACTCATCCTCCTCCTCCGCTCCGACGATGCAGTGCCAGCCGCAGGTCTGACCCACTCAAACGCTGCTTCTCCAACCCAAAAAGAACAGCCGTCGGCTCGATGGCCAGAACCTCCGTGTACGACTTGCCGGCGACTCGCAGCTCGTCGCCGTACGTCGCCTTGAGCACCTTGGCCGCAGCGATGACAGCGCGTGCGCTCGCGTCCAAAGCCTTCTTCAACTTGCCACGCGACTTTTCCTCTACAAGCCGATCCGTCGACGAGCCGCGCATGAGCCGGCGAGGATCCGATGCCTGGCTCTCAAACGCCGCAAACTCCTCCATCACAGCCTGCCGCTCCTCCACCCGCGCCGCAGCAGCCTCCCACGCCTGCAGCGCGTCCTGCAGCCATTTGCCGGTCTCGGGTTGTGAATACTTGACCGCCATCGCAAGCTTGTCCTCAGTTGAGAACGCCAGCCGCCGCCAGAGGCTATCCAGCCGTGCCAGATTAGCCGCCTGCACCTCGGCCTCGTCAGCCGTTGCGACATCGAACAGCGGCCGCTGTGCACAGCCGTCGGCCTCGTCACCATCTCTTGCCGCCTCGCCATTCGTGCTCGAGCCGCCACTGTCTTCGCGCACCAGTGGACGACCCACAACAGCTGAGCTCTTGCGAGCTGGCGCTCGCTCATGACTGGCACGACGTGGCATCGACGGCGGACGCGCCACGTGCGTGCCTGCCCGAGACCGAGTCGGACGCATGCGCTTCTCGCCCTTGCCGTCTCCAGCTGGCACCAACGTCGCTGCCCGATTGCGCTGTCGCAACGCGGGCGTCTGGTCGTCGGGCTCGGCCGCCGGCGACTCGGACGGGGTAGAGAGTGCAGCAAGCCGTGCCACAGCCTTGCCCACCTCGCCCGACGCCGCCTCGAGATTGACGCGGACCGCCAGAGGGACACCTGGCACAGAGCCGGCTGTGGCTGGCACCCGCAAGCTTCGCGCCGCGTCGCTGTCGCGCTTCTGGTCACTGCTTCGGCTCCTTGTTCCTCCGGCATCGTCATACACCGCCGCCGCAAGCCGCAGAGACGGCGACTTTGCCGCCCGAGCCTCCAGAAACTGCGTAAAGTCTTCCCGGGTAAACGGCAGTGCCCGAGGCACCCGCCGTCGCTTGCCTCGGCGTGGCGACGACGGTGGTGCCGGCGATGGTGATCCCGGTGTCGTGCCTCGCGAGTGTGGGCGGATTCGGTCGCTGGTCCGAACTGGCGACGCACGGACTGGTGATGCTCGGACCGACGATCGCCGGCCGCGCCACTTGGCGGCCAGCTTTTCCAGCGCTCTTGATCGAAGCTTGGGTGCGACAGGCTCGGCCGTGGCGTCGGCGTCGTGCCGCAAGTGTGACGTCGCCTCGGACGCCACCAGCTCGTCGCAGAGTTTCTGGACTTCAAGGTCGATGTGGGCCTCGACGTTAAAAACATCAGCCTGTGCGGCTTGCAGCCGCTTGTGGTGCTCATCACCCACAAGAGACTGAAACGTGATTGGCGGCCGCGGCGCAAGCGCCGTCATGTGAGCCGCCACCCGCGGCGCCACCCGCGGGCCAGCCGCACGCAACGCCAGCGACTCGTCAATCGCCACATCCAGCACCTTGGGAAAGGCGGCCTTGTTGGCCGGAACTGGCTTGGCCGGGCTGCCCCTCGACCCGTCCACGCGCCCCCGTGCCGGCTTGCCCCCGTTTGGCAGTGGCTTGTTCGGTGGCCGTGGCTTGACTTCGAGTCCGGCCAGCTCAACCAGCTCAAGATCTGACGGCACGTCCAGCGACGGCTTGGTCACCTCGGGCCCAGACATGTACGGGAGGTGCGAGGTGGTGAGTACAACCGGCCGACCCGGACGCTCTCTCGCCATGGCTCGCGTCTCATCAATGATCCGCCGCACGCCCGAGAGATCGATCGGTGCCACCCACCGATCCTTGCCCAGCTTGGGCGCTGCCGCCGCCGACTCACTCGCCCGCGCAGCCACAGCCGCCGCTGCATGCGCAGACTGCACCCGCAGGTAGTCCTCCATCTTGTCACGAAACGATGCGGCTTTGAGCTCGGCCCGGAGCGCCGCTCCGGCCTCGGCCACAATAGCGGCGCTTGCATTGAGCACTGTTTCGGAGATCTGCCGATGCATCGAGGCATGTGAGGTGTTGAGCGAGCCGCCTGATCGCGAGCCCGAGACCGCTGCTCCGCTTGGGCCACTCGGCGCAAGCATCGACGATAACGCCAACGACGACGACGACGACGACGACGACAATAAGCTTGTCTCTGGCGACGTCTGTCCAGACCGCGACGAGCCCGGCGACGAATTTGATGACGAGATCGACTCCAGGTCGCCCATCGACTCGACCATGACCGAGAGCATGGCCGACGATAATGCAGACATGTGCCGCAGCGAGTGAGCCTGAACAAGATGCTTGTTCTCGGCTTTGCCGCCAGCAACAGCCGCCAGACTCTTGGTCTTGACAATGGACGACGTGTCGTCGTCGTTGTTCAGCCGACGTGCTGGATGAGCCACAAGCTTGCGAGAGGCAGCAACCTGGGCCTCGAGCGAGCGCTGCTCAAAGACGGTCAGGTGGTCACGCATCTCGCGACTCTTTTCTTGGCTCATCATTTCCTTGACCATGGCATCCCGAATGTCCGAAACCTTGATCTGCTCGCGCAGCTCTTTCCGGTACTCTTGCTCGATGCGATCGCTGTTGACCTGCTCTGGAAAGATGCCGCGCCTGTTGAGCGCCTCGCGTTTGCGATCATACTTGGACCGGAGCTTCTCCTTGACCACTTTGATGCGAGCGTTGACAAGATCCTCGAACCGCTTGTTCTGCTCGGGCGTGAAGGCCGGATGGCTCATGTCGACGCGCTGGCTCTCCTCGGCGTGGAGCGCCTTGAGCAACACATCAGTGACAAACTCGCGCATGACCAACTTTTTGTCAGTCAGTGTCAAGCCCTGGGTGTGCTCCAGATCAGTGAGCAGGTGTTCGACCACCAGCTGGACGACCTCGTTCGAAACGGTGGGATCCGCGGCGCTATTGACCTGCTGAGCCGGTGCCTCGGGCGGCGCAACCCGCGCGTACTCGGCCAGCCCAGCATAGTTGGGATCAGTCTCCAGTGCTCGTGTCGCCGATGGTGCATACCGCGCCATGGCCTCAGTGGCTGCCGACGGCCCAAAGAACTGCTGGTAGTAGTCATGGAGCGAACCGACGCGATCGAGCCGGTAAACACAGCGCTCATCAGCGAGCCCCTTTTGCACGCTTCTCTTGGCGGCGAGCTCAGACAAAGCGCCTGGCCCAGGCTGACCTGCGTCGTGAATGCCGAGCTCGACCATACGGTCGTGGATGACCCGCTCGGCCGCACGCTGGGACCTATGGCGCTTGGTCAGCCGGCGGGTCTGGTCGCCGCGAACATGCCGCTTCTTGGTAAAGTATTCCTGAACCGCGTTCCGGCGCAAATCAAGCCGATGCCGCTTGAATCGCCTCTTGACCTGTCGCCGATGCTCGTAAGAGTTGAGCGCAGGCGCCGTCGGCGCGCCCGACGTCTTGGTCGTGTACGTCGGCGCCGACGTTGTCACCTGCCGCGCCAGCGACTCGAGCATGTTCTCCTCAGCCGTCCCACTCCCGCGCTCACCACCCCCAGCTCCTCCATACCGCACCACACTCTCTTCTTGGTCACGCCCCGCCACCTTGCCTTTCCCACCCTACGACAACTGTTGCCCACCCACTCCCACCTGGTTCCGGTTTCAGAGCCAACAAAGTGGAGTCACCCGCTTGGGCCACATCAGACCGCCACTTCAGCTTCGACCCCCCAGATGGACAGTAGCTGGTGCGATACGAAGACTGCACTGGATGAGACAACACAAGTTGGTTCACAGTCATGTCTCGACTCTTGCATCCTCAGGCCAGGTCAAGATCGGTGACTATGCTAGCCGAGGCCATCAGCTTGCCACAGGCCTACAGCACACAGCCATCGCACAGACTTGGCATTCTTACGACAAGCTGCACATTCATCACACACAACACTCACACTACATCCAAATACTATGTACTTTACACTGTCCATATTGACACATCCTTTTCTTCACACTCTCATCATCATGCCCATCACCATCAATCACATCTCAAACTGACTCGGTCACTGATCACAAAGGACTTCACAGTGCTCACCTCCTCCCCCGCTCCACTTCCGTATCTCTCTCTCTTCTCCCCTCCCTTCCCCCCTCAACACCCATATACATCTCTCATAACATGTCTGAAACGCCAGTGTGCACCCGTACCAACTGCGGGAAGCTTGTGGACGACGGCGAGTGTGCGTACCACCCGGCAGCTCCGGTCTTCCATGAGCGGAAGCGGACCTGGCCCTGCTGCAACGTCTCCCACACCTCGTTTGATGACTTCCTTGCTGTGCCTGGCTGCACCACCGGCCCACATCAGGTGCCTGGTGCTAGTTCTGCCGATGGTGCAAGCAAGGCAGGTCAGGCTCGCCAGCCAGCGAGCGGCAAGGTTCCGCGGTTCTATGTCCATCTCGACGCTGAGGGCGTGGGCAAGCCCGTCCCGGACTTTACCGCCGTCTTTGAGCTCGATCCTGCCAACACGCTCCGCAGAATCCGCGAGGACTTTGTCATCCAGTACAACCGCCAGCACGGGGCAGAGTATACGCTCAAGATTGCCACTGTCCGCCTGGTCGACGGTGACGGACCGGCTGCTGCCGCGCTGGACCTTGACACCCCGCTGCCCAACGTGGTGACACCCGGCGCGGACGTGTTTTGCTCTGTCGTCACTTTTCAGCCGATTGCTACACCCGACGCGGCGCTCACACCCAATGCCGCCTCATCGTCGGCCGAGGCTGCCGAGGCTACCGCTGCGGCTACAGCTGCGGCTGCCGAGCCGCGCGATCCTAACGCGGAGCGGACATGCCTCAACTACACGTGCGGCGGCACCTTTACCGACGCGACCAATGCCGACGATGCATGCACGTTCCACCTCGCACCGCCGTTCTTCCACGACGCCTCGCAGGGCTACCAGTGTTGCTCCCGAGTCATGTCGTTCGACGAGTTCCAGGCTATTCCGCCGTGCCAGACAGGTCCGCACTCGGACATGCCGCACGAGCTCCGCCCAGTTGTTCCCTTCCCATCGACAGACGACGAAGTCGTTTTCTCGCAGGACAAGACCACTATCTCGCTGACCTTCAATCTCCCGGGTACAGATGCCTCGGGAGTCGATGTTGACGTCGAGGACGACAACATCATGGTCATCATCTCCCGCTCCGGTGAAAAGGACTTTGTCTACACCGTCGACCCGCTCCACGCCGAAGTCAAGCCGGGCAAGTCGTCCGTTGCCATCGACGGTGATGCTGTTGTCATCACCTTCACCAAGGCCTCCAAGGCCGAGTGGCCGGCGCTGCAGGGGTAAGAGCGCGCGCCTCGCCTATTAAACAAACTCCGCCGTTGCATCCAGCTGCGCCTGCAACACCTTGAGCACCTGTGAGACGTCGCCCACGTGAAGCGCGCTAGCATCCAATGTGCCTGCCGCTCCCGGCGCAAGCACAGCACCTGCAAACGCCTGAGTCCGCGCAGAGATCACGCCCTGCTGGCAGTGAAGCACCTTGATCATTCGGTCAAGCTGCTGTCGGTAGCCGTCGCGCTCGGCACGAACCAAAGCCAGCTCCTCGAGCACGACCGCCATCTCAGTTGCAGTAGCTTGCAGTGCTTGCTGTTCTTCCTCGGCTCTGGCCTCGCCCTTGTCGACAGTAGCAGGCTCATCGCTGCGTCGAGCCACGACTTGCGCCTGAGCCGCCGCCAGCTCGCCACGGACTCGGACCATCTCCTCCTGCATCCGTTCAATGCTCGCACGGAGGACACGCTCTCGGGCCAGCGCAGCCTCCAGAGCCTTGGAATCCGACTCGACCCGTGCCTGACAACCAGCGTGCTCTGCCTCGAGCGCCTCCAGCTTCTGCACCACCTTGTCGAGCTTGTTCTCATACGCCGTCATGTCCCTCACCAGCGCCGCCTCGCGCTGCAGTGCCCGGTGAAGTTCCCCAGACATGAAAACTATCTACGCAGAGATGTGTGTGCCTGTGCTCATTGTTGTTGTTGTCGTCCGAGTCGCAATTCCTAGCTCCCCCTTCACGGCCCCTCTCTCTCCTCCTCTTGTTCGACACCCGATGTCGTTACACTGTGCAGCCGCCTGCCTGCACCCAATTCGGTTCATTTGACCGTCTGTCAGCCGTTGGTCACACCCGCACACAGACAGTCGACGGCAGACAGCAGACGGGGAGACAGCCGTCCCACACACGCTTGGCCACTTGACTCTCCTCCACTTAGGCAAGCGGCTACTGCGGAAAAGCAACAGAACGAGGGAGTTATGCGCAGTGGGGAAAAGTCTGTCTTTCCACTCGGGACGCGGGTCGAGTTCTATGGCCTTCGTGGCACAGTCCGCTTCTTTGGCCAGACGCAGTTTGCCAACGGAGTCTGGGTTGGCGTCGAGCTGGACGTGGCCGAGGGCAAGAACAACGGATCGGTGATGGGCCAGACCTACTTTACCTGTGCTCTCAATCATGGCCTCTTTGTTCGTCCTTGGCACCTGCGCAAGGTCGACGACCTCCGCAAGTTTGGCAAGCAGTCCATGTCCAAGCACGGAGGCCGCCTCGAGCGCCGTCGCGCCATCGAGGAGGCCGGCATGACTCGTCCGCTCCGCACCGTCTTGCACTCGCGCGAGGAGGACAAGGCCTATGTCTCTTCCATCAAGTCGCGCATTCGCTCGCGTGATCGGCAGGAGCAGCTTGCCGCCCGCCGCATGCGCAAAATGCGCCGTGCCAAGGAGCGCTACCTCCGTGAGACCATGCCGGCCAAGAAGGCTGCACGTGAACGGACTCGCGAGCGCCTCAATCGCGCGCTCCGCCTGGCACCTGGAGGCGCAGATGGCCGCTCGCCGTCACCCGGCCGTCCTGTCGCTGTCCCCGCTGGCTTTGACCCGACCGTCCGCCTGCCGACTGTTCCGTACTACAACCCGTCGCTGCAGCCGTGCCGCTTTGAGGTCGGCGACCTCATCAGGACCAACAAGGACCGCACTACCGCCAACTGCGCCGGCGTTGTCCGGTACATCGGATACGTCGAGGGTGAGAGTGGGCTGTGGGTCGGCGTCGACCTCGACCGCCCGCCGCGTATCGATGTTGAGCCGGTCAAGCCCTCGCGTTCCCACGCGCACTCGCGCTCACGCAGCAAGCGCGCCAAGCACCAGTCACAACGCAACGCTCGCATCCTTGCTGCCATCCGTGGACCCCACTCGGGTGTGTGGAATGGCGCGTATTACTTTGAGACCAAGGTCAAGTGCGGTCTCTTTGTCCGCCCCACTGCGCTTGACGTTATGGAGCCTGGCGAGGTCGCGCTTCGCAAGCAGCATGAGGAGGATGAACGGCGCGCCAAGCTTGATCAGATGGGCTTTACTGCTGGCGCCGTCTCGCTCGAGGCCGCTAATCCGTCGCCGGCCTTCCAGCCCATTACCAAGCAGGTCACCAAGTCGCCGCCGCGCAACACCTCGATCATCGCCATGAACGCCACCCGCGTCGCCGCCGCTGGAGCGGCGAGTCGCGCCCCGGCAAGCTACAGCGACTACGACTATGACTACGATGACGACGACATGGCGCCCATCCCCATGCAGGCGGCAGCCACGCCGACGCCCGCGCCCCGCACCCAGGCGCCGGTGCCGGACTCGGACTGCTTGTCTGACGACCTCTCTCTGCCTGCTGCGGCCCAATCAACAGGCTCGCTCGATGCTGCCATGAACTCACGCATCGTCTCTTCCGCCCTCGATCTCATGGCTAGGATGGATGCTGTGTTTGAGGCTGCTGCTGGCGGTCATCCGCTCGACGGGCCTATCGCCAGCCTTGACCAGTCGCTGGGCATCTCGCGGACCACCCTGGGTGAGCTCTACGACTATGTGGCTGACGCCTCTACCGGCTCGTCAATCGATCCGGCCTTCCTTTCCGCCTCTGCGGCTATGATTGACACCGGTGCCGAGCTCTGCGATGCTGCCGGATCCGGCTCGGCCGCCCTCCACGCTCTCTCGCTCTCAATCCTCGAGGGCTACCTCGACAACATCCTTGATACCATTGTTGTCACGCCCGAGACTGCAGCGGCCAAGGCCCGGACTCTGGCCGCAAGCATCTCGTCGCATCTCGCCGAGCTGGCTGCCCAAGGTGCGTGATGAACGACGTCGGACGATCTCATGAGAGATGGCGCTGTACGCTGTTGCGCCATGTGAGTGAGGAGAGGACGGGGGGTGGGGACAAGGGGAGCGTGAAGAGATGAAGAGAGAAAGTGTGTGCGGATGTGTGCGCACTACTACCGAGTGTCCCTCCTCGCCGTACACAACTCACAGCGCGCAACTCACGACGACCTTTGATGCCTCTACAGTTGCCCGCAACTCTGCCACTCCCGAACTGGACTCTATCCCTCTGCCCGAGACCGCGTCATCGCCCAAGGCTACGCCGTCGTCCGAGCCCACGCTATCGCCCGAGGCCACACCATCGCCCGAGGCCACGTCAGCGCTCAAGCTTACACCGTCACCCGAGCTTGGGTCCACGTCATCGCCCCCCATGAGCCCGTGTCTGCGTCGTCGCCGGAGCCCATGCCATCGCCCGAGCCTGCTCCGGCGTCATCGTCCGTCTCCGAGCCGACCCCATCGCCTGAGCCCGCGCCATCCCCTTCTGGTGTCAAGGCACTTGGCGCCAAGCTCAATCTCAACCTCATGATGCCGGGCGCCGGTCCGCCCAAGATCAAGCGGCCGGCTGCAGGAGGCGTGGCGGCGCCGTCGAGCGCTGGAAATCTCGACCACAAGACTAGGGCTCGTCCCGCGCCAAGGACTGGCCGCAGGCCGCCGTCGCGCCGCCCGCGAAAGTAACACCTCTTCCCTTGCTGCTATGGCTGCACAATGTGGTTGAGCTCCCGAAGGTGGAAAATCTCGGAGGGGATGTTGTCGATTGGTGTGCCCGCGAGATTGAGGTACCGCAGCTTGTCCAGTAGGCCGACTTCGGGCACGTCTGACACAAGCGTGTACGAGAGGTTAAGTCGACGAAGAGAGACGAGTGAGAGCGTTTCGGCCGGCATGGCCTTAAGCCCTGGGTTGTGGGATACGTCAAGTATCGTGAGCTTGTCCAGTCGCCCGATCTCCCCGGGCAGCTCGCTTAACTGGTTGTGCGCCAGCTCGAGGATAGCCAGCGAGCTGAGCTCGGCAATTGTTGTCGGTAGACGAGAGAGCTCATTGTCCGAGAGCTCGAGCGTGTGCAAACCCTCTCCTCCCTCAAACAGCTCCGGGTCCAAGTGACCGATTCTGTTCTGCGACGCCCGGATGATTCGCAGCGCCGGCATGTTGTTGAGCGATGCCAGCGGCAGCGCGTCGAGCGCGTTGCCCTCGACAACCAGCCGCTCCAGCATTGTCAGCGAGTCCAAGACCGGCAGCGGCGCATCTGCTGATCCGAGCTTGTTGTCGGCAAGATTAAGAACTCGAAGGCTGGTGCATGCCAGCAGGTCGTCTGGGAGTGAGGCGAGGAGGTTGTCGGCAAGATTGAGAATCGTCAGCGCCGGCAGGTGCGACAAGCACGCCGGAAGCGCCACCACCGAGTTGTGTGCCAGCGAAAGCGTGGCCAGCGCATGCAGCGAGTGAGTTGCCATCCACGTTGTCGACAGATCGCCCAGATGATTGCAGCTCAAGTCCAAGCCCGCCACGTTGCCGAGCGTGGGCCATCGGCCTGTCGCTCGCCGCACCCGCCCCGCCACCACCTCGTCCTGCTCCTTTTCGGACAGGAAGTACTCGGGCACCTCGACCAGCCCCTCACCCACCACCTCTACATGCTGCACACCCAGTCCCACGCCATGCATCCAACACCCCAGGCTCTCCTCAAGTGCGTCGAGTCTTAGCCCCAGCTCCGGCCCCGGCCCCCCAGCCCCGACCTCCGACCCACGGCATTCCGTCCAGCCGGCTGCTGGCCGCGGGCCGTTCGCGCGCCCTTTCGCCACTCGTGAGCCTCGTGTCTTGCCACTCCACTTCCGTCCGCTTCGTGAAACCGCCCCCGACCTTTCCACGGAGCACAGCAAGGGGGAACACCATGACCGAGTTTGCCATTCCTCCGCACTTTGAGGACCTGCTCGAGGCCGACAAGGGCTACTACGTGGTCGGTCCGTCGTCGGGCCTGCATCGATCGTCGGCCGAGGTGGTCCACGAGGCTGTCGAGGGCATCTTGCTGCAGCTCGAGAGTGACCCATGGGCACTAGCCTCCCCTGAGCTCTTTGACACGCTCTTCCATCTGGTCTACCGCTTCTCCGTTCTCGATGATACCGTCAAGGCTGCTGTTGTCGACCTCCTGGTCGGCACCGTTCAAAAGTTTGTGGTCGCCTGGCAGTCTGGCGCCAAAATGCCCGAGCCACCGGCAAACATCTTTACCGTCAGCTCGCGGTCAGTGCTCAAGCAGTATGTCTTCCTTCTGCACATGCTGATCATGGTGGTTGAGAAGGACGGCTCTGGCATGTCGTTGGCTGCTGCTGGTGGTAAGAAGAAGAAGAAGAGCAAGGCCAAGTCGTACTCGTGGTCCGGCAAGGTCCCGTTTGTCGTCGCCGCCTTCTCGGCTGTCCTCGTCGACGTCTCCCCGGCCCTGTACACCCGGCTGTGGAACATGCCGCTGCCTGAAGAAGAGTTCATCACTGCCATCTCGCGCTCGCTCTTCCTTCTCTTTGAGTCGCACACGACGTTCAAGGCTCTGCCTTCCACCTGCGTAGACACCATCCATGCCATTTTTAAGGTTCTCATCGTCTCGTACCGCCGCGGTATGGCTGCCAGCACATCGATCATGCACCTGCTGCACAACCACGAGCATCTACCAGGTCCACTCGCCCAGCTCCTTGGCGCCATTGCTGCTCCAGAGCCGTCGGCTGCGTCCGCCGATGCCGGCGACGACGACGACGAGGCCCACAAGCCCGCTGGCGAGGACGAGTCTGCTGCTGCTGATGACTCAGGCGCAGCCTCCAACGAAGTTCGCGCGCTTGTTGAGGACATTCTCCGTGACATTGGCAAGACCTCGCCGCAGCAGCTTGCTGTCGACTCGGCTGGAACAAAGAACCTGGCGGCGTTCCTGGTGGCGCTCGCCGAGACTGTGCCACGGCTGGCGCTCTCTTCGGTTGCCGTCCTCATTCATCACCTTGAAGGCGAGGCGTACATTATGCGCAACGCCATCATTTCGATGATGGGCCACTGCGTGGCTGGGCCGCTGAAAACGGCAACCCGGCGACCCGCGACGCATTCCTCGACCACCTCATGGCCCGGCTGTACGACGTCACGTCGTATGTCCGATCGCGGACGCTACAGACCTGGTCCATCATTGTTGAGGCGCGTGCACTGCCGCTTGCCCGCCTTCACGCACTCTCCAAGGCTGCAGTCGGGAGGCTCGCCGACAAGGCATCGATTGTCCGCCGGTCCGCCATCGGCCTGCTCAAGGAGCTGCTACTCAACAATCCATTTGCCGGCCAGCTCCGGCTTGATGTGTTTGAGGCCAAGCGGGCTTCGCTGGAGAGCCGTCACGCCGAACTCGTGGCGCTGGTTCGCCCGCCGGCTCCCAAAGCGCCGGCGGCGAGTGCCGACACCGGCGAGGCTGGCAGCCAGGCTGGTTCCGAGGCTGAGAGCGATGACGAGAGCGAGGCCGCCGTCGCCGCCGCGGTTGCTGCCGCAGTTGACGCTGCCGAGGCTGCTGCCAAGGCGCAGGCCGCCCGCGACGAGGATTCCAGTCTTCAGGGCGCGCGCGACGAGCTGGAGCAAGTTGAGGCCGAGCTGGTCTTTGTCCGGGCTGGCGCCTCGTTCATCAAGGTCATATCGCGGGCGGTTCCGGTGGTGACCCAGCTGCTCTCGTCCAAGACGACGATGGATGTGCTGCAGGCAATCGACTTTCTCACTGTTGTCTCGTCGTTTGGCCTCGAGGCTGTGGCCGATGGTGTGGCGCGGGTCCTCACTCTCATTTGGTCCAAGGAAGAGTCGATCCGCAACGCAGTGCTGGACGCGTACCGAACGCTGTACTTTGCGCCGGGCGACAAGTCGTTTGGCGCGTCGGCCACGGTGGCGCGCAACCTGATGGAGCTCACCCGCGACGCGTCGGTGGCGCAGCTGACGTCGCTTGAGGAGATGGTACGATACATGCGGCATGACGGAAGCCTGCCGCCGCAGGTCGACAACGTGCTGTGGGAGCTGTTCTCGGGTCACGTCGAGGGTGTCGGTCCAGAGCAGAGCCTCGCCGCGCTGCAGATTTTGTGCATGGTGGGCAAGGCAGATCCGGTGGCCATTGCCTGCAAGCTCGATCTGCTGGTCAAACACGGGCTTGGCGAGCAGGCGCGAGCAACACCGATCCTTGCGCGTTGGACGTGCGAGGCGTTGCAGGCGCTGGCCGCCGTTGACTCGACGGCCAAGGTCCCGTCGGGCCATCCGCTTCTCAAGCAGCTCGAGCGCCTCGTCGTCGCCACGCCCGACTTTGACGAAACGGTCAACGGGCAGTGGTACCCTGCAGCCGAGCAGGCTATCGGAGCACTCTTTGCACTTGCTGCCGCGCCCGAGATCGAGGTCGAGCTGCTCATCCGCGTCCTCGCTCACGCTGTCTTTTCGACAGAGGGTCGCGAGGTCTCGTCTGAGAAGCTCGCTCGGCTGTTCTTTGTCGTTGGCCATGTGGCGCTCAAGATGCTGGTGTACATGGAGGAGGAGCACCGGACGTACGCCAAGGCTGCCGCTGCTGCCACTGTGGCCAGCAGCGGGCGGGCGCGGCGGCGCCGAGCCACGATGACTCGTTCGAAGACGAGTTGGGCATGGCGGCATCGCCGGCAACTCAGGAGGCGCATGCTGAGTATTTGGCCAAGCTCGCCGAGTCTGCGCTTGTCAACAACAACCTGCTCGGCTCGTTCGGACCGCTCCTTGTCCACGTTGCCCTCCATCGCTCGCAGTACGACAACGTAACGCTCCAGAGCCACGCGCTGCTCGCACTCACCAAGTTTATGTGCGTCTCGCGGACGTTCTGCGAGGCCAATCTGCGGCTGCTGTTCTCGATCCTCAACGCGACCGAGGGCGTGGCGCCGGTTGTCCGCGCCAACCTGGTTGTGGCTGTGGGCGACCTCGCGTTCCGTTTCCCCAACGAGGTTGAGCCGTGGACCGAGCACATCTACGCACGGCTTCGCGACGACGACATTGTCGTGCGGCAGAACACACTCATGGTCCTCACCCACCTCATTCTCAACGACATGGTCAAGGTCAAGGGCCAGATCGCAGAAATCGCGCTTTGCCTCCTCGATGAGGTCAAGACGATCTCGGACCTCGCGCATACGTTCTTCTTTGAGCTCGGCCGCAAGGCCAACACCATCTACAACATCCTGCCCGATACCATCTCGCAGCTCTCTACGGCGGCGATGGCGGCGCGCATGGGCGAGACCGGCTTCAAGACCATCATGTCGTACCTGTTCTCGTTCGTGGCCAAGGACAAGCACCAAGAGTCGCTGGTGGTCAAGCTCTGCCAGCGGCTGCAGGGCTGCGACGCGCTCAACGCCCGCAACTTTGCCTTTTGCCTCTCGCTGCTCTCGTACTCGGGCCGCTCGCTTGGCAAGCTCATGGAGCATCACAAGGCTTACCACGACAAGCTCTTTGATCCGCAGGTCGAGGCTTCGTTCCGCTCCATCTCGTCGCGCACAAAGCGGACCGCAAAGGACATGGTCGTTCGCTTCGACGCTCTCGTCGACAAGCTCCTTGCCGGCGAGACCGATGTCGAGTCGCTCGTCACCGGCCTCACCCCTGCTGATGTCATTGCCCGCGATCAGGAGAACGCCGCCAAGGCGTCCAAGAAGGCTGCCAGGGCCAAAGCCCGCAAGGTCGCCGCAAAGAAGGAGCGCGCTCGCCGCTCGCGCCGCGCCATGACCGACGACGATGACTACACCCCGCTTGCAGAGTGCCAAGTCTAGCCACGTTTGTAAACTCGGATAACTGCCTCGATCTGTGACTACTCTCCATCCGCCTCTAGCTGTGCCAATGATTAGGTGACTCGACGGGCCGGCGGCGACTCGACGACTCGACGGGCCGGCGGCGACTCGACGGTTCAACCCAAATTTTTGGCTGCGCTAGACTCGACTTCATTCCATCATGTAGGTTCCACAAGCGTGCCCCCCGACTGCGCAAGCCTCGCCGTCGCTACCCATGGGTGCCCCGCACATTGTAGGGGTGTGCAGCAAGTTTGCGGCAGCAGAGCTGTCCGTGGGCGCGAGCCCGCCTTTGGCGCGAACGTTCGCGCCAAATTGCTTTGGATTCTACTGGCCGCGTCAGCCGCCCCCCCCAACCCCCCCCCAACCCCCACCCAGATTGCGGTACTCACACTCCCCAAACTCTCCACAGGGCTGGCAAGGGAAAGACCAAGAAGAGCAAGATGCCCGTCTCGCGTTCGGTGCGCGCCGGCCTTCAGGTACGTTTTGTCGGCCCCAAGGGGGCCTTGCGCTGAAGCGCAAATGATTTTTTGGCGCCCTTTTCGCCCGCTTCGCGCGTTTTTGTGCCCTGCCGCCAACCGCCAATTCGGTGTTCCTTGCACCGCCGCCCCCGCCCGTCCACTGCCGCCCGCTCGCCCCCATGCTCCAGCCGTGTGTGTTCTGTGCATGTCCTGGGTAGGGCCCAAGGAGGATGTGGTGTTCGGGCAGTGTGCTACCGCAGGTGCTTTGTCGCTTTTGGTCCTATCTTTGCCACTGCGCCCGCATGGCCATGCCCACCCGCACTTGCCGTGTTGCTGCCTCTCCAACTACAACCCCACCCCCCACCCCCCTCTACCCTCCCCTCCCTCTACCCTTGCTACTCACCTTGCTGCCACCTACTCCAACGCCTCCTTGTCTCCTACACTCTACAGTTCCCTGTGGGTCGGTACGTTCAACCACCTTGCCTCCCTTCCTCCCCCAGCACTCTCGCCCCCCCCCCCCCGACTCTCCCCCGACTCTCCCCTCGACCGCTACCACTCACGGACGTTTCCCCCATCTTTCTGTGACTCTAGTATCCACACGTTCCTCAAGAAGCGGACGACTTCGACCGGCCGTGTCGGTGCGACTGCTGCCGTGTACATGGCTGCCGTGCTGGAGTACCTCACCGCCGAGGTGCTCGAGCTTGCCGGTAACGCCGCCAAGGATCTCAAGGTCAAGCGTGTGACTCCGCGTCACCTCCAGCTCGCCATCCGTGGTGACGAGGAGCTCGACGTGCTCATCAAGGCCACCATTGCCGGCGGTGGTGTCATTCCGTACATCCACTCGTCGCTCTTCGCCAAGAAGAAGAAGAAGGTACGTCCTCCCGTGATCCCCCCCTTGCGTACTCCCTTACCTGACTCCTGACTCGAACCCCCCGCCGTTCTCCCCCGCTACTCACCCTCTGCTTGCCCTTCTTGCTCCCGCCTCTGTAGTAATCGTGATGCCCCTCCGCCTCGAGCTCCTCGGCTTTCTCCCGAGCAGCTATCGCCCCATGCTTCACCTCGTAGCGGTCCTTGCATCTGTGGACAGATGCTGGTGCTCCTCCGTTGCGATTTTACGCGCCTGCTAAATGACCATGTCTCCATCGATCTCCCGCCACGGCCCCTCCCCCTGCCAGACTGCTGGACAGCACATGCTAGCCAGCCTCGTCGTCCTCCCACACTCTCACACCCAACTCTCCTCCCCACCATGGCCACCCAGCTACCCCACCCAGACCACCCTCCCACAGACCCTGACCCGCCGGGTGCGTTCCTAGCCGAGGTCGTGCCCATGGCAACTGGTCTGGACCCAGCGTCGTCCGCGGCTGTCGACGCCCGCCTCCGTGCCTGCCTCGACTACTGCCGCACTCGCCTGCACAACGAGCTCGCCCGCATCGAGGCTGAGCGCTACGGTCTGCACACAGAAGTGCTGGAGGCGCAGCAGGCCCAGCTCAAGCTCGACCGCTTCCGTGCTGCTCTGGATGCGTCGAACGCTGCGCTCGCTCGCGCCAACGCACAGCTCGCCGGCCGTGACGACACCATAGCTGCTCTCTCCACCACTATCGCTGCGCTCGAGGCCCAGAACGCGAGCCTGGCTGCAGAGTTAGAAAAGCACCCCGGCGAGCGGGGCCCATGGCTGGCAGACGGCGAGGAGCGGGAGAAAAACCTCGATCGCGGCGACCAAATCCGTGTCCAGCGCCACCAGCTGGCGGTCCAGGCCGAAAAAGGCGCCGCCCAGACCGAGCGAGCGTTGATGCTGGAGGACGAGTTGACGCTGGCCAAAAACGAGATTGCTCGCGGCAGGGATGAGGTCGCGCACGCCGTGGCGCGCGTCCAAAGCCTCGAGTCGGTTGTTGCGGCACGCGACGAGCTCGTTGAACAGCTCCGCGCTCAAACGCTGTCCTGCGCGAGCAGTGGAACGACTCGGAACGTGAGGTCACCCGGTTGATGAAGCAGCTGCAGGCCCGCAAAGCCATCATCCAGGCTCATGCGCTACCGGACCCGGCACCGACCCCTGCGGCGCGGTCAGTACGCCAGGCCGCGTTTCCGAGCCGGCCCGATCCGCCCACTCTCGATGCAAGGTCGGCCAAGCTTGAGGCGTCTCCCTCTGTTCCGGCTCCTGATACAACTTCCGTCACTGAGCCGAAGCAGCAGCCGAAGAGGCAGCCGCGGCAGCCGCGGCCGCGTCGGACCCCGCTCCGTCTCGGCGGAAGCATGCGGCAGGACGCACAGGACCGGGCGCGGGGCCCTGCGGCTCAGTCAATCCGTGTCCAGTCGCGACCGGCGTCGTCCAAGAGGACCCCTGTCAAGTCAGCGCTGAACCCTCGCCCTGCGCGCCAGCCGCCGCAGTACGCCAAGACGCCGGATAGTATTCCACAGCTTACCATTGACGGGGCGGCAGGATCGGACCTCGGGCCAGTCCGTCTCGAAGGACCGTCGTCATCGGCTGCTGTCTTTGCTGCGCTCAACTCGCCGTCGAACGCCACTCCGAGCCGCACTGTGCGGTCGACGGCGCCGTCGGCGCCCGAGGACGTCCGTACCACACGTCTGGAGGACGCGCCGTCGGCGCCGGTCCCGTTCCACCACACTTTGCCCACGGCTCCGCTGGCAGAAGCTGAAGCTTGTGAGTACGGTGGCCAGTGGGGCGGCGGCGCTACAAGTCTCAGCGGCCCGGCAGGGATTGCTGGTTCTCGGTCTGGCTTTCGCATGCATCTCCGGCCGATGGACGAGCTCATCGCTACACCTGGGAACACCTTCTAGCTTTACGGCACAGTAACCACCACGTTGGCACCGTTGAGGGTCCGAATCGGCGTGGGTCCCGCTGATGGCGGGCCAAGCGTCTGAAGGTTGGGCGAGGGCGACGAGCCGAACAGCAGCCGTCGCGCAAGGACCGACCGCGAGCGGGCTGTCTGGTTGTCGCCGACAAGCAGAGCCTTGTGCTCGGTGAGCGGTGGAGCTGTGGCTTTGCCGCAGCACACCATCTCATTGCGGACGATAGGGATAGCGAAGAAGACACACGCATCAAAGAAGCCCTGTAGCGGGTCTGTGATGGCCTGCGCCAGCGCAGCCGCAAAGGACGTGTGGCCAGTCAGCTCAAGCAGCCTGTTCACCATCGCCGCCGTCCAGCACACAAAGAACAGAGCAATGAGGACCGAGATGCGGAGGTAGAGCTTGCGGAGGCGCATCGCAAACAGACTCGGTGCAGCATCAGTGGCGCGACGCCGGTTGCCGGTGACAACAAGCGTGCCGCGGACAAGGACAAGGACTAGCAGCGGAAACGAGAGCATGAGGCAGAGGTAGAAGGCAAGGCGGAAGCCGGGAGCGCTGGCCTCGATCCAGCACCAGACACCAGCCGGACCGTAGTGTGCCACAGGCGCTAGCGACATGATCAGAGCAAACGGCCAGATGATCAAGTGGTAGAGCACAAAGTATCGAGAGTAGTCGAGATCAACGTGGGCGAGGACGGCGTAGAGATTGTGGGAGACGGCCAGGGTCCAGCCCATGGCCGCCAAGTTTGAAAACTGGATGAAAAAGCCCTGGACCGAGCAGAGCGGGCCTGATCGTGGTGGAACAAGCGCCGCACCCACAGCCGTCACTCCGCGAAGCACATCACAGACGGCGAGCCAGACGAGGACCACTAGAGGCCTACCGAATTGCCGCAGCCGTCGCACGCTGACAAACGTCGCCACCGTAGTCGTCGCGCCCGCAAGCGTGAGTAAGCCCGAACAGAGAATAGCCCACCGCATGACCCTGCTTTCGTCATCCGTATACTTGGCCTCCTTCATCCCCTACTCGGCTCCACCTGCGGCGCCTTGTCTGGCTGGCGGCGTCAGGTGCGGCCAGGCACACGCGCAGCGACGGCCAACTCGTCGGATGGCCATCCTGGCTCTGATGGTGGACATCGTTGAGCCGTGACAGAGGCCAGCAATCGCATCGCTGCTGTTTGTAGTAGCGTACCTGGTATGGTCTCCCAGCGCAATGGATGAGTCAAAGCTGCCGAGTGTGCGTGCGTTAGTGGGCTGGGCCACAACAGGTGCGAGCGACACTTCGATGGCCATCGTTGAGCCGTGCCAGAGGACCGCATCGCCATTGCTTGCGGCAGCGTACTTGGTAGAGACCACATCACCCCGCCAACCAGTGCTAGCATCGCTTCCAGCTTCCATCGCCTCTGGCTTCCATACGGCTTCCATCGAGTCGGTTGAGCGAGGTCACGCCAGACCCTCGGCCACAGGCAAGGGAAGGAGCATTGCCACGTCTCGACGGCGACACACAACTCTGTGACTCGCATTGTGCGACGGCAGACGATGGGCTCGTGCGAGGTAGGCGCGGCCTCGCGGCGTGTGCTGTCGTTTGCGGTGGACTCGGGCATGTTTGCATCCAAGGAGACCAATCATCGGACGGTGGACGATGCTGGGAGGACGTCGTGCGGAATGGTGCCTCGACTGATGATGGCAGCTCTGCTTGCTTGCCCTGATGTCATTTGCAGGGTTGTCGTCTGTGATCTTGTGGTGGAGGAGGTTCAGAACTGGGAAGGCAATCCGGATCCGTTTGTCCAGGATGCTGATGAACTCGCTCGTCTCATGGTGGCTCATCCGCCGCCGGATGGCCTCCCGCTGCCGAGTGCTGACGAGGAGTTGGACAATGTGGCCGGGACCCAGCTGATGCAGAGCCATGGCGCGACAGTTATTCAAGTGGTTCCATCAGTCTCGCTCGATGGGCTGCACGCACGCGCCGACGCCGTTCGCGCTGCACACAGCCACGAGTGGACCCAGCGACAGCAGCGGATCCTCTACACCAACGGCGCGTTTTGCGCCAACGATGCCCGCATCGTCGAGACTGCACACTCGCTAAACCTCCCGCTCCTCACCATCAACAAGCGGATGACAACTCAGACCAATCCCGGCCGCAACGCGTTGCGCTGGCATCTGTGGCAAGACAAGCCCCGACCGCTGCGTCTAGTTGTCCTTGACAACCAGCACATCGATAGCGTGCCTGCCCTGGTGACTGCGCTTGTCGCCGCTGGCGCTGCCGGTCCCGCCGCCGCCGCGTCGCTGTTGCCTCTCCCGGATCCCACCGACTATGTCCGCTCACTCCGGGCGAGCCGGGCCGATGCCAAAACCTACGCCGACGTACATTTACTCACCACCGCCAATGCTGAGCTTCTTGCTCAAGCTCGTGCTGCCGCCACCGCGGACTTATTGGATGCAATCATCGGCAACTTGCCAGAGGCCGCGCGCTCGCTGCGATCGACCCGCACTGTGCTGCACACCTTTACCGACACCGCTCTCGCCGCCGTGCCCGGCCTGGCGCCGCAGGCCTCACTCCAACGGATCCTTGGCCCTGATCAGGCCCGGCTTCTCATCAAGCAGCTCATCGATGTTCTCCGTCTCGCCGTCGTCGCCGCTCTCCGCGATTGAGATGATCGCACGACGGCCAAGCGACAGCATCGTCATGGAGTAAAGGACTGGATGCGATGGAAGCAAGTACGGAGATGTGGGAGTAAGATAAGAGTCCTGCTCAGACCAAGCCTTGGCGAGGAGCCTGGTGTGTGTGTGTGGTGGGGCGTGGTGTGAGATGCCAGACAACACTTCTCGCGAGTCACCATTCATTGATGCTCGTGGTGGTGCTCGTTGCGCTATGGGGCGTGATGGTGGCCATGCTGATTGTCCTCATCCTGGCCATTCTAGTGTGTGGCTGGGGTGGTGACCAGAAGGAGAATGAGCCACCCAAGATGGCTACTCTCTTCCGCTACTGGCGGTATGTTACATCTGCCCACCCTTGCCTATCCCTTGCCCCCTCTTCCCGCCCACGCCCTTGCCCTTTGGTGCCTCGCCCGCCTCCCCCCCCCACGCTCTGCGCTCCGAGCATCTTTACACCTCCGTATTTCCCTATTTCCACCCTCCATGATGACCACAGTCAGCAAGCACATACAACACACATCCTACCCCATTCTCCTTAACTTTCATCTCCACAACCTCTTCCTACATTCCAAACCAGGCCTTGAAGGCCCTTTGCGGAAGCCGATGAAGCCCATGAATGGCGCAAAGTTGTTCGTTCGGTTCGTTCGTTTGTTGTTACTAGACTCATCGCATCAACTCTGGTCCGCGCACGAAATGGCTGGGCGACTGGGCGACTGGGCGGCTGGGCGGCTGGGCGGCTGGGCGGCTGTGTGATCATGGTGTGTGTGTATGTGTGTGTGCGTGTGTGTGATGCTTGTGCAATGGCGTGACTGCGACTGCGTGCGTGGCGTGGGCGTGGCGGCGTGGCGGGACGACTGTGTGATCATCGGGGGGGGGGGGGGGGGGGGGGGCTGATGCCGCTGCTTCTACTACAGGCATGAACAGTACGTTGATCTGAAGGGTGGAAGTGGGGCGCTGGTGTGGTGTGTGGATGTGTGTGGATGTGTGTGGAGGGTGGGGTTAGGACTCATGATGATGGTGTCTGCGGATTGGTGTGCTTTTGTGTGTGAGTGCAGCCTTGTTCTCTCGATCATTTGGTCGGGACGGATCATCAAGTACTACGATGGACACTACATGAATCGCAAGCGGCGGATTGTGCTGTTCATTGATGTCTTTCTGCTCAACTTTATCGTGGCAGGAATTGTTTTTGCCTCGTCGCAGCCTGCCGATGTCTCTGTCGACTGCACGCTGTTGCACTACTGCAACACCGAGTGCGCCGGGTGCGCGACGTCTCAGTTCCGGGTCGGGCATGATAGCAATACGGTCAACTACGAGTTTCCGTATGCCGACTCTGTGGCGTACCGCAACTGCTCGCGCCCGGGCAGTACCTCGCCTTGCTTCCCGTACTGCAACTCGGCGCGGCGCGGACAGTTTGTGGTGGACACGCGGCTCCGGTGCCGCAACACACCTGTGGCGCGGCAGCAAGATCTGCTGTGCCTCAAGCCCGAGGCCGTGCCCGAGTGCACCGACAAGGGCACGGATGTGTCTGTTGGTGGTGTGTCTGCCACGCTCCCGACCGAGCTTGACATGCAGGAGGTTGTGCTCCGGGTTGTGCTCACCATTGCCATTGTCTTCCCGGCCTCGTTCCTGCTCAAGTCGCTGATGCGGTGCACATATCGGTCCAAGGGCTGCTGCGCGTGCGCGAAAAAGTCGCTCGGTACCATTCTCATTCTAGCCATTCTTGCCGCCGCCGCCATTGTCGCCTACATCCTCATCTCGACGCTGCAGGACGGCGAGCTGTTTGGAACGGTCACGGCCTCGTTCCTCGTCGCCTTTCTTGCCGGGCTTGTCCTCGACTTTCCCAAGCTCGCCTTTATCTACTACTTCTTCCGCCGCAAGAAGTACGCCGAGCGGTTCATCAAGTGCTACAACATCTATCTCCGCATCCAGCAGGCCAAGATGCGCAAGGCCAAGAAGGCTGCCAGCAAGCACGTCAAGTCTTCGTCGCGCAAGGCCGGCCAGGCGCCGGTCCTCAAGTCGTCGTCGCGCCGCGGAAGCCGGAGCAAGAGCCGCCCGGTGAGCCGAAGCAAGAGCAGCAAGGGCCGGAGCAGCAGGAGTCGCGGCTCGTCCTCGCGTCGCGGCTCGTCGTCGCGTCGTGGCGCCGGCGGCCGTGCGTCCAAGAAGTCTCGGCGGACAAACCGGATCTAATGACTGGACCAGGCTGCCGTTGGTTTGCACATGGGCATGCACACTTTTGCATCGCTTGGTCTTATAGTTTAGCGGCGGGTATGGCTACTCGTACTGGGTGGGATAGTACTTGACCGGCCCGTCCTTGTGGCAGCACCAGACGGAGGCGACGCGGCGGGCAATGTCCTTCCACTTCTCATTAAAGTACTTCTCGTCGGCCATGCCCGAGACGGCGCGCGACATGGGCGAGATGTGGATGATGCGGTAGTCTGCGTAGTCGGGCGAGTTGAGCTTCTCAGCCCACCAGGTGTCGAGATGGGCCTCCTCGAGCCACTCCTCGGGCGTCTCCGGGTTGGAGATGGCGGTGGCCTCCTCGCATGACGGGCCGTCGTTGCCGCCGCAAAAGTAAAAGTGGAACCGCGAGTTGGTGACTGAGCCCGGGACCCGCGGGTCGATGAGGAACGACGACTCACGAAAGTCAACGATGCCGAGTTCGTCAAAGTGCTGCGGATTGAGGACGTGGTCGAGTGGGCACACAAACGGGAGCTGGAAGCCCTCGGAGTTCGAGACTCGGCACTTTGTCATAAAGTACCAGAACTTGTCGCACCCGCACCAGAGCTGCGGAACGACGAGGATGCGGTCGGTGAGCCGCGCAATCATGGCAGCGTCGAGGAACTGCTTGACCTGCCACTTGCCGAGCTCCATCTGGTCCGTCGGGATGGCTTCGCGCGGAGTATCGGACCCATCGCGGAGCCACTTGGCAGGAAGGTCAAAGTCAAAGGTAAGGAACTTGCCGTCGGCGTAGTACGCGACGTCGTCCGAGAAAAGCATGGTCTCGCGCAGGCGGTGCCGCTTGCCAAAGTCGCCGCCAAAGACGTGAGTGACGTGCGCCATAAACGGCGTCACACCCAGCCGCTGTGGCATCTTCTGCACAAAGTACGTGTGCCCGTTGCAGAAGAGGAGCGTGGGTAGGGTGCCGACTCGGAGCTTGCTGTGCCAGGCGTGGAAGATGCGCGTGCCCGGAACAAGCTTCATGCCCTCGTAGCCCTCGGCCATGAGGATGTTGATGGCCGGCTGGTCGCGAAGGTTCTCGTCGGCCTTGAGGCGGACCACAAGCTCGTCAAAGAAAGCAAAAGCACGCTCAGTCGGACGGACGTAGACAAAGCCACAGTTAAACTCGGGCTTACCCGGCTGCGGCAGTTCGAGGCCGCCGTCAAACGTCGTCGTGTCGAGGTTGTCGGTCGAGATGAGCACGTCGGCCTGCCGCGAGTGGTAGTACAGATACGGCAGCGGGTTGCGGAGGTACGCGAGGTCGTCGTCGGTGACCAGGAGCTCAAAGCCCCACTTGATGATCTTGCCAATCGTCACGTACTTTGCCCGCATGAGCCGGACAAACTCGGTCGAGCCCCAGCCGAGGCCCTCCTCGGCCACCTTTTCGTCGGTTCGGACGCGAACAACGTAGATGCCACGCTCAATGAGGTACTCCATCAGCTTGTCGTCAAAGGCGCCGATGACGTAGTTGGTGATGTGCAGCCTGGCCATGTTGCGGACGTACGAGACGATGAACAGCCGATGCTGGTAGTTGGCAAAGGTGACAATGATCTGGTTGTTCACCGCCACCCGCTCAAACGCCTCCTTGGTCAGCTCAGGCCGATCGCCGGGCTTGAGAATACCCTTGGCTCCAAGCGCTCCCACCTGTTGCGACTCCTTGAGGTGTTGATGCTGATGGTCGACGGTGACAATGGTTCCCTGTCCGTGGGCACCGACCTCATGGGTATCATCATCTCCATGATCATGTTTTGCCCCATGATCACCATCACTATGGTCATGCCCATGCCCATGCCCATGCCCATGCTCATTCCCAAGACTATCGTCTCCCGTCGCTGTCCCTGCAAAGGCCAACGTCGCCCTCCCTGCCCCACTCTTTCCCCCTCCCGTGAGGACCAGACCAGGAGCAGGACCACCGCCCAACATGCCATGTTGGCCAAAAGCAGCACCTTGCCCATGTTGTTGTTCAACCGCATGGTGTCACTGTCTAGCTGTGTGAAGTGGTTGCCACACACACACACACACCAGTGTACGGAACGACGATAGTCATAGTCATTCGTAGTCAAAAGATTTAGTCATTAGTTAGTCAGTCAAACGTCAATGACTAAGATGGTGATCAAGACGGAGACACCCCTCTCACACGCAGCATGCCCCGTTCTTCGGCCTTGTGGCAGCTTGTCACGCACCAGAACAGAGAGGCTCCTTGCTGCAGGCTCTGCGGCAAGCAGATTAGCCTCAACAGTTTCAAGTCGACCTCAAATATCAAAAGCCACTTCCGAAACGCCCACAGCGAGGTGCTGTCGGCGCTGGACGTTGATGTCCCCACGTCCAGCCAGCAGCTGCAGGCGTACTTCCCCTCGGAAGACCGCTTGAAGGCTGCAAAGCCGCGCGTTGCGGAATACGCGCTCAAGAGCGTGCTGTACAAGCACCGCTCGTTTGCGTCGATCGAAGACCCGTACCTCGCCCACATGTTCGCTGTCGCAGTGGGTTTGAGTGCGACGAGCGTGCGCAAGATTCTACCGTGCGAGAAGCACCTGCGTGAGGGTGTACTCGATCGCGTTTTCCTCAAGTACCGCACCAAGATGCAGGAGCACATTGGGGACGGGCCTATCTCCCTCATCGTCGATGAGTGGACGTCGTCTGGGACGCGCCATACCTTTCTCGGTGTGTGTGCCCAGTTCTACAGTTCGGGAGTGCGCATGACAATCCCCATCGGGTTCAAGGCGCTCACCGCCGATCTCATGAACGCTGTTCGCTCAACGTCTGACGACAGCGCCGAGTACGACACCACATATCTCTCCGCCAACGCCGAGAATCTCGCCAAGGTGGTGAAGCTCTGTGTGACAGAGTTCGGGATTGACTGGGTCCAGGTAGTCGCCTTGTCTAGCGACACAACGGCGCTCATGCCCCGGATGACAAAGCGCTTCCTCGAACTCCCGTGGCATCCATGTCTCTCCCACCGCATTCAGCGCATCGTCGGTGACGTGCTCAAGGCGGTACAGGCTGACAGTGAGCTGGATCCTGCCTTGGTGCAAACAGACTTGGTCTCGAGCCGTGACACGGCCGTACTCGAGATGGGCGGGGTAGGCGAGGACACGGACGACGAGGACGTCGAAAACGAGGATGGGTTCTCGGAGGTGGCATCGTTGTCGTCGTCAGAGTGGCCGACGCTGAGTGATACCGTTGCATCCGATGACTTTGCCTCTGCCCCGCTCGTGGGAAGCACTGACGCAATTTCTAAGCTGCGCCGCCTTGTCTCTTTCATCTCTCGCTCGTCCAAGGCCAAGCGCACGATGCGCCACTTCATCAACAAGAAGAACATCGAGGCTACGCACGCATACAAGTCCGCGCTGAACTCATATGAGATGGATGTCCAGCTTGGTCAAGTAACCGTGGATGACAAACCGTCTCCACCCGTCCTGGTAACATACACGTCGTTGCGGCCGGACGTGAGTACTCGCTGGGGCTCGACGGTGACTATGCTGGAACGGGCGTCGAGGATGAAGGATGCCGTGGATTTTGTTTCGACTGAGATCGCGGGTGCCCCGGCTAAGTTGACCGCGAGCGAGTGGGACGAGGTACATGACGCTGTGGAGGTACTCCTCACGATCAACAACTCGTGCGTCATGTCTCAGACGTCCGATATGTCGTCCTCCCTTTCGCTCCTTACGATGGTGGGGATTGTGGACGATCTGGCAGAGCTCAAGATCAACAACGAGGATATCCCTAGGATCCAACAGCTGTGCGACATCGCCACCCAGGCAGTGTACAAACAGGTTGCGTACTTGTACAAAGAGGATGCGTGCCTCTTTGCTCTCCTTATTGACACGACTGTCACCAAGGACGACCTTATGTATGTCCAGGGAGTTGTCGCCGACGCCAACAACTCGCTTGGTGTGCGCCATCTGGCGACCGCTGCTGAGGTCCACCATGACATGTGGCGTCGCTTGGCAGACGTCCTTGAGCCCAAGCTCCTGGACATTCTATCCACGCTCCCGTCGCATACTGCGGCGTCATCGAGCGGAGCGAGCAACACGCTGCCGCAAGAATCGCGGGACCCCACGTACTTTTCCCCGAGTATGTCTGCTGCCGGTGGGCCATCCAAGGTGGTAATGGCTGAGCCGGCTTCATCGCCACAGGCGCGCTCGCGGATGGCCGCGGAGCGCGAGGCGCGCGCTCGTAACATTGCCAAGCGCGAGAAGAACGCGGGGAAGCGCCTGCGCGCGAAGAGCGTTGATGAGGTTCGCGGCTGCAAGGTGCGAAAGATGACGGTGAACGATACGCCTGCGTCTGTGGCTTCGTTCAGCAACTACAAGCTCGTCGAAGTGTTCTGCAAGGTTCTCACGGCTACGTTGTACAACAGTCGGCTAATCTCTACCTCTTCAAGTTTGTCCGTAGGCGACGTGTTGGCTAAGTTTGAGGACGTGTGCGTCGGTCTCGAGTCTCGCAAGAACTGGAACCGCAAGGCTGACGTACGGCGGATCCAGGTGCTGTGTGCGAGGTTCCGCTTGTGGGGCCAGGGGATCCTTCTTCCATCGGCCTCCGCTGCCAGCGTCGAACGGCTCAACTCGGTGGCGACAGACATGATGACGAGGAAGCGGAACCGCCTCTCGGCTCTGCGCGCCGAGAAGATGATGCTCCTGCGTGCATGGATGCTTTTCGACTTTGAGCTGACGAAGAAACTGTAGTGACGATACGCATCAGCTGTTAGTCATTTAGTCAGTCATTAGAATCAGTTAGTTAGTCACAGTAAGCCGTTCCGTTCACTGACACACACTCTCTCTCTCGGTCTCTCGGTCTCTCGGTCTCTCGCTCTCTTCGTCACCTGGGGACTGACCCACTCGGTTGCTCCTCGCCCGACTCCTCTTACAACCGTTGGCTACATGTCCAATATCGGACTTGGGAACGCAGGGCTTGTGGAATAGCAGAGCGAGTGCGATGTGGGGATCGGAGGATGGGGATACCTTTGTGGAAGGTTGATATGTCTGAGTTGATGTTGATGCCTGCCTGGGGTGTGTGTGTGTGTGCTGCTGTTAGCCGTCGACGTGGCAGCAAGGTTGCAGCGGCATCGAGCGCGCCTTCCTCTCCGCACCGGCAGCGCCGATTCACACACACATCGAAGCAACTTGTCATGGTTCGACAAGGCACATTCATTGAGTGATGCTCACGTCTTCACACGTGAGCTGATGCCGAGTGGCCGGCGCCCCAGCCAAAGACCTCGACGCAGATGGCGTGGAGCGAGACAAAGGTGCCGAGGGCGCCGCCTGTGACGCCAAAGGCGACGATGGCGTAGCGGAAGCCTTGCGGGACAAAGTTGGAGGCTGGCTCCTTGCGGAAAAAGTGAAGATGGAGGAGGGCGGGGAGGATGAACGAGAGAGTGGCCGAGCCGACGTTGCCAATGAGCGAGAGGAGGAGGCCAAAGCGCGGTAGGATGTAGGCGATGAGAGCGGTTGTGGCCACAAGTGCGGTGGCGATGGCCTTGCGGTGTGCAGGTGCGTTCGAGCCGGTGGCCTCGGCGACAATGTCGATGACCGGAAAGAGCTGCAGCGGGTAGGTGAAGACGACGCCAAGGCAAATGCAGAGCGTGACGACATTGAGCAGCGGCGTCGGCTCTATGTTGAGAGTGAGCACGTCCTCGACAGCCGAGCCAAAGGCAAGGTAGCCGAGAACGCCAAAAAGCATAAAGATGAGCGAGACAACGACGATGCAAAGGGTGAGAAGGCGTGTAAAGGTCGCCGGGGCGAGACCCATGTTGGACTCCATGGGCACGACGAGGGCGATGCCCTCAAAGCCCGAGACGACGACGCCAAAGAAAAGCGCAAACGACGACCAGTTGGCAAGGACCACATCGCCATCAGGTGGCGGGGCAAAGGCCATCTGGTCCAAAGCGCGGGCTGTGATGACAACAAAGCCAAAGAGGAGGACAGCATCGGCGGCGAGCGAAAAGGGTACCAACTTGGACATGTCCTGGATGAGCGAGAGGAGGAGCACACCTGGAACCATGGCAACGAGAAAGAACCAGGCGTGTGACTCGTGGCCAAAGACCATGGCGGCGTTGCTCGAGACAAAGATAAAGTATCCGATGCAAAGCCGAGCTGAGTGATGACCACGGCCGAGTCGACGACCAGCCTCCCTGTGGGGCCATACACGGTGGCGGCAATGTCGCCATAGCTCACAGCACCACCTCCAGCACGACGAGCTTCGAGCTTTCGCTTGCACTCGATAAGAAGCATGCAGCAGTAGCCTGTGAGTGCTCCAATGATGCCCAGACCAACCAGGCCGACGCCTAGTCCGGCGCACTTGACCGCGTAGGGGATGGAGAGGTAGTTGGCACCCACAAAGGCCTTCATCATGTGTCCAAAGTGCGAGCCAAGAGACTCATTGTGTCCATCTTCGTCACTTTGTCCATGTCCATGGTCTCCCTTCTTCATCACTTCGGCCCCCACAACAGGCCCAGACGTCGACATCAGAGTCTGCGCTCTTGTGTAGAGTCGTGGTCGTCGTCGACGTCGGCTGCTGGTGGCTGGCCAGTCGCCGGTTGGCGGTCGGCGGTTGGCGAGGGCGGGGGGAGGGGAGGGATGTGATGGCGTGGGGGACGGGGGGGTAGGGGTAGGAATGGAGTTTGAGCGTAGGCGTGGGGATAGGCGTAGTAACGATGTCTGGTGTGTGTGTGTGTGCGCGTGTGTGTGTGATGCAGATCTTTATTCTCGCCTCTACCTGTACAGGTAGTCAGCCTCGAGAGCCTCGGCAATCTCGGTCTCCCACTTATCGCCGTTGGCAAGGAGCTTCTCCTTGTTGTACAGGAGCTCCTCGCGCGACTCGGTGGAAAACTCAAAGTTGGGACCCTCGACAATGGCGTCGACCGGGCAGGCCTCCTGGCACAGGCCGCAGTAGATGCACTTGGTCATGTCGAGATCATACCGGATCGTCCGCCGGGTCCCGTCGTTGCTCCGCGGCGCAGCCTCAATGGTCAGCGCCGATGCCGGGCAGGCCGACGAGCAGAGCGAGCACCCGATGCACCGCTCCTCGCCCGTCGGGTAGCGACGCAGCGCGTGCTCACCACGGAACCGCGGCGAGATGGGCCCCTTCTCAAACGGATAGTTGAGCGTGACCTTGGGCGCAAAGAAGTACTCCAGCGTCAGCGCCATTCCGCGCGCAAGCTCAGTCAGGAACAGAGACTTGGCGTTGTAGTTGAGCAGCTCGTCGTTAGACGGATCAGTAGAAAGGCCATCCCACCCATCAGACTTGTCAACCTGTGTGCTCTGCTGCTTTCCATCCCGCCCATCATCCCCAGACCCAGCCATGTCCACCCCGCATCCAAGCAAGCGTCCGCCGCAGCAAGCGTCCGCCGCAGCAAGCGTATGCCGTCCGAGTCGATCACCAGCCGGTCCGTCGTCCCCGCGTCCGCACCGCCATTCCACCCCGCACCATAGCGACCCAACCATCCAACACGAAGCATGTAACACATTGTGAGTACCTTGTCTATACACACAAGCACCTCCATGTCGTAGTCCTGTCATCTCAAGACCTCACAATCCTTCTCCGTACCCCTCCACTTGCGGAGCGGGGGAGAGTCTCTGGCTGAGGAGCAAAAAATCAAACGCGACGAGGCGTGGTTCAGTACCGCAAGGGCATAGGGATGGAGAGCAGGGGTGTGTGTGTGTGTGGGGGGGGGGGCATGATATGGCTTCGTACCTGGCGCACAGCAGCGGTAGGCACAGCAGCAGTGGCAAGCCCAGCAGCGGCTCGCACTCCTCCCGTCACAGCGCGAAGCATGTTGTGTCTCGAGTCGAGTGGCGGAGGCTGGGAATGTGGCGGCTAAGTGGCTGGTGGCTGGTGACTGGCGGGTGGCGGGTGGCGTGTGGTGGCTGACGGCCGGGGCCGGGTGGGTGGTGTTGGGCGGGGTGGAGAGTCGGTCGGCGGCTTGGGGCTTTACACCTTTACACGCTTAGTCGACCGGGAGATCAAGCTCCGGATCGGCAAACGAGTCACGGGCATGGACGGATCCAGCCGAGGCTTTGGGCGCGTCAGTGGGGACGGCAGGGGTGGCGTCGCCGTCGCCGTCCTGCTTGGATGCCTTGCCAACGCCGACGACGGCGTTGTTGGCGTTGAGATCGGCCTTGGTCTCGGCCATCTTCTTCTTGAGCTCGCGGCGCTTGGCGTGGTTCTTGCGGACCTCAACAGCCGCAGTCGACTCGTCGCGCGATGACGATCCGCCGTGCTGCGTGCGCATCTTGGCCATCAGGTCATCGTGGGCCGACGGCTTGTTGGAATGGTGGTACACACCATCGCGGGCGGTGGCCGCCAGAAGCAGCTGTGCGTGGTAGCACTGCTGCGCGAGGTGCGGGTTGGAGGCCTGGAAGTGCTCGCGCGCAGCACGGAGCGCCTTGAGGCCGTCGGTCGAGTCAAACAGCTCGTCCGAGTGCCGCACCAGAATGGGAAGCCAATGCGACTCGTTCGGATGAGTCACCATCCATGCCAGATCATCCGCCAATGCTGCCACCGTCGGCAGGGTCTTGAAGAACTGAGAGGCCTCAATGCACCGGCCAAACTCGTCCCGCTCCCGCAAGATGCACAGGCCTTGTCGCGACATCAGCCCCGGCCGCGGCACCGGTTTCTTTTGCCCCGATGTGATGGTGAGGTTGTACTTTTTCAGCAGCCGTCCAACCCGCTTCTCCGTCACCTTCCAGTGCGGGTACGTCAGCTGAAGAAACTTGGCGAGCCTATGTCCGAGAGCAGCGACGATGAGGAAAGAGAGAGAGAGGCCCAGCCAGCCGGGAGGAAGAGGATATCCGAATCCAGGGTACCAAGATGGTGCCACCAGTAGCCATCGCGATGTCATAGTCATCATCCCAAGTTTTGTAAGTATATATGTGCATGTTGTTCGCGTGTGTATGTACGTGACATGGGAGTTTGGTCGCATTGCCAGATAGTCCCCCCCTCCCGCCTCCCTTAGCCCTCTCTGCTGTGCTGTCCCGCCATCGCGATCACCCTCCTCCTCCCCCTCCACCCTCCCCCCCCCCCCTTCACCAAGCACCACCTCCCCCCCCCTCCCTCCCTCCCTTCCTCCCCTCCCCTCCCTGCACACCGTGTCTACCTACCGTTTCCTTCCAAACGATGGGTTCTGCTTCTTGGCCATGAAGAGGACAGGGAGGAACTCGTCCGAGCTGGGAATGACCTGCTCCATAGGCAATGTATAAGGTGGTGGTGGTGGTGGTGTGTGTGTGTGTGGGGGGTTTGTGCTATGCTGTGGTGTGGTGGAGGAGAGAGAGAGAGAGAGTGTGTGTAGGGTGTGTGGGATAGTGTAGTGGTGGCAAGTGTGTGTGTGGGGGGGGGGGGGGTGCGGGTGGCCGGGAGGTAGAGTCGGCGGGTGGCCGTGCTTGCGCTGTGGACGAGGCAATGATAATGGAGATTGGTTGGTCCTCGATCGCCATAAAGGTGGGCTCGACATGGGGCTGGTGCACACCAATCGGGGTCTATTACATAGGGAAGGTCAAGGTCAGGGCGAGGCCGATCGCGTCGCTCGGGGTGGCCTCCAGCTAGAGTGGGCATGCTCGGACTGGTCAACCACCCGACGACCGGCACGGGCTCTCGGCAAGTGTGTAGTGTTTGTGATGTGGTCGATATGCCTGCTTGATATTGCTGTTGGTGTTGCAGCTGCTTCGGTGGACGAGGAGGTTGGTTTACGATGAAACAGTGGCATAGATCGACGAGGATGAGCATGACGAGGACCATGCGGCGTTGCGGTCGCGATGGCCAGCGTCGTGGTCCGAGAGAGAGATCGACGGCGACGCTGCGTATGATGGCGGAAGGCTGGGGTCAGAGTCATGGTCTGAAACCGAGTAGTACGAGTAGTAGGCCTCGTCGACGTTGTGAGTGAGGCGCACGGGGAGGTGGCGGTGGGTGCCGACGAGACATAGGCCATCAGATCCTCGATGGTGAGGGCGGCGGCGTCGCCGGTCTCGCCATCCGAGGCAACCATCGACTTGCGGGCCATGTCGAGGAGCTCGGTGTACGAGACCCGGGCCTCGGCAAGGGCGCGAAGCTGGGCGGCGGACGCATCGCCGGTAGCCTCGACGAGCGAGGTGAAGAATCCGCTCGGGTTGTCGAGCAAGGCGGCAGGGGTGTCAAACTCGACGAGCTCACCGTCGTCGAGAACCATGACCCGATCCGAGTCGACGACGGTCCCGATGCGGTGTGCAATGGCGAGGATGGTGCACGAGGCAAAGGCAGTACGGACGGTGGTCTGAATGGCGGCATCGGTGTCAAAGTCGACCGATGCAGTCGCCTCGTCGAGAACCAGGATCTTGGGCTTGCGGAGTAGGGCGCGGGCGAGGCAGATGAGCTGCTTCTCGCCGACCGAAAAGTTGGAGCCGGCTTCGGTGACAGGATGGGCAAGGTGGAGATCGTAGCTCTCCACAGTCGGCTTGAGGAGAGCGAGCTCGAGGGCCGACCAGACCTCAGCATCAGTAAACTGCGCAAACGGGTCGACATTGTCGCGGACGGTGCCAGCAAACAGGACCGGATCCTGGGGAATGATGGCCAGCGAGGAGCGGAGGTCGGCGAGGCCGATGGCAGTCACGTCGACTCCATCGATAACCAGCTTGCCGCCGTCATTCTCGATTTCGACCAGGCGGAAGAGGACCGACATGAGTGAGGACTTGCCCGAGCCGGAGCGGCCAACGACGCCGATCTTCTCGCCACCACGGATAGTGGCGGAGAGCTTTTTGAGAACCAACGGAAGGCCCGGGCGGTATCTCATCGAGACGTTGGAAAGCTTGATCTCGCCAGACGACGGCCACGACGGCGGCGGTGCGTTCTCTGGAATGTGGGCCGGCGCCTCGGATGGCAGCTCCGAGTAGGCCGAGATACGCTCGACCGAGTTCATCAACTGCTCAACAAAGGTGCCGAGCTGGACGACAAACTGCATGAAGCCCGTGACCGAGAGCGAGTACGAGACGGCCATGGCGGCGAGGCCAGGATCAAGCTTGCCCGAATGGATGTCGTCGCGCGAGAGAACGATCGAGAGGCCTGCGGCGAGGACAAGGAGCTGGCCGAGTGTCACCATTCGGATGCGAAGCCAGAGGCCGGCAACGTGCTGATAGAGCATGGCCTGGTGGTTGTAGTCGAGGCGAGCGCAGTTTTCAACGGCTAGCTGCGCCTCGCGCGAGTACGCGCGGACCGAGTCCACTCCGGCCAGCGTCTCGGAAAACTGCTGGTAGACCGGCGAGCGCGAGATCGACGCCAGCCTGCGGAGCTCGAGTGACGAGTAGCGGTAGTAGCGCTGGATAAAGTAGTAGACGACAGCGATGGGGATGAGAAAGAAGATAAAGTACCAGCGGATGACGCAAATGGCAACAAGCATGCCCGAGAGGAGGAAGATGACCAGCATGTAAGTGTTGAGCTGCGCCGGGAGCTGAGTATCGATGGTGTCGAGATCCTTGGAGAACCGGTTGAGGATGCGGCCGAGGGGGTGGTGTCAAAGAACGACATCGGCGAGTGGAGGACGGAGCGAAGGACCCGCTCGTGCATTTCGCGCGCGGCAGACACGGTGCCGCGGACCCACCAGACTTCGCGGGCAAAGACAAAGAGTGTGTTGAGAATGGCAAAGAGAACAAGGATGCCGAGGTAGAACTCGAGTTTGAAGCTCTTGCCGGTCTTCTTCTCGAGATAGCCCGACGACCAGTACGAGAGCCACAGATCGGTGCCGGTGGTAAATGCCTGAGCCACGGCATGGAGGAGCATGTAGACGACAAAGAAGAGGATGGTGCCCATGGTTGCCAGGTACTTGAGGTAGACGGAGAGCGGGACTGCGCCAGTATCGCGCTCCTCAGCAATAGTCAGTTTGCCGTCGCCGCCAGCGGCCGGCTGCGGATTAGGAGGCGGCACCTCCTCCACCTTGGAGTGCGAGGAAAGGAGCGAACTGCCTGAAATCAGGGCCGACGACTGCTGGCGTCTGTCGAGCGAGGCTGATGTGGCCTTGGCATTTGTCGCAACAAGGTCAGCGTCCGAGCCGCTGGCATCAACGGAGCCCATGTGCTCAATGTACATCGCAGCAAAGGCACCATCAGCAGCAAGCAGCTCGTCGAGGGTGCCCTCTTCGGCAATGGTGCCGTCACTGCCGAGTGAGATAACGTAGTCGGCAGCAGCGAGGTGTTGAAGGTGGTTGGTGGTGAGGACGCGGGTCTTGGAGCGTAGAACGCCGTTAATGCACTTGTCAAAGATGTTCTTGCCGACCTCGGCGTCGACGGCCGAGAGAGGATCGTCCATGATGTAGATCTCGGCGTCGGTGTAGACTGCGCGGGCAATGGAGACCCGCTGCTTTTGCCCCCCCGAGAGATTGATGCCGCGCTCGCCGATCTCAGTCTCGTCGCCTGCGGGGAGGACGGTAAGGTCGTGGGTGAGAGAGGCCGCGGTGAGCGCAGCCTGGTAGCGGGCCTCGTCGTAGTTGGCGCCAAAGAGCACGTTGTTGCGCAGGGTGTCGTTCATGATCCATGCCGTCTGCGGCACAAGCGCAATCGAGTCGGCGACGCAGACAGCGCCCGACACAATGTGGATTTCGCCGAGGAGAGCTGCGACAAGCGAGGACTTGCCAGAGCCGACAGGGCCAACAATCATGACCAGCGACCCACGCGGGAGCTCAAAGTTGATGTTGCGGAGAGCAGGGAGCGTCGGGCCCGATGCCGTCACATGTGGCGCGGCCTTACCGCTGCCATCTGAAGCTGGCGCAGCGGCAGGCTCCGCCTCTGTCAGTGCCTTTGCTGACGCCTTGGCAGCCTTTGCGGCTTCTGCAGCGGCCTCTGCAGCTTCGACAGCGGTGAGCTCGGGCGCCCAGGCAAAGGTGCCATCGACGATGCGGGCGAGGATAGGCTTGCGGGCGGCAAAGCGAGGCTTGCGAGGGCGAGCGCGAGTGGACGGGTCCGGGTTACCGTTGGCGAAAAAGACGAGGTCTTCTTCGGTGATGCCGTCGGCGTCGAGGCCTGGGGTGTAGGGGATGCGGGTGTTGGCAACCTCGCGCTTGGTGAGGAAGCGCTCGAGGCGAGCGGTAGAGGTACGCGCGAGAACGATTTGGATGGCCATCATGGGTGCATTGGTGAGCGGCATGCGGAGGAGGTTGAAGAGGGCCATCGAGACAAAGACGCGCTCGACGGTGAGCGCGTCTGTGGTGGCGGCGTAGACGACGATGGCGGCGAGGAAAATGAGTGTTGGCGAGAGGATGATACCAAACATGAGGGCGGCGGTGTAGTTTGCGATGCGGCGGATGATGTTGAGCTCGGTCTCGCGAGTGGCTCGAATGCGAGCCATGAACGGCTCCTCGTACGAGTTGAACTTGATGACCCGGATGCCGGTCAGGATCTCGTTCATGAGCTTGACTCGCTCGTCAGCGATTTGCATCTTGGAGACTTGCAGCTTGGAGAGGGCACCACCAATCTTGGCGTTGAACGGAAGAAAGATGAGAATGACGGCGATGCCGGCGAGGACCGACGGGCCGAGCTGATCCCACAGCAGCGCGAGGGCGACGATGATCTGCAGCGGGGTGGAGATGACCTCCTTGATGACGTTGGTGAAGGTGAACATGCGCATGGCGTCGGTCGACATGAGCTGCACAATCTCGCCGGTCGAAGTGCCTTGGCGTGCGCCGTTGGACATGCGGAGCGCCTTGCGGAAGACGGCGTTGTTGGTGGCGGCCAGCGAGGCCATGCCGAGCCGCACCAGGATGCGGTCGGTGGTGGTGCCCAGAATGGTCCCGATCCAGGGCACAACGGCGAGGAGACATGCGTAGATGATGCCATTGACCATCGGCTCATCCTTGGAAGCCAGGAACCGGATGATGGCCCGGAGGAGGAGCGGGCCGGCAAACGGCGCTCCAGCCGAGAGGATGACCATGACGAGGACCATGACAATGGCTGGCGTGCCGGCCATGGCCACAAGCGTCCTGCGGAGCGATGGGCGCTTTGGCGGCGCGTCCGGCCCAGCCTCGGCGGCGATGGTGGCCACTCGAGCCTCCTCCGCCGCCCAAAGCGCTTCAAATTGCGCCGTCACGCCTTTCGCCTGCGAGATCTCCGGCAGCGGCGGCAGGTCGGTGTGCTCCAGCGGCTGCCTGGAGCCGAGCTTTAGCAGCGGCGAGATCCATGAAAAGCCCAGCCGCGACGGCAGCGAGGCCGTGTCTTCGGGGCATACCTTTATCCGATTCACCTCTGGGTCTGGCTTGTTTGCCTGGCTCGACTTGCGGGCTTTCATGGTCTTGTGCATCGAGTGCGAGCGAGGTGTCTCCAGGCGGACAAGCACCTGAGGCACAATTGGCACGTGCGAGTCGGCGTGGGCAGCTGTGGCAGACGACCACGAGTCGGGCTTTTATGCTCTGCTACTCCGCTTTCCGACGGAATTCCAAGGAACGGACGACATGGACGGCAGCGATGGGAATGTTCCTTCTATTTGCTGCTGCAATGAGCTTTGGCTTCTTGCAGTGCGGTTGGAGAAGGGCAGTTGGATGTGGTGAGCGCCGCGATGGACAGGGAGGCGCGCGGGTTGTGGTAGGCACGGAGAGGGGGGGGGGGGGGGGGGGTTCTTCCCGGCAGGGCAAAGGGACAGGAATTGAGGGGTTCGGTTTTTCGGTGGCAAGCCAACACTCGTCTCACTGCAGCCGATTGCTCGTGTGATCTGGCTCGTGCGGAGCACTGGACGCGCGGCTGGACTGGAGTGAGCGGCGATGGCGCTGGATGTGTTTCGGCGTGAGTTTGTGGCGAGCGAGTTCCGGCCGCGATGGTTCATGGCGACGGGGCGAGCGCTGACAGGCAACGGGACGGCGATGCGAATGGGCGCGTGCGTTCGTGCGCTGATGGGTAGTGGTGGCAAGGAGGAGCGGAGCGATGACGATGGTGGCGATGGGCGAGCACGCGGACACGTGCTGCGGGCAAACCACGGGCTCGGCCTACTCGCGGCGACACGGCTTGTGATCTCTGTGCGCATTTTCGGCGAGGTGTGGGCGGTGGACGAAGTCGGACGTGGCCCGCTGTTTGTGCTGGAGCGTTGCACGCTCCCTCGATGTGTGCGCGGGGTCCGTGATCGGGTAGCTGTGCGAATGGAGGTGGCATCGGTGTTCGAGACATCGTGTCCGGTGCTGGTGACAGCCACGTTTGGCTCGCGAGCGCTTGTTGTCCACGAGCTCGACGGCGGGCGGGCCGAGTGTATGCGCGCGCTGCCGGCCGAGTTTGGGCGGCCGCCTGCAGCAGTGGGGTGGCTGAACGCCGGGCGCGAGCTGTACGTAGTGTCTGCTGCGGCGGTCGAGGGCGGGCACAAGGTGTGTGTGGCGGTGTACGGGTGGGAGCCACTGACACGGCAGCTGTCGGCCGAGCCGGCGGCGCTCGGCTGGGTGGTGGCGCATCCGCCGCGGTCACGGGTGGTGTGGGACGGAGTCGACGACGACGGGGTCATCGAGGTGCGATCTAGCGCTGGCTCGCAGTTCTACGCTGCAAGCGATGTTGTTGCGGCGCTTCGGGACGCAAGGTCGTCCGAGGTCTTCCTCGGTGGCGAGCACGGGCTGGCACCACTGGCGGAGCTGGCGTTGAGCGGCGCGCGTGTGACCGGCATGCCGCCGTTCCAGTTCTCCGACTCGATGTGTGCGGCTGGCGGGCCGAGCGGGGTGGTCCTGGCCACATCGCGGACCGGCGACCGCGGGCCGATTGCAGCGCGGGTGGCGGACCTGGGCAGCGATCCGGGCGTGGGGCCGAACCTTTTTGCGGACGCGCCTGGGTGGAGCGCGCAGATGGGGTTCGACATGAGTGCGTTCTTTCTGTTTAGCGGGCGGCGAGTGCTGAGCCGGACGTACTCGTGCATCAAGGTCTTTGACGTGGCCGCGTGCGGGCCGGCGATGACTGCGGCACCACCGCTGCCGTCGATTACCACCGCCGCCGAGTTGGTTCGCAGCAAGTCAAGCGGGCTGGCGCCGATGGAGGTTGTGGATCGCCGGCAGAGTCGAGACGAGAGCGGCAAGGACTCGCTGGAGGTTAGAATGCGGTTTGCGGTGAGCGCTGTCGAGGTGAGCGATGTGGTGCGGCGTGTACGGGAGCGTGAGGCGGCGTCTCGGCTCAGCGACGATGGCGGCGAGGCGGCGGCCGAGGTGGGGCTGTACGGCGATCTGGGCGGGCGCGACGGCCGTCGCGGATCATGCAGGACGAGAGCAACCTTCTGTCCAGCTTTGGACTGGGAGGCACGTGCGACGCAACGATCCACACGGTGGCGTTTGCGCCGTACCAGCGGCTGATGGCGGTCGGGTGCAGCGGAGCGGCGGTGCTGTACGATCTGGAGAGCGGCGAGGCGTTGGCGAGCGTGGCGCTTGCTGAGTGGGACTCTGAAGCGTTCAATACGCTGGTGATCATCGACGGGTGGCTGGTGCATGTGGTGCGGACGACGAGCGGCGGCAGCTTTGCGGTTCACGTCTACGAGCTGGTCTCCGACGCGCGGCGGCTAGCAGCAGGCGATCATCCGAACCAGGCCTTGGCGTTGGCGTAGTGGCGGGCGAGCTCATCATGGGTGTAAAAGCCGGTGTCAGGAGGCAGATTCTGGGTCTCAAGATACTGGAAGAGCAAGACCTGGTCGCTCGGATCGAGGGCGTCGACGGCAAAGTCGGCAGCAGGAGCGGCAGAGGGCGGGGCGTGATGGGAGGCGTGCTCGGCCTCGCGCGCGGCGGCGAGTGACGAGACGCCGATGGACGGAAGCTCTTCCGGGCATTCTGCAGCGAGGCTAAAGAGGGTGACGTCGGCCATGTTGAGCATGGCGCCCTGGATGCCGAGGTCGTCGCCGAGGTCGACGGTGGGGAATAGCGAACCAAGGTAGGCACGCATGGCAGGCGCCGAGGTGGTGGAAAGAAAGGCTGCACCGGGGTGCGTGGGGCGAGCATGCGAGTCAAAGAGGAGCCAGAGTGGGAGAGGCGAGACGTCGGTGGCCGGGAGGTAGGCGAGCATGACGGACTCGGGCGCTTTGGTGATGACGGCGGCGGCCGGGCCGGCGGTTGCGGCAGCCTCGAGCATGGGCATGGCCTCGGCGACGGTGTGAGCCATGAGACCGGCCATACGACCCATCACCAGACTGCAGCTGTAGCGATCGACCTGGGAGACGACCTCGTCGGCCGAGAGCTGCATGGGCGAGGTGTAGGCGGCGCCGAGGTCGAGAATGGCGTCGACAAGGTCGATAGTCGGGCTCTCGCCGCGGAGAAGCTGCAGTGCAGCCTCCATGGCCATAATAGTGCAAGAGGAGATGGCACCAATCGAGTACTGGTTGCGCTCGGCCTGGACAAGGTCGAGATCGAGATCGGTGGCGGCGGCGGTGGCGGCGGGCGCCTGCGCTGCGGGCTGACCTGCCGTGACCGCCTCGGCAAAGGCCACGGGCGCGAGCCAGAGCGCACCAGGGGTGGCATCGGGCCAGCACACAGTTGCAGCGGCGTCAAAGAAGACAAAGGCACCGGACGGCTCGAGCCAGGCACGCAGAGCGGCATCTGCGGCGGTGTTGCCATCATCGGCGGCAGCTCCTGCGTGGGCCGGGTACTGCATGACGGCGCCGAGAAAGGCACGTAGCGCAGCAAGCGGCAGTGCAGGGATGTTGGCATGTGCTTCACTCACACTCCCGTCAAGTAGTGTCTGCACATTGCTCACGTCGGCAGCCGTGGCACAGTCCATGGCTCTAGTTGCTCTCGACAGGTGTGGTGTGTCCGCCTTTGGGAATGGTGTCGCAAATGCGACCTTTTTCGGCGCAGCCGCGCCCGGCCCCGGCGACCGATCGGCTGCAGGCCAGTTCCGGGCGCGCAAGAAGATAGAGAGCAGAAAAAAGACATGCTATGAGCATGAGCTCGAGAAACATGCTCTATCCATGTGCAAGCGGAAGGAGAGTTGGTAAAGGTAAAGGTATGATACACAAGAGCCCGAGGCGTGACCAGGCGGAAGGAGGGAGGTCGAGGGAACGATGGAGTGCGACCGGGAGCTGTTTGTTCGGTTGGCACAAGTGCCATAGTGTCGCAATGGAAGGTGCACCAGTTGGCGGCATCAAAAAGAGCAGCGGGAATTGGGCGGGAGCGGGAAAAGAAGCCTTTACGCATCCCCTTGTCTTATCCATTGTCGCGTACGGTTCGTAGGAAGCAGTCTCCACAACCGTTACCGACAAGACTACGCAAAAGACCAAGTCACCCCCCCCCATCTTGCTTACTTTCGTACTTGCTTGATCCTCTTATCACGAGGTTCATTCCCCGCAACTCTTTCCTCCCCCCCCCCTTGTTGTGTACTTGACCGAACGTCGGCGGTACATCGAAACCTTTGTGTGACGTCTTGCTTCCATTTTCGAACGCTTGCTCTTTGTCTCTGACAACCATGCGTGTGGTCAAGATTACCTTTGGCGCTGAGACGCGCCGGTTCCGGCTCAACCCGGAGACGACGACGTTTACTCGGCTGCGCGAGCTTGTGAAGCAGTCATTTGCTCCGCTTGCTGGTGACGCCACGGAGTTTGTGCTCAAGTGGACCGACGAGTTCTCGGAGGTCAACGTGCTCGGCTCCAACCTCGAGCTGACCGAGGCCTTCCATGTGGCGGGCACGGCGCTCAACCCCCCGATTCTGCGGCTGATGGTGGAGGCTTCCGAGCCTGCGCCTGGCGCCGCGACTCCTCTCCCCTCGCCCGTGGTGGTGGCGGTGACGGCTGATGCCGAGGAGGAGGAAGACGATGATGATGATGATGATGATGATGATGATGATGCTGATGCTGCTGATGCTGCTGATGCTGCTGATGCTGCTGATGCTGCTGATGCTGAGGACGAGGACGCGCGCGGCGCTTCGTCGTCGTCGGGCGACAACAAGTCGACTGACGACGGCCCCGACGCGGCGCAGGGCCGCACGGTTCTCGTGGCTTGGCTCCGGCACGTGCTTGCCGGCGGCAAGGGTTCTGTGGAGCCGCAGTGGCTCAACGACCTGATGCACTCGGCGCTGGAGGCGTTTGGCGGAGTGCAGGGCCTGATTGCGCAGGCCGAGGCGTCGCCGGACGCTGTGCCGGAGGAGCTGGTGGCGAGCGCGGCTGATCTGCTTCTGGGCAACACCGAGCTCCGCAGCGTGCTCGCCTCGCTGGAGGTGGTGCCGATGGAGGAGGTGCTTGAGGAGCGTGCAGCGGCCGAGGTTGCGGCTGCGGCTGCTGCGACGGCCGAGGCCGAGGCTGCAGCGGTGGCGGCCGAGGCCGAGGCTGCGGCTGCCGAGGCTGCTGCGGTTGCTGCGGCTGCCGAGGCTGAGTCGGCTGCTGCTGCTGCGGTTGCTGCTGCTGCTGCTGCGAGCGGGCGCGAGGGCGCTGCGGCTGCGGCTGCTGTGCGGCGTGGGCCGCATGCGCGACTTGCGCAGGCCATCGACGACATCTTTGGATCTGTGATGTCGCAGGTTGTGCAGCCGATCCTGAAGGCGTCGACGGAGAGCGCGTCGAAGAACGCGCTTCACATTGCGGCGGCGCTTGCGCCGCAGCTTGCCGCGGACCGCGCGGCCGAGGCTGCGGGCGCAGGCGTGGTCCACGCCGGGGTGCGGTGTGACGGGTGCCAGGTCTCGATCCGTGGTATCCGCTACAAGTGCACGGTGTGCGACGACTTTGACTTGTGCGTCGAGTGCGAGCGCACCGGGGCCGCGGGCCATGTTGCTACGCATCTGTTCCTCAAGATCCGCAAGCCCGTGCGGATTCGGCGCGGCGCGCTGCTGCCGGACCTCTACGCGGCGCAGTCGCAGGCCAAGTGCGGCTGGCGGCACCGGCGCCGCAACGTGGCGCGGTGGATGGAGCAGCGCAAGCCCGTGGCCGAGCCTGTGGCGCCGTCCGAGCCTGCACCCGCGGCAGAGCCCGTGGCGCCGGCTGTGGTCAAGGCCGCGGCCAAGCCGGCCAAGCCGGCGAAGAAGAAGTCGCCGCGGTTTGTGGCACGGTTCATCGCCGACGTGACCATGCCCGACGGGACCAAGCTGGCGCCGGCGACGCAGTTTGTCAAGATCTGGCGGATCCGCAACGACGGCGAGACCGAGTGGCCCGAGGACACGCGGCTGGAGTTTGTGGGAGGCGACTGCATGCTTGGCAAGGCGGTGGCGGTCCCGGCGGCTGCGCCTGGAGAGTGCGTCGACGTGGCGGTCGACATGGTGGCGCCGCGCCCGGCCGGGCGCTACTGCGGCTACTGGCGCCTTCGCTCCGGCACCGGCGTTCGGTTCGGCCACCGGGTCTGGGTCGACGTCCTCGTCGTGCCGCAGGAGCCGGTCGAGGCTGACGACGACGACGACGAGACCGTGATCGAGACCGAGGCTCCCGCCGAGGTTGACAACGGCGCGACGTCTGCGTCGTCGGCGGCCGGCAAGGAGGTCGACGACGACTCGGTTGTGGCCGAGGCTCTCGAGCCGGCGGCGACTTCGGCTGAGCTTGAGGCCGAGGCCGAGACCGCCGAGGCCCAGATCGCCGAGACCGAGGCGGTGGTCGACGGCGCGGTCGAGGAGATCGCGGTCGAGGCGACGCCCGACGACGCTGTGGCGGCGTCGGACGATGACCTCGTCATCGTTGGCGACTTTGCCTCGGAGGTTGCCGCCGAGACCGAGGCCGACCTCCCGCCTCTCGCGCAGCTCGAGGCCATGGGCTTTGGCGACACCGAGCGCAACCTGACCCTGCTCTCCAAGCACGACAACAACGTCGCGCGGGTTGTGGCCGAGCTCCTCTCGTGATCTCGCCCTCGCGCATTACTTGGCTCTCATCTCCACCACCATCATTCCACCATCATTCCCCATCCTGCCTTTGACATCGGTAAACCAGGAGTTTTGACGACAACGACAACGATCGTAGCTTGCAGCATAGCATGGGCGGGTTGTGAGGAGACAGCGAACAGACGATTGGTTCTGCGTTTTATTCCGTTTAGGCAACGAGGGTGGCAGCGGTGGCCGAGTCGTACTTGAAGTTGGGGGCGAGGACGCGGGTCTTCTTGTAGTAGCGCGAGAGGCGGTGGATGCGCGACTCGACGAGGACGAGGCGGAACTTGGCATCGCGGTCCTTGCGGTTGCGCTCAAGGTGGCGGCGGATGGAGACGGCCTTCTTGATGAGGTGGTACAGGTCCTCGGGGATCTCGGGCGCCATGCCGTTGGCCTTGAGGATGCGGAGCACCTTGGCACCGGTCACGTTCTTGACGCGGGCAACACCGTGCGAGTCACGGAGCATGACACCAATCTGCGACGGGGTCGAGCCCTTCTTGGCAGCGTGGCAGATGAGGGTGCACACCTCCTCCGGGGTGACCTTGAGCCACGACGGGGGGGCAGTGCGGTAGGGGAGGGCCGAGCGGCTGATGCCGCGACTGTGGTTGGATGTCACCCAGGTTGGGACAGAGGGGTGAGTGATGGACGAGGGGGGGGCTAGCCAAAGCTATCGAGTCTTCTGAGCTGCCGCTCCTGCACAACAAACCACAACACAACATGCTGCACCACGCCATTTGGTCGTGGGCTCGATCCTCTTCCCGTTGCGCTCCTACACGCTGCGGAAATTCAAGGGCGCAGACGGGGGAAGCCGGCAGGATTGGCTTCTGACGACAGAAATATTCCTAGCCGTCCGACAAGGGCCACACACACACACGCCCTGCGCTGCTCACCACAACCTTCCACGCCCACCACACCGCGCATGGCGGTGGGACACAGCGCATACACCGCCTTGTCAAGCTGGGGGTGGTCAACTCGTCTCGGTGCGTGTGTACATGGGTCGCCAGTCGCCGCGGCCGCCGCCATCAAAGTGTATGATTTCGACCGCCGGCTGTCTGACCCACACACCCATCCAGAGCAGGGCATTGCACCGCCTCACCACCTTGGCTCCGCACCCACTATTCCCGCTGTGCTAACGTCGCTTATGCTCTCTCTCCTGTGTACGTACCCGTTGGAGTGCATCCGAACCATCTTGAACTGTGTGTGAGTACGGAGAGTGGTGTGGGTTTACCTCACCGCGCCGCCCGTCGCCCGCGACTCGTCGTTTCATTTTCGCCTCGCTCGCTCACCACCATCAACCAACCAACAACCGAGCCACCTTGGTGGACAAAAAATGTTGCGCACCCCCCACCCCCCCCACCCCGGAAAACGAGCTCGGCCTGCGGAGTCGCAGTCTGCCTGAAAGCTTCGGCAAGCCGCAAACAATCCGGATCCCGATTGTACTGGCCAAGACGGACAAGGCAGAGATAGGGATGACAACGGTTGTGACTGGGTGCCCGAGCGGGAGCTGGGTGTCGGACATGGAGTCATCGCTTGTGCGCGAAGATGCGGGGAGGGAAGCACGACATGCCGGGCTGCCTCTGCTGTGCTGGCACGGCAACACGCTGCGCAAGCTTTCATGCATCGCGGCTCTCGAAGCAGCCCAGGAGCGGGTGGCAGTGCCGCGCCGAATAGGGCCGCTGACGCCAATCGATCGGCAAGGCTTGTAACATACTTCAGCGAGGCTAGGAGCGGATCGACGGAGAGCGAGAGGCCTGGATGGAGCGGAGGCGAGTGTCGATGTACTTGATGACTGGATTGGCGACGATGCACGGGAGCTGGAAGATAGGCAGAGCAGTGGGGAGCGGAGCGATGGAAATGCCCCGCATGGAGACCGGGAGAGGTCGCGACTTGGTGGCCATGATGACAAAGAACGGGTAGGCGAGGAAGAAGACGGCGTTGGAGACGGCAAAGGAGAAAAGTAGCAAAGTAGGGTAAAGGGGAGGCCAAAGCCGGCAAAGTAGGCCCAACGGGCGTGGAAGATGATGATGCGCTTGGAGAGGTCCGAACCAATGTTGATCCACTTGTACTCGAAGCAGAGAAAGGCAAAGTACCAGGCGGTGAGGATCATGTCGACGGCGCGGGCGAGATGCGGGCCGACGAAAGGCACTGCGCACAGGAGCAGGGCAACAACTACTTGCAAGACGACATAGGCCAGAACCACAACAGTGCGATAGATGACCTCAGCCGCCTGCTCCCATGCAGGGCGCTTCGGGGCAGCCTTGACCGAGCCATCGAGGGCAAAGGTGACGTCGGCGATCTCCTGGTACCAAGCTGAGGAGAGGAGGAGGGTGACGAGAAGAATGGGCAAAATGCATGCGACAAAGAACACCGATGAGTACAACGGTTCGAGCCACGCGGCCAAGGTTTGAATGACCACCGGCGAGGCACGGGATGACCACGGCGCAGGGAGATCGAGAATGGCGGCAAGCATGGGATACAGAGCATAGTCATAGAAGAGCGCCGCCGGCAGAAATAGCAGTCCATTGAGCTTGATCGAGTCCCATGTCCGCTTACGGATGTCTTTGTTCTATGATGACATGATGATGATGATGATGATGATGATGAGTGTGACTGCGGGGGTGGGGGCGGGGGGGGTCGGGGGGGGGGGGGGGTTAGGTATGGGCATGGGCAGCAAAGAGAGCACCTACCTTGGCAATTGTGAGGATGGCTTCAAGCATATTACTTCCATCTTGAACACCCACCCAGCCCCACTTGGCCACTTGGATGAAAGAGACCACCATGGAGTCTTCCCCCGGTGTGGAAGGTGGTGGAGCCATGGGTGACTGAAGGCGGTGACGAGTGTTGTCTGGTGAGGGGGAAGTCGGTGGGGTGGGGTGAGGGGCAGGCGGAGACGTACGTGCGGCCACACAGACTGGGGATGGGGCTGAAAGGCAGGAAGGAACAGCATACTCGCTCGATCATTGCATGCCCATCATCAGCCATGCAGTACTGCGCTCAATAGATGATGTTGGTGATGGCGAGCGGGCGACGGGACGTGGTTGTGGGATGTAGCGATGGCGGTCATCGGACTGGAGATCTGCGGAGGATGGGCGAGGAGATGGTGTGGGGTCGGAGCAAGGACGGGGTAGCGGAGGAGCGGTGAGGCGGAGGAGCGGGCGCGGACGGAAGGAGGAAGCGTGGGAGATGTGAGCCTAGCTCGCGGCGGACGCGGGCATCACTGCCGATGGTTCGCAACTCGGCAGCCGCCGCTCCGATACGGGCCAGCGATGTTCGGGCGATGACCGCGTCTGGTTGCATGGCTTGAGCGAGTTCACGTGAGGCCTGGGCACCGCGGACCCGGTTGATCATCCGCCGCAGCGCGTCCTGCTCCGCGACCACAGCCGCTCGCCGATCCCAGGCCTTTTGCGTCCGCGGCGAGCCCATCATTTGGCGGTACTCGTTTTCACCACGACGGCGGGCGCTCTCAGCCACGGCCGTCCGCAGATCCCTTGCCCTCGTCGCATTGCGGATGGCATCGACAACCCGTGGCTGGACCACAGGCGCCGGCGATGGTCGCGAGACAGTCAGGTTCGAGGACAAAGACGGCAATGATGACGGCGACTGCAGTGCATGCGAGTGCGAGCGAAGGCGAGCCATGACCGGTGATCGCACAACCCGAGTGGATGACAGCCTGGCTCGTGTCGGTCCGGTCTGAGCTGGCCGAGCAGCCCGTGGACTAGCGGCTTGCCGCTGAGTGGAAGTGCCTGGGGCTTGTAGAGCCGCCAGAGCAGCGTTGATGCGGGAAGTATGGTCGGTCATGGCAGCAAAGCGAGTCGAGTAGTTGTCGACTTGTCCGGCTTTATGTCGGTGGTCAGCCTGTTCCCCTACTTGCCTGCCTGCCTGCCTGCCTGCCGGCCGGCCTGCCTCGCTGTGAGCTGTCCGGCGCTTGATCTGACATGGCTGAGTCGACACACACGCTATGGACTGATATAGCGAGAGGGATCAGCCATGCGTATCGATGCAGGAGGCGGATGGCTGCCTGTGCGCGGCCGGGTCGACCATCGTGAGACACACGCTATGGACTGATATAGTGAGAGGGATCAGCCATGCGTATTGATGCAGGAGGCGGATGGCTGCCTGTGCACGGCCGGGTCGACCATCTTGAGGCACACGCTATGGACTGATATAGTGAGAGGGATCAGCCATGCGTATTGATGCAGGAGGCGGATGGCTGCCTGTGCACGGCCGGGTCGACCATCTTGAGGCACACGCTATGGACTGATATAGTGAGAGGGATCAGCCATGCGTATTGATGCAGGAGGCGGATGGCTGCCTGTGCGCCACTGTGCGTGAGATGAGGTGGAGGTGGTGAGGTTGGTGATAGTGCGGCACAGTCCTCTGCGATTCGGTCAGGCCATGCCGGTAGCTGGTGAGGAAGCAGCTGAGGCTGCCTTCTCTGCCTTTCATGCGCGGAACAAGACATGGATGGCTGCACGGCGGGAGAAGCTTGTGCGGAAGCGAGTGAGCGAGCATGTTGGGCTTGGAACTCCGCATGTATGTCGTGAGTGGTGGCTGTGTGCTGGGGGAGGGGGAGGGGAGGAGGAGGGGGGGGCGGGTAAGGGGAAGGTGGACCCGAAGCGGGCGGCGAACTGATGATGATAATGATGACGGGCTGGTGTGTGTATAGGTCAGTCACTCGGCCAAAGACGAAAATGATGGACCTGTTGGAAGTGTTGATGGTCATGGTGGCGGTCATCATCATCGTGGGAGTCCGGCAGAGGTTGCTGAGAGGCAGATGCAGTGGCTCAAGGAGAAGGAGGCAAGGAGAGAGGCAAGGCGATGCCAACTGGAGCGCGAGGAGAGGTCATCGGCAAGGTTTTCCAAGCCGCTGGATCACTCAAAAGCAGGAAAACAACATGGTGATGAGCTGGTCAGCAGCTCGTTCTGGGACAGGACAAATGCGTCGATCGAGACGTGGAAGGCCACACGCGCAGGTGTGGGCGAAGGAGATGCTGTAGAGGCGGACAAGCTCGCCCAGCTTCCGGCCATCAATGCCCGGTCGCGAGAGTTGGCGGCCAAGGCGGACAAGCGGCCGTTTCTGGAGCGGGTCAAGGCTGATCTGGAAACACGCAAGGAGCACCGCCGCAAGGCACGGGCGGCCGCCGCCGAGCGCGAGGCTGCCGCAACGCACTCGGCCATCCTCGATGCCCGAGCCGGGCCCAAGCGCAAGCCATCATCTCGGCTTCCGCCGCCGCCGCCGCGACAGGAGCTCCCGCCGCTGAGCGCCAAGCAAGAGGCAGCGGTCTCAAGGCTGACCCAGTGGGAGAACCGCCGCCGGCAGCGCCTGGCTGAGGCCCGGGCGGCCGCTGCTGCCGACCTGCCGTCGTTTGCACCGCAAATCTCGCAACGGACGAAGCGGCTGGTTGGCCAGTGGAACGATGGTGGCGAGCCTGTCCATGAGCGGCTGCACCGCGAAGCCACGGTTGCGAGCACCCACACGCAGGCTGTCCGCGTTGCGCTCGTACTTGAGACCATTTTTGACGCCTGCGCCCACGGCGTGGTGGCCAACGCCATTCTCCAGTCGTCGCAAGCATCTGCTCCGTCGCCACAGGCCACAGCCGCACCCAGCGAGGATGCGCCCTCGCCTGCCAAGCCGACGGCGGAGGCGACCGCAGTCTCGTCGCCGCGGCGGTCGCGGTATGCGCGCCGAGCTGCGGCCCGCCAAAGGCGGAAGAACCGGGCCAGCGGTTGCCGCGAGCTCGAGGCCGAGCCTGCAGCCGAGGAAGGGCATGAGAGTGTGAGCGAGAGTGATGCTGGCGGTGGCGATGCGGGCGAGCAAGATCAGTGTGGAATGAGTGCCAGCGATGCGAGCGACGGCGCAGAGGCCAAGGCCGAGGCTGAGGCCAGCGTCGAGACCGAGATCGGAGGCAGGACCGCAAGCGAGGCCGAGACAACCATCCACGATGAGAGTAAGGAGAAGTCGCTGTCACCGGCCGAGCGGCAAGCACTACGCAACGCCGAGATCCAGGCCGCACGCCAGCGAAGGACGGAGCGCAAGTTGCAGCTGCAGGCGCACATGCAAGAGCTGCAAGAGAAGAAAAAGGCCGAGGCCGCGGCCGCCGAGCGTGCTAAGCGGATGGAGCAAGCGCGCCGCAAGCGGCTGGCGCAGTCGTCAGGGAACACCCCAGCCATCTCGATCGTGCCATCCAGCCTCGATCGCGACGACGCCGTTCTCGCCTTTGAGTCTTACAGCGAGTCTTCAGACGATGGCGACCGGCTTGTCCACGGCAGTGATCAGGCACGGCAGCAGCCGTAAAAGGAAGATCAAGATGGGACTGTCACGCGTGTTGGATGATGATCAGGCGATGGCCATCACCACATCACAGTCACCACCTGACTCGGTCGACGAGTTGACGAGAGGGGGAGAGAAGGGACGGCCAACATGCTTGCAGACAACACATCCGAGCTGAGCAACGTGACAGCGAACATGCAAGCGCCGCTTCTTCCACAGAACCACCGACACACATTGTTGCACACCGACGCCGAAGGAGTGGAAGAGGGCCTGGCTGGGCGGAGAATGGGTGGCGGTGGTGGCGGCGGTAGGCGTCGCCTGCGACGGGTCGGTCGGCCAAGTGGCGGCGGTGGTCGCGGACGGCGAGCTGGTTGGTGGGACGGAAAAAAGGTGGCCATGGCTGCTACTGCCACATGCCTGGCCACGGTGCTACTTTACAGCATGGCCTTTCTTCCCATGTGTAATGTCTACTTTCGATGTGGCTGCAAGCCGCTGTGGGACGGAGGATCGGCGCAGTGCAACGTCCACTCGGACGTGGGGCCAAAGTGTCCTCAGTGCGCTGCTCCGCCATCGGTGGGCTGGATCCCGATGTATGGTGGCGCTATGCTTTCGTTTGCTACCACCCTTGCTGTAGGATTGCAGTGCTCAGGGTGCTGGAGCTGGCGCTGGCTGCGATGGGCGACCTGGCCCGTGACCCTGCTTGCCTCCTTCTTTGGCTACTCGTTCATCATCGCTGTCTTCTTCCGTCTCGGCACAGACTATCCCTATTTTCTCACCGGCCCCGATCATCCGAAGGAGCGAATCCTCTAACGACTCTGCACCGCCAGACTCGATGGGGACGCCCCGAGGATGTTGACCTTCGCCACCGTGGATGGCCGCTACTTGTGGCGGGTACTTTGATCGTATCCCGCCGCTTCACCTCCCTTGTGCCCACTCTGTTACACTCCATCGTCTCTTGCAGCCTGTGCCGACTTGGCGCTGTGCCCGATCCTTTCCCTACCGTTGGCGCGGCGGTCTGTCCACAGCCATCAACCGAGCAGAGCGCTAGCCACGAGTCAGCAGAGTGGGAGAAAGGCACCAATGGGCACACCTCTCGCAAGTTGCCAACGACAGCCAGCGTCACCAAATCTAGCGCACAGATAGTCAAGTTGGTGTTCCACCATGGTGCGTTGTTTCTTGGGTGTGACTGTGAGGAATGAGGAGATGGAGTGGTGAGCATACATGTGCGTGTGTGCCTGCGGCCAACGAGAGCACGACTTGGCTCGCATTTGCAAGTGGCACGTGCGAGACGGGGCGGAGGCACATGGCCGAGTCGCAAGGCATCCATACTCACGATCTCGATGACTGTGATGGTTGACTATGACATGGAGGTGTATGTAGAGTGGCTATCAGCAACATCAGCAGTCTGGATACGCTCCGCCGCCGTTTGCGCCGCAGGCATCGGCTGCTCCGCCACCAACCAATCCGTACGCAGGCTCGATGCCCGCGGCGACGCCATCGCCATCGCCGTCCCCGCCGCCGGGTAGTATGGGTGGGTATGGCGGATCGCCTGCGCCTGTGCATGCAGGATATGGTGCGCCTCCAGTGGGAGGATATGGAACACCGCCAGCGGTCGGATATGGGGCGCCGACGGCTGCGCCCGGGGCGAATGTAGCGCGGGCGGGAGGTTACGGCGGGCATGGAGTGCAGGGAGGCGGATATGGGGCGACCGGGCAGGCGGGGTACGGCAACCCGTATGTGGCCCCGCAGTTGCAGGCCCGGGCGGCGCAAGGAGGAGGGCCGACGCCGGGCCATGGCGGGTTTATGGTGGATCTGCTGAGCGCGCCATGTGCCGAGCCGCTGACCTGCTGCTGCTCGATGCCGTTTCCGTGCGTGGCGGCACACGACCATCGACTGCGGCTGCTGGACCATGACGTGTCGCGGTACAAGTGTTGTAACGACCGGTACTCGCGGTGCACTTCGTGTCTCGACGACTGTACGCGCGGCAACGAGGAATGCTGCCTGTGGCTGGAGGCGATCTGCTGCCACGAGTGCGCCATCTACACAAACCGTGCGATGATCCAGGAGCGGTTTGGGGTGCGCGATAGTGACTGCGACCAGTGCCTGCAGGGCTGCGTGGTGTTCTGCCAGTTCCTCGAGTGCCTGCTGCGGTGTGCGGGCCACGAGGACCCGAATCTGCGCCAGCTTGTGGACCTCATTGTCTGCGCCATGTACTCGTGCATGAACGCGCAGCACGAGCACGAGCTCAACGGGCGGCTGGGCCCAAGCAAGGCGCCGCCACTCCTGGGCGAGATGGCGCGGTAGTAGACTTTTAGTGGAAGACAATACATGGCAGACTACGAGAGCGGCGAAGCGTGGGTGCGGACGTCGCTGCGGTCAGAGGCGTGCGAGTGGACGATGCCATCCCACTGCCAGCCGACGACAGCAGTGAGGAAGGAGACCAGCGGCGAGGCGGCGATGGCGAGGACCGTGTTTGAGCGCGGCGACATAGCGGCCATGGGCCAGCTCATCATGTCGAGGAGTAGGTCAGTGCCGATGTGGAACTCGCGGGCGCGGATGCGCGGGTACATGACACCCGCAGCCTGTTCTGCGGTGAGGAGCTCGCCCGAGTCGGACATAGCGACGGTCTCGGGCGGCTTGGTCTCGTTTTCGATGGCAAAGCCAGGCGTCTCGACGTCGGACGGATAGCAGATGGAGACGGAGACGTCAAAGGGGAGCAGCTCCTGGCGGAGCGAGTCTGCAAAGCCGCGGAGAGCCCACTTTGTGGGCGCGTACGCAGTGTAGCCGAGCATGCCACACATGGCCATGGCGGAGCTGATGATGGCAATGTGGCCGGAGCGACGGGCGATCATGGACGGAACAATGGCCTTGGCGCAGCGGACGACGCCCATGTAGTTGACGTCCATGGAGCGGGTAAAGTCTGACTCTTCCAGATCCATAAAGTAGCCGGTGGCCGAGTAGCCAGCGTTTGCGATGAGGAGCTCGACGGGAGCCTTGGCATCGACCTCAGCCATAGCCCTCGTCACAGCCTCACCATCAGTGACATCGACGGAGAGAGCGTCAACAAACTGATCAGCGACGGGATCAGGGAGGGCATTGACGATGGCAGTGAGCTCATCAAGGGCCTTGTCAAGCTTGGCCTGATTCCGAGCCAGAATGGTCACCGAAGCACCATCTCCAACAGCCAGCTTGGCAAAGGCCAGACCCATACCCTCTGATCCGCCTGTAATGACCACATGCTTGCCCGAGAGGTCGAGGGCAGACGAGGTGACCGAGTTGACCACAGTCCGTGCCAGCTGTTGAAGGGCAAAGCCAGCAGCGAGTCCAGTGAGTGCAAGTCCAGGCCATGAGTATGCTGACGGGCTGGCCCATCCTTGGCAGACTCCGCTGAGGTACTCCATCTCGAGTTGGCTTGGGGGAGGGGGGGAGGGGGTGGCTGGATGAGTTGAGTGTGGGCTGGGCAGGGAGCAGGAGCGCCAGCGAGGAGCGAATGCGGTGACGGGGCATGGAAGGGATGATCGTGGTTGCAGGAGGGTGCTTGATCGGGGTGTGGGGTATGGGTTGTGGGGATGGGGATGGGTGTGTGGGGTATGGGTTATGGGGATGGGGATGGGTGTGTGGGGTATGGGTTGTGGGGATGGGGTGCTTGATCGGGGGTATGGGTTGTGGGGATGGGGGTGCGGGGGATGGGGGTGGGCGTGGGAGGTGATTCATCGGGCATGTGTCCCGAATACTGCCCAATCCAAGCCCGATCAGCCCTCCATTCCGCTCTGCGTGACAAACAGCATCATCAGCCCATGGCATGGGCCCCCGCAGTGAGAGGGGATCCCTCCTCGAAGTCAACCTCGCTCAACACCAGGCAGAGAGCTCAAGCACCAGAGCTTGGGGCCATAGACGAGCGTCACCTCACTCTGCCATTTGTTTGAACAGTATGGCTGCATTGGAAACCATTGTGTGGTCTGCAGCGCAAGGTACCATTGCAGTGCTCTTGATGATGAGCATCGGTTTTGCTCTGGGTAAGGCCCACATTCTTGACGGGCACACCCGGACACAGACCTCTCGGGTACGCTGATCTCCACGACGAGTGAGCTGTGGCTCGATGGGAGGTGAAGAATGAGGAAAGAGGGGACATATACCGGCTGTTGCGGGCTTGCAGGCGCTATCAGGTCGGGATCTGGCTGGATATCGGGGGTACGAGGTCTGCTGGGGTTGACGTAGCTCGATGCCGAGTCGGGCAAGCGTGGTGCGATCGGCTTCTCCACTGGTAGTGCTGCCATAATCAGCATGTGATTGATGCTGATTGGCTCGGCGCTTGTTGGTCAACTCGATCATGCGCTCGCGCCTGACGCCGCCGGTTGGCTGGCTTGGCTCGATCACACCCGCTTGGCGCGATGACGGACTGGCTGGGAGTTTTGAGCCTCCTCCACCACCACTCACCCTCACACCCCTCCCCGCACAGCTTTTGTTTGTGGTGCTTATACCAGCTCTGCTGTTCCAAGCCATCGGCTCGTCTTTCAAGATCTCCGAGTTTGCCGAGCTGTGGATTGTGCCTGTCGCAGCCATCATCCACACCGTGATCGGGCTCGGGCTGGGATGGCTGACTGTGGCGGTGAGCAAGCCGCCGGCGCACTTCCGGACCATGTCTATCCTCTCTGTCGTTCTCGGCAATGCCGGCAATCTGCCGCTCTCACTGGTGGCATCGATGGCGACCACTGAGGTCTTCCGCGACCAGCCTGACGCCGAGACTGAGGGCGTCAAGATCATCTCGCTGTACATGATCGTCACCTCGCTAGTTCTGTGGATGGTCGGCTATCCGCTGATGGGTCTGAGCAAGAACAAGTCGCCGATGTCGGGCTCTGATGAGGAGGACGCGAGCGGCAAGCTGCTCACCGAGTCGAGCGAGGCGACGTCTCGCTACTCGGTCCGGAGCACAAGCTCGATCGAGTACAGCACCGAGTCCGAAGCTCAAGAGGCGGCGTCATCGACAAGCTCGCCCTCGGCATCGACGTGCCTCTCGTCGGCCACAGGGACGACGATCCTTGTCGACACGAGTATGACCCATCTTCAGGCACCGTCGCCTGCGTACAAGCCGCGGCCCACCCACGGGGCTTGCGGTCAAGTCAAGGCGCTGCGTCGGCACTGGTTGGATCTCAAGGTTGCCCATCCCTGGTTTGCCTTTGTCTGCGACAAGGTGTTCACTCCGCCGGTGGTGGCGGTCATCCTCGGCCTCGTTGTTGCCGCCATCGAGCCGCTGGCCGACACCATGTTTGGCGAGGACAAAGCGCTGCGTCCTGTTGGCCGGTCGGCCGTGATCATGGGCAATGGCGTTGTTGGGCTCTCGATGCTAATTCTTGGGGCGTCGCTGGCGGCGGTCTCGATTGGCAAGAGCGCCAAGCGCATCTCACGGCTCAACATTGCGCTGCTTATCTTTGTCCGCATGGTCGTCTTTGCCGCCATTGGCATCGGCCTGCTATATGTCTTTGTCTGGCTTGACGTTGTCGACGTCAAGAACAAGATGCTACTGTTCATTCTCATGGTCCAAACCGCGGTTCCCACCGCTCAATCGACGGTCATCATCGTCGAGCTTCACGGCGGCAACGCCGGCGATGTCTCCACCCTACTGTTCTTCATGTATCTCGCCTCGGTCCCTATCCTCACCTGCTCCATCGCACTGCAGCTGTATGTCATCGAGTCCATTCAGTAACAAGTAAACTGCTACGATTCGTCCCAGTTGATCGAGAGCAGCTCTGACCGAGTGTCGGCGGCGGTTGCGGCAGCTGGCGGCGGTTGCGGCGACGCGCGATGCATCGGCGACGCCATGTCGGGAGGCGACATCATGAGCAGCGAGTTGGTGGGTTGGCTACGGCTGACCGGCGTGGCGGGCAGCGGTCGCGCAACAAGGTCGTCGGACCTGCGGTCGTCGCCGTCATCGTCGTCGTCATTGTCGTCGTCGTCGTCGTTGCGCGGCTCGGGCTCGCGGACAAAGAGTGCGAGGAACGCGACCTTGGCGGCAGTCCGCTCTGGCCACACATTGATGGCGTCTGGCTCGCGGAGCATGACCCGCGCAAAGACCGAGAGCAGATCCTCGACTGCTGGGGCCGAGCTGTCGTCGGCACAGCGGAGGACCTCGCCCATAAACGCCACCAGGTACCAGAACACGTTGTAGTGTGCGAGCGAGAGCGAGTCGATGATGGTCCGGGCAGCGAGGAGCGGCGACGGCGACATGGTGACGCCAAAGACCTCCGGCGCACGGTCCGGTGGAATGACCGGCACCGACCAGGAGGCAAGCAGATGGAGGAGGGCGGCGGCCAGCGTATGCGGCGCGAGCTCGCCTCTCGCGGCGCGCAGCGGAATCGCCGCCGGCGACGACGAGAGCAGCGCAAGGAGCTCAGCGAGGCCGCGAACAGAGGCCACATCGCGGTCGAGGTCGGCGGCGGCGCGGGTGAAGAGGCCGGGTGTAGCAAGAATGCTTGGCGAGCGCAGCGCCTCCAGCAGATACCAGAGATGGAGCGGAACGTCGGATGACGACGACCGAGTGAGCGCGTTGAGCGAGGCCCCGAACGGCCATGGCTTGTAGGTGCCGCGGAGTGGAACGACGATGGCAGGACTTGTCGGATTGCCCTGCAGCGAGAACTGGAGCAGCGCCTCAAGATGGGCGACGCCCGACGAGTCTGGCCGTAGAGTGCGGCGTGCCACAGCATCCGGCCCAATGAGGACCGTGAGCGCGAGCGAGGTCGAGGCGCCAGGCGCCAGGACACCGGCGAGCGCCGAGGGTCCGTCGGCGAGCTGGACCCACGACGGGAGTGGGAGGCCGGTGGCTGGGTCACGATGGAGCGAGTACATGGCTGGCAGCGTGTCGGAAGGGTTGGAGAGAATGAGCTGCAGCTCGAGTGGGTGACCCCAGGCGAGCTCGCCAAAGTCGACCAGCGACGGTTCGACCGCCAGCTGTGGCGGGGTCGACGAGGTCTTGAGGGCAGAGACCAGGTTGAGCGCGACAGTGCGGGCATCCTGGGCGGCGGCAGCGGCGGCGTGCGAGTCAATAGAGGCAGCACGGGCAATAAAGTGGGCGGTGACCGGCTTGTGGTCTGAAGTGAGGAGCGCGGTCGTGGTGGTGTACGAGACAAGCGACCAGGCGCCCGGATGAGCAAAGCGGTAAAGGACCCGATCGGTCCAGGCAGGAACGCGGTTCTTGGACGATGAGTCAAAAATGTTCGTTCCGTTGTCGTACTTGTACGTTGGGATGAACTGGAGCTTTCCCTCCGAGTAGCCGGCGAAAGCCTTGCCTGCGGCGCGGGCTTTGAGCAGCTGGTCAGACTTGCGCAAAACAGCATAGTCGCCAACGGCTACAGCAGCGCGAACAGTCTCATTTGGCAGATCGATGCGGTAGTTGAGGTCGCCAAGCCAGACAATAGCGTCAAAGGCGCCGGACGCCGGGGTCCGATCGAGGAACGACAGGCGCCGCGAGAGCTCGGCAAAGTCCTGGTTGCGCCGGGCCTCCTTGGACTGGCCAGCGGCCAAATGCGAGTTGATGAAGAGCCACTCCTCATCAAAGACGCGAAGGAGCACGCCTGCGCCACCTTTGTTGCCCATGACGCCGAGAATACCGACGCCGGCCGAGTCTACAGCGAGGACCTTGAGGTGAGGAACGATGCGGGACTTTGCACAGACGACGATGAGAATGCCGACTAGCTGTTTGGAGACTACATGGGTGTATCCTCCAGGCACTGCCCTCTTATCCAAGGCAGCTAGAATAGCAGCTTCCCAAGGCGATGCCTTTGACGAGTTGTTGAGGAGAAAGGTCTCTGCCGAGAGGTCGAGCTCTTGAAAGCCAACGACGACCAGATCCGGAGCAGGCACTACTTCGTTCAGCCACACATCCAACGATTCGTGCAGTGCTTTCCCGTTGACATTCCATGTACCTGAAAGCACATGCAGTGTATGACTTGTGCTGTGGAGCTCACGGAGGCTCGCACTGTGCTTCCCTGCGAACGCCGTCGCCACCGTCAGGTCGCCCGCAGGCGTAGCCCGTCCGCTCGCTCCTCTGTCACCGCTGCTTCCTCCGCCTCGCTCCTGCCATGGTGGTCTGCTTGACGACGATGACGCCATAGAGGGGGGGGGGGAGAGCGGGACGAGTGGTGGTCGCGGGGGTAGGTGTGGAGGGGAGGAGAGGGAGGGCGCGGAGAGGTGGTGATCGACCCCGAGGCGTGATCGATCAGAGCCGATCGAGTAGGGGTGGGGTGTTGATCAAGAGTTGTGGTTGCGGGCTGTGATCATAGTTGATTCCTTATTTCATGCAGAGCGTGAGGAGGTTGAATAATGTGGCGTAGAGAAAGTAGGGGGGGGGGAGGGAGGGTATATGGAGGGTTGAGCGGTGTGTGGGTAGGGGCCGGTGTGAAAAATAATCCATGATCATGTGAATTGACATCGGTTCACACCTGCACAGACATACAAGCAACACACACACAACACACACTCTCTCGGGCTGTGTAGCGGAAGGGAAGAGGAGATGATATTGTAGGGAAGAGAACCTGTGCGAGTGCGGTGAGAACGTTGTTGCTGGCAGTGGGCCATGACGGTGTCGGCGTGGATGGCGACAGGCCGTTCACGTTGTCGTTCAGCTGCCGTGAAAAAATACGGTTTGATAGGTTGTCAGGTTTGGCTGGACGAGGGTGATACAATCCCGACCACAGCCCACGGAAAGGCTATGGTTGACATGGATGAAGTAAGGATGTAAGTGAGAGGTGTCTGGGAGGGGCAAGGGTGGAAAAGTGGGAAGAATAGCGGAATTGCTCCGGGCGCCAACACCTGCAAAACTGTCATTATGCAGTTTGCAGTTTGCAGTTTTGCAGCTTGCAGTTTGCAGTTTACATTTTGAACAAAGTAGTCAAAACTCGGCGTTTTTTCTCGCTGGGAACAACACAGTAGCATCTGGACACAGCAAGACAACCGAAAGAGAACCATGCCCCGTCGCTCGCAGCCTCGAAAGGCAAGCTCCTTCAATGCGACCGGCGCATCTAGCTCGTCTGGCACGTCTAGCACGGCCAGCACAGCTGCGACGACGGCAACGGCTATCTTGCGAGGCGCATTAACGCCGTTCTGCCTTCTGCTGAAGCTACTGTTCCCGATTGTGACAGACTCAACGAGCCGTGCCATCTTTAAGAACATCTTGGTGTCAGCATGCAGGTTGTACCAGAACAAGGAAGGAAAGCTCACATTGTACGGTCTCGTTCGAGCCTTACAGCTTGCGATGCGGATAAGCTCGTCCCGGTCGGGCTTGTCCAGGCTCATGGAGCTCGTCGACATTGGGGAGGCGAACATGGACGAGGAGCTGGCGTCAAAGATCTTCGTGTGGGCGGCCGGACCGCGGTCTCGCACCAAGCCTGCAAAGAGGGCTGACAAGCGGTACGACGAGCGGCGTGCTGATCTGCTGCAGGACTTCGTCACGTTTGGCGAATTCGACATTGACGAGTTTGCCCAGTTTCTTCTCGGCGAGCGGTATCTTCGTGTGATGCGGCAGCGAGCCAAGAACCACTGCGGCAACAACAGCGAAGCCCAGATGGCGTACGAGAAGCAAGACATCCCCACGCCGTCGGAACTTCATGAGGCCATTACCACAATCCGCGGCCTGGACTTTGGCGCCATGGTGGCGCCGTCGATGGCGGCGGGAGCGCTGCCGGTGCCAGAGCCTGTGGCGACACCGTCGATGGCGACGGGAGCGCTGCCAGTGCCAGTGCCTATGGCGACACCGTCGATGGCGGCGGGAGCGCTGCCGGTGCCAGTGCCTGTGGCGACGCGGTCGATGGCGGCGGGAGCGCTGCCGGTGCCAGAGCCTGTGGCGACGCGGTCGATGGCGGCGGGAGCGCTGCCAGTGCCAGTGCCTATGGCGACGCGGTCGATGGCGGCGCGCCCGATGCCGGTGCCAGAGCCTGTGGCGACGCGGTCGATGGCGGCGGGAGCGCTGCCAGTGCCAGTGCCTATGGCGACGCGGTCGATGGTGGCGCGCCCGATACCGGTACCAGAGCCTGTGGCGACACGGTCGATGGCGGCGGGTGTACTGCCAGTGCCAGTGCCGGTGGCGAATCCGCAGTGGATGCCCATGCTGTCGCCATCCCCTCCGACGTCGCCGCCTCCACCGCTGCTGATCGAGATTGGGATAGAAGCATCACGACCTTGCCACCAAGGCGAGTACTTGACCGAGTCACTTCGGGTAGATGAGAACCAGGGCCATGGGGAGCTCGACGAAGAGTCGTTGGCCGCCGACGACGACATGGCGCTCTTCCCACAGCTCATCAGCACGACGCCCAAGCGCCGCCGCGAGCTCGCTGCTACGGAAGACTACCAGCCCCGCCAGCGCCGCAAGCTCAACGCCAACGGCGGCGAGGCGGATACTTCGTCGTAAGAGCATCGTTTTCTCTATGTCCAGCAGACATCAAACTCACCAAGCCATCACCGCGTCCACTCTGTGGCAAGCAGCCGAGGCGGCAATAGCTTGTGGGGGTGAGGGAGGAGGCGATGTGAGACAAGGCAGCGAGCAGGACGATGACAGACCGACGAGAGCCTGGTCGGGCGACGACAAAGGGCCGGATGGAGCAGGGCGACGTTCAGGATGACAAGGGCCGGCGTGGGTAGCCATGAGCTTGAGCGGGCGGAGGATGTTTGCCTGGTTTGCATCGACAACATGCCCATTTGCGATGACTTCGTCGATGATGATGTGAACGAGCTCGAGCCGGAGCATGATGTCGAGCTCTGTCACATCGTTAAAGTAGGTGTTGAGAGCCTCGACCATGAGCTGAATGAGCTCCAGAGCGGCCAGCTCGTTATCACCATCATCAACACCAATCATAAAGTAGAGCGAGGCATAGCGACGGAAGCAGACAATGATACCAGAACCATAGGCAAAGAACGATGATTGCTTGGAAGAGCGAGAGACGGCCTTGCGGATGATGTCGGCATGGTCAACAGCTGCTTGCTCCGCAGAGAGTCCAGAGTGAGGATAGTGCCGCGCAAGTCGCACCTGACCCTGCATATTAGCAATGAGGAGGAAGTGGATCATCTTGTTCTTGCCTGTCACCTGTGTGTGGGTCTGTCTCTCCGTGTGCCTGTTGGGCGTGAGGTGTCTGCCCCGTCGGTCGTGTCTCCCGTGGCTGCCTGGGCGCAGCAGAAATCGACCGACGGCCGGCAGCTGGCAGCCGAGTTTGCTGTGCAAGGATCGGATGGGGATGTGGAATCGGGGCGGGGCGGGGGGAGGGGGGGGAGGGGGGGTTGAACGAGAAGAGAGGGATGAGAGTCCTAGCTCAAGCTCCCTGATCGCTGCCCTCACACATCACCGCCCTCACACATCGCTGCCCTCACACATCGCCGCTCTCGCACATCGCTGCCCTCACACATCACCGCCCTCACACATCGCCGCCCTCACACATCACTGCCCTCACACATCGCTGCCCTCACACATCACCGCCCTCACACATCACCGCCCTCACACATCACCGCCCTCACACATCACCGCCCTCACACATCGCCGCCCACCCACATCGCCGCCCACCCACATCACCGCCCACCCACATCACTGCCCTCACACATCGCCGCTCTCGCACATCGCTGCCCTCACACATCACCGCCCTCACACATCACTGCCCTCACACATCGCTGCCCTCACACATCGCCGCCCACCCACATCGCCGCCCACCCACATCACCGCCCTCACACATCGCCGCCCACCCACATCGCCGCCCACCCACATCACCGCCCACCCACATCGCCGTCCCTCCCTCTCCTCCTCACACATCGCTGTCCTCACAGAAAACACCGTCGCACCTGCGACAAAAAGAGCCAACGAACTGTTCCATCGTTTCGAATGAAACAAACCGCGTGGGTCAGAGGGGGGGGGGGGGGGGGGGAGGGGGGGCAAGGGCACGGGCATCACCTAACTTACGGCCGTCCTTTGAATAGGTGGTTACGTGTGTGTGTGTGTGTGTGTGTGCGTGAGTGAAAGGAATCATGTCTGTGACGATTACTCTGGACAACGCACCGCCTGGAATGCTGTACCAGGCCGGGGATGTGGTGGCTGGTGTGGTGACCATTGTGGTGACGGGGAGAGAGACGACACATTATGGAGTCTTTCTCAATGTGGGAGAGGAAGAAGAATGCAAGTGGGAGGCCACAGAGGTGAAGCATGTCAACGTCGAATCTTCAAAGGCAAAGAACTCTCGTTTGGTCTTGGCAAATGAGTCTGGCGTGCCATCGGGAAAGGTTGCCATCTTGGATACCGTCTCCTACTCGGGCTCGTCCTCTGCATCCACGTCTATGCAGATCGCAGACTCGGGTGTTCTCCAGCCGGGCTCGCACTCGTTCCCCTTTCGCTTTCAGCTCTCGCCGGCACTCTCTTCTACTATTGATGGCGTTTCGCTGCCGAGGGCTGGCGCATCGTGGTCGGCTGCCTCGCTCGTCCGGGGCTCGTCGTCGCCGGCGTCGGGCAAGGCCGTCATCGGCGTCCATGCCACGATGAAGCGGGCGGCGCTCAAGTCCAACTGGCGGGCACACACATCTCTCCGGGTTGCCGCTCGCCATGCGCCCGAGCTCATGAATCCGGTGTCGGCGTCCGAGTCGAAGACCTTCCTCATGCACTCGGGCGCGCTGGACATGACGCTCTCGCTGCCGCGGTCGGTGGCGGTGGCGACCGAGGTGCTCCAGCCGGCGCTCGCGATCAACAACGGCTCGACCAAGAACGTGAACACGGTGACGCTTCAGTTTGTCCAGATTTCGACCTTCCACGCCTCAACGCCGTCGCGCCGGCGGACCGAGGAGGAGGTGCTGGCATCGATGTCGTTCCCAGGCGCGCCGGCCGGCACCTCGATCAACAACGTGTACTCGCTCGCGCTGCCTCCCGACCTCCAGCCGTCACGGCATGGGCCGTCTACCAACTCATCGGGCCGAGCTGTGGTAACCAACAGGTACGAGCTCCGGGCGGCGTGTAACGTCTCGATGGGCTTTGACCTCGTTGCCCGCATCCCCATCTCCATCTTCCACCACCAGGTCTTTTACCTCCCGCCGCCCATGGTTCTCGACGAGCGGGTGCTCAACGCCGACGAACGCGGTGCAGAGCTGTTCCGCCAGCTGGTGCCCACTCGCGGGCCGAGCCAGGACCTCGCCGACCCTAGTGGCTGCGAGCTTCTGGTCCACGGCGTTCCGCTCTCGGGCAAGGTTGTCTACCGGTCGTACCGCATGTACTGGATCGATGTTGGCGCCGTCCCGCCGCCGACCGCCACACCTGTCCCGGCCGGCTCGGGCAAGGAGGCCGACCCCGGCCTTGGCGTTCCCGCGCTCCGCATCAACGCGCGTGGCTCGGGCAAGTCCTCGCTGGTCGTACGGTACATGAAGGACAACCAGCCGTCGCAGCTCGGCTCGTCGCACGGCTCGGCCACCGATCTCGGCGGCTACCAGTACGAGCTGGTCATCCGCGCACCAGATCTTGTGCCTGGGCGGTACTACATCGGCGTGTGGGGCAACCAGTTCCTCCCGCCGACGTCTACCTACACCATAGAGGCGCAGTTCCTCAATGGCGCGCGCTCGCTCGCCGACGTCGAAGCCGAGGCTGCCGCTGCCGCCGCTGCTTCGTCCTCGGCTGGCCCGCCGTCCTACGATGACTTGCCACCGACCGATGCTGGCTACGCACCGCCGCGGTACACCTCCACCGCCGCCGGCGCCTCTGCACCGCCACCGATGTCGTCGATGCCTCCTCCGCCGTCGTCATCGTCGATGGCGCCGCCGCCATCGGCATCGCCCTACCAAACCCCGCCGCCGGATGCATCGAGTGCCCCTTCTGCACCCCCTCCTGCTTTTAACGAACAGCCGCCGGCATACCAGCAGTAAACTACAGTGTCATGCCGCTCACCCAGCCAGCTAGCTGTCCCTGTCCGTCCCACTCCGACTCTCAGCCCGCTCTCCGCTCGCCTACACTCGACTCAACCCAACACATGGACGCTTGCATTGTAACTGGCGCCTCTCGCGGACTCGGCCGTGCCATTGCCATGGCTCTTGCCTCTGCACATGCGACGGCTGCGGCTGGTCAAGACCATCCGCTTCTGTCTGGGGCGGGCATGCTGGCCATGCTGGTGGCTCGAAACGAAGCTGATCTGGCGACCACGGCGGAAGCGGTCAACGAGGTCGAGGGCGTGACTGCTCGGTGTTTGGCGGCTGATCTGGCGACGGTAGACGAGATGGATGCCCTGGTCGAGTCGATGGTCGGTGCGGTGAAGGATGCGCTTGGAAATGGCGATGGCGGCTCGCTCATTGTGGTCCACAACGCTGGCTCGCTCGGCAACCTCAAGTATGTCGATGAGTTCGCCGGAGAGGGGATGGTGACCACCATCTCGTCGACCATGAGCCTCAACATGTCCTCGCCCATTGCTCTCACTGGAGCGCTGCTGGCTGACGGTGGTATCGCCTCGCTCTTTACCAACGTTGTTGTTGTCAACATCTCGTCGCTGCTGGCGGTCCAGGCCTTCCCTTGCTGGGGCCTCTACGCCGCACACAAGGCTGGCCGTGACATGTTTTTCAAGGTCCTTGCCACTGAGGTGGAGCACATCAAGGCTGAGCGCGGGATGGGTCTTGTTCGTGTCCTCAACTACTCACCGGGCCCGCTGGACACTGCAATGCAGGGCGAGGTCCGCACCGCCATCTCGGACGCGAGCCAGCAGCAGCTGTTTGCCGGCATGAAGGAGGAGGGCAAGCTGGTGACGGTTCAGGCGTCGGCAAACAAGCTGATGGCGCTACTTGCAGGCAACGCGTACGACGACGGCGCACACATCGACTACTACGACGAGCTTCCGGCAGGAGGCGGCAGCAGCAGCGGGTGATGGCGTTTACTTGCGGCCGTAGACCTTCTTGAACGACCACGGGACATAGTTGTGCTTGCGCATGTGCTCGTACTGCTTGCGGAAGGTGACGGCGGTGAGAACGACAAAGTACATGAGGAGGACCGGCCAGTAGACCGGCACGTCAAAGATGGCAAAGAAGGTGGAGAAGAGCGCGGCAAGCGTGGCCCGCGTCGCCGAGTACCAGAACGCAAACTCGGGGAGCTTGCGCATAAACGGCCGGTACTCGGAGTCGTCCGACTTGGTCGGCAGCAGCGGCGCGCCGTCGTCGGCCATCGGATCGACCTTGGGCGAGACAAAGCCGACGAGCAGGTTGAGGAGATAGATGCCGAGCGCATACGAGACGACGTAGTAGCCCTGCACAAAGACAATCCTCAAGACAAAGAGGAGGAGGAGGGTGGCAAAGCCTCCCCAGCGGTACTTTTGTGCGGAATGGTATCGTCGAGCATCTTCTTGTACCGCTTGGCCACAAAGCCAAACTTGCCCGCCGACGACAGATCCGCAAACGCAGTTCCACTCGGCCCGCCGCTGCCCAGGCCCTGATCATCACCGAGGCCGAGCGAAGCCATGTTGCTGGCGGCGCCTGCGCCACCGCTCGCGCCAAAGCCCGAGTCAAAGGCCAGCGGCTGCGCACCAAACACCACACCCGATCCACCGGTCGGGGGCGCACGAGCAGGGCCACTTCCGGTGCCAGCCGATACTCCGGGGGACATGCCCGCCGCCTGGCCTACCCCAGACGAGTTGCCGGTTGTAAGCGGCTGAGCACCAAAGACAAGCGGCTGAGCCCCAAAGACCGGGCCAGCGCTTGCCGGAGCCGGACCAGCGCCAGCCGGGCCGGCGCCCGCAGCAGCAGTCGAGAGAGGAGCAGCTGATGTCGCGGGCTGAGCTGTGGGCGAGGTGGAGTATCCATAGTTGTCGACGGGTTCAGTAGCGGCGAGAAGGCCATTGGCAGGCGCTACTTGACCAGGATGGCTCTGGCTCTGGTGGTGGTGATGGTGGTGGTCGTGACCGTCGTCCTCGGTGGCGAGGTCATAGCCAGCAGCAGGGGCAAAGCCTTGGTCATACTCTTCTTGACCTTCGTCAAAGCCAGCATACGGTCCGTCCGAGTGGTCGTCTTCAACTGCTCCGTCCACGTTCATGCCTTGTTTTCTCTCTTCTTCTCCCTCGACTACCTTTGGAAGCTCGGCGGCGTTGGTGACGTGTGTCTGCCCTTGCTCTCGTTGGCCGTCGAGGCGGGCCGGGCCGGGTCCGGGGAGGCGACTGGGTGCACGAGAGAATGATTGATGATGATTTCAATGAGAACTTAATGGTAGCGGTAGTCGAACGATTGTGGCCGAACGAACGATTGTGGCCGAACGAACGATTGTGGCCGAACGGACGATTATCCGAACGAACGATTATCCGAACGAACGATTGTGGCTGAGCGAACGATTGTGGCCGAACGAACGAACGATTACGCCAACGAACGAACGATTGAGAAAACATTGCCGTGACGTTTGTCATTAAAATGTCCCCTCCCCAGCAGTTGCTGACACCGCACACCATCACCACCACCCCTCCACCCCCCCACCCCCTCCACCCCCCCACCCCCTCCACTTCCACTATGTACTCAACCACCATCATGATTGCTATTATCATGAGCATTGCTGCTGTGCGTGAGAGTCATGGTGATTGTGGGCTTAATGTGACGGTGTCTGGGAGTGGCGGAAGGTTCACCTCGGGCGTCTCTCCGTATGCTACCGCTACCACATGCTCATGGAATATACTGCCATCGTACTCTTCGTCTTCTATCTCGCTCAATTATTTCGCAACAGAATGTGGTTGGGACTTTGCTTTCATCTTTCAAGGCTCTCCTCCTCAAGCCCGTCTCATCGCTGCTCTCTCTGGATCCATACTGCGCCCACCCTCATCACCCTCACCCTCATCATCATCATCACCCTCACAACCATCATCATCATCACCCTCACCCTCATCATCATCATCACCCTCACAACCATCATCATCATCACCCTCGTCATCCTCCCCACTCCCCTCGCGTTATGCTTCTTCTCGATCATTGACCTCTCCGGTGACCTACCCAATCGCTGTCACTCACGGTGAGCCAAGTGATCTACGGGTGTTCTTTGTCTCGGACTCGTTTGTGGCTGATGACGGCTTTGATATGACTTTTGTCTCCACTCCATGTGTTTACGGCTGTTCGGGCCACGGAGTGTGTGATGCTTCGGCTTCCGCGTGTGTGTGCCAGGCTGGTTGGACCGGCTTCGGCTGCGAACGCCCAGGCCAGACTCCGACCGGCGGCAGCGACAGCAGTGCCGATCTCGACACCGCCGCCCGCCGCGTCGCGGGTCCATGGGCCACGCTTGATCCCGCCGGCGTCTGTGTCTGCGAACCAGACTTTGCGCCATCATACGCAGAGTGGATGCGCCGCTCCCGCGGCGGCATTGTCCAGTCGTTCCTCCGCGGTCCGCCCGGCACCGACTGCGGCGCCACCGACTGCTCCCACCTGCAAGCTTGTCCCATGTGCGAACCGCTCTCGTCATCTGCCCAGGGCTGGTCGGCCTGCAACGCCGCCGGCGAGCCCTGCGCTCGCTTTCTCCTCGATAACTGTCACCGCGATACTCCCCGCCCAGCCTCGCGCGTCCTCATCTACCTCTTGCCGGGCATCGTCTTACTCATGGGCTGGGGCTGGGCCTGCTGCCTCTACCCAGTCTACTCGTACATGCATCGCTCATCGCCGGTCGGCCCCGAAGGCGAGTATCAGCACTTTGTCCGCTTCATGCCCGAAGACATCCAAACCTTCCGCATCCTCGTGCTCGACTCGACGACGACACCGTCAACTCCGGCACCGGTCCGTGCCGCCCCGCTCCTCTCGCCGTCGCGCTCCGACTCGTCCTTGCTCTCGGACTCGAGCGACGATTCGTCGCGCCGCCGCTTCAGCGTCATCCCACCGCCGCGCCATTCAGACGCATGCCACATCATCCACCCCTGGGAGTCCGACGACGCCGCCATGATCGCCATCCTCCGTCACCCCACTCGAACCTCCACCACTCTCGCTGGCCTCTCACTGGGCGTCGCCAAGCCGACGCTCGCTGCCGCTTCCGACCACCGCCACGCCCTTCGCCCTTCCTCCTCTCTCTCCTCTGCGTCCTTCGACAAATGATTTACACCAGCATCAATGACGCTAGCTGCGTAAACTGCGCCTCGTTGAGGACCAACTGCGCTCCGCCTGCCGCGCCTTGCTTGCCCAGCCCCGAGCTCACCGTCACTTCGGCGATCTTCGCCCCGACGTCGCCCTCAGCGAGCGCCTTGTTGAGCTGCGGTGAGCCAAAGGCGCCAAAGGCCACCCCGGACCGGCGCCTGGCAGCCCACGACCAAGCACCCGTCGGACTCGGTCATTCACCTCGGCGGCCTTGACGCTCAGCGACGCCGCGTACTCTTGCTCCGCCAGCCACCGCGCCCGCGCCTGCTCGTCTGCCAGCGACACGACTCGCGGCTGCGCCAGCGCCGTCCGCGTCTCCCGCAGCAATGAGCCGAGCTCGCCGCGTGCAGTCTGCACCTCGTCGGCAAACGCTTGCAGCGCCGCCGCTCGCTTTGCCGCCGCCGCCCCACTTCGCGCCTTGGCCGGGCCCAGCGCCAATGCGTGCTTGGCCTGCCGCGCCTTGAGCGCTGCCGCCCCGGGGGTCGCCTCGGCCTTACCCTTGCCCACCCCATACTCTAGCTTGGGCAAGTCCGCAAGCGTCGCTGTCGCCAGTTGCGCCTTGAGCTCCTGAACCTGCGCCCGGAGGTACCGGATCGCCCGCATGTGTGCCGTCGAGCTCACCGCAGACCCACTGCCCGAGCCGACAGAGCCTGACCGCCCCCGGCTGAGAATCGGGTTCTTGTGCCCGCCGCCTGACAGCGCTGCCAGAATCGATTTGCCCTTGGCCACGTCCGGCGTCGGCGACTTGGGGCTGCCCGGCACCGGTGTGCTGCCAGCCGACGGGCCAGCGGACCCACCCTCGTTGCTTCCGCCCGCGCCCGCCACCGACCGCGTAAACGCTGCCAGCGGCGACATGGTGTTCGCCTTGGCCGCCGCCGCCTTCAACTCATCGTTTTCCTTGCGCAGCGCGTCGATCGCCTCGCGGTATGTCGACTCGGAGCCCTTGAGCTTGCGCACCTGTGCCTCGAGCTCGTCGACTGCGTCGATCCGCTCTTGCAGCACCTCGATTCGCTTGCCGAGCACGTCCGACTGCACTCGCGCCTCTTGCAGCGCCTGCTCGCGGCCTTTGGCCGCACGCTGCAGCCGCTCCTTCTCGGCCTCGGCAGCCTCGAGCGCAGGCCGCATGGCCTCGGCCTCGGCCACTGCCGCGCGGTACGCCTTGGCCACCACCGCCCACGTCCCGCCCGGCGCATTCCCGTCGTTGCTCTCCTCGAGTGCCAGCCATGCCGAGCCGGACCTCGGGCCCTGGCCACCCAGCGTGGCGTCAGACGTGTCGTCGTACTCGCCAGCGAGGAACGCCTCCACCAGCGACTTGACGTGCCCGCACGCAGTGAAGAGCGCATCACCCAGCTGTGGCAGCGCACGCGCAGCCTCGCCATCACCGGCATCCGGCAGACTGTAGCCCTGAACCACAACAAGGTCCGAGCTGGCCACGTGCTCGACCACAACCGCCGCCACCACGTCCGCCAAACTCGCCAAATCCTCGGCAGGGTTGGCCAGCAACGCTTCCTTGACTGCACCGGCTGCCGCCGCTGCTGCCGGGGCCAGCGCATGCAGCAGCGCAAACGCCGTGTCCAGCATGGTCCACGCCTCGTTCGACAGGTCCAGCGGCGCGTCGCCCAGGTTCTTGACTAGCTTGGCGCAGAGCCGGAGGCACGACCGCAGCTCGTCCGCCCCACCGCTCAGCGCCCCGAGGACTGCTGCTGTCGGCGCGCCCGGCCCATTAAGTGCCGCGCCCACCACTGCGGCCTGCGTCGCACCTGCACCTAGCTCTGCCCGCGCGCGCGCCAGCGCCTCGTCGTCTGGCACCGCGCCGGTCTTGACGCTCGCCTCCAGCGCCGAGAGGTGCAACAGCGTGCTCGCCGCAGCGGCCGACATGGCGCGGAACGCGCCCGAGAGCGAGATACCTAGCGGAACGGCCGCCGGCGCCCGCGCCACAAGCTCCGACGCCGTCATCGACGCCGCACCCAGCGACGGCCCGATCTCCGACGCCTCTGAGCCCGACGCCGACGCCCCGGCGAGCGCGTCAGGGCTCGCACGGGTGCAGTACGCCAGCAGCGCAGAGACGCGGTCGGTCACCAGCTCCACACCCTCCAGCGACGTCCCGACCACGAGCCCGTCGTCGACCACAAGGTCCAACAGCTCGTGTAGGTGCTTCTCTGCCGGCGCAAGGTCGCCCGCCCGCGCCGCCAGCGCCACAACCTCGGCCGGCGAGCCAGCAGCCACGCCAGCCGCGAGGAACGTCAGCAGCGTAGCGAGCTTGCGCAGCGGGCCGACAACCCGCGCCACTGCAAGCATGTCGTCGAGTAGCGCCGGCGCACCCGCCCGTGTAAACGCTGCAAAGTCGTATGTGGCATCAAAGTGGTCGAGCAACAGCCGGACCGCTGCTTGCATGCGCGAGACAACTCCCACCATGGCCACCGTGTTTGCCGGTGTCGCCGCACCTCCGTCGACGGCCACGCTCTGCGCAAACGACGCCGGCATGCACGCTGCCAGCAGTGCCTCACACTGGCGCGCAGACTTGACCGCGAAATCGGCCGCCGCCGCCTTGAGCGCCGCCGCCGCCCGCTTGGCCGCTGCTGCCAACGCCGTCGTGTCAGGCACCCCATCGGCCGTCGTCAGCGCCGCCGACGACGCCATGAGCGCAGAGAGCTTGAGGGAGGCCTCGGACGCCCCGCCACTAGACTCGGACGCCGCGTCCAGCTGCGACTGCAGGTCGGCCACCAGCACCCGGAACTGCGCAATGGTATCGCGCGACGCCTCTAACTGCTCGTACATGGCCTCCATGTCCCCAAGCAGGGCATCGGCCCGAGCGTCGGCATCGAGCGCGGCCTCGGTCAGCCGGATCTCCTCCTCCAACTGCGCCTCGATCGTGTTCTCGGCGAGCTCGAGCATGTGGTTGAGGTCCGAGACTTCGGCCCGGAGGCCTGCTGCCTGCTCCTCGGCCAGCAGCTTCTCCTCGGCCATGGCCTCCAGCTCACCGGCGGCGTCGGTGGTCGCGTCAAGCTGGTCGCGCAGGTGCTCAATGTCGTCCTGCAGGCTCGCAACCTCGTCCTCAAGCTCGACAATCCGCGCCTGTGCCGCCGGATACTGCGCCGACACCGCTGCCAGCTCGTCGAGCTGCCGCTTGTACTCGTTACGGTCCGAGGCCGCGACCTCGCGGACGTCGACCAGTGCGTCACGGAGCCGCTTGTTCTGCTTCTCCATCGACTTGTAGAATAGCTTCTGCACCGCAAGGTTCTCGGCCGAAGCCTCCTCAAGAAGCGCCAGCGAGTACTCGCCCTCGCGCGCCCGGTACAGCTCGACATCCAGCCGCAAGTCCTCGAGCTCCAGCCGGACTGTATCAAGCTCAATCTTGTAGTTGGCGGCCTGCAGTGCGGCAATGTCACGGTCGAGGTTGATCGCCTCCAGGTCCGAGTCCAGCGACGACAGCCGCGCCACGTCGGCCTCCAGCTGCGCAATCCGCTCATGGCGGTGCGCGAGCTGCTTCCGCTGGCTCACCACAATCATCGCCAGCTCGTCCGACGGCATCTCGGCCAGCCCGCCTGCGGAGGTGCCTGGGTCGGCAGCGGCAGCGGCAGGGGTGGCGGAGGCGGAGGCGGAAACGGCCGCCGTGCCACCGGCTTTGGCCGTCTTCTGCGCCGCCTTGAGCTTGGCTTGCAGCTCTTGGCACATCTTCTTATACTTGACCGCCAGCGCCTTGTACTTGTCGCTATCCTCCGAAGTCGTGGACGCGACTGACACGACCGACGCGGTCTCATCGCCATCGGCCGAATGGCTTGCTGCCGCGGCCTTACGCGAGAGGTCCTCGATGAGCGCCTCTGACTTGCGGTAGAGCGCCTTGGCCTTGGCCAGCTTCTTCTTGTCCTCGTCAGTCGCGCTCTCACCAGCAGCTTTGTACGCAGCCATCTCCTTTCGCAGCCGATCCTTGATCACCTTGTGGTTGGCCTGCCGCTTGGCCAGCTCCTTTTCCACCGCCGAGCTCGCACTAGAGCTGCCATCGCCGCCGGAAGAGCTTTGAGCTGCGGCCAGCTTTTGCATCAGTGACTTGCACTTGAGCTTGAGCTTGCGGATGAGCTCGGCATCACCGGCCGAGCCTCCTCCACCAGCGCCGCTGTCACCTCCAGCCGATGGCGACTTTTTCATCTCTGCCTTGAGCTTTGCCTTGAGCTTTGCCACCATGTTCTTCTCCTTCTCCAGAGCCTTGTTGAGCTCGGCGAGCTTAGCTGCTGCCTCAGCCCCATCTCCCACAGGAGCCACAACAGCCACGGCCCCACCAGCTCCTGCAGCTCTCTCCAGTGCAGCCACCTTGGCCTCTGCAGCCTCTGCCTTTGCCTTGAGCTTCTTGGCCATCGTCTTGTACTTTTTCACATCGGCCTCCAGCGCCGCAACCTTGGCCTCCTATGCCCATGTGTACACAGCCCACCAGTGGCAACCAGAGCCCACCAGACACGCGTGAGTATACCAAGTGTAGGGTTATGTACTTGGTGCATATGTGTGTATACGTGTGTGGTTTGTGCAGGGGGGAAGACCAAGCGGGAGGAGGGGGTGTGGGGCGGTGTGGGGCGTGGGGGGGGGGGGGTGGGAATGGAAACTATATGTGGTAGTTGGGAGGGTACGTACGTCTGCCATGGTTGCTGCCTCTTGGGTGAGACGTGTGTTGCAGTGTGTGCTTGGGAGGACGGGGGGGGGGGGGGGGAGGGAGACGGGAGACAGCAGCCAATGGTAGGCAGTAGGCAGTAGGCGCCAGCCGGGTATCAGGCCAGTCGAGCTGGTAGTGTGATAGTTCAGACGGTAGATACAACTCGCCACTGACTCTGATCTAGCATGCAATCCTTTTGTTACGACTCGGACGGCTCGTCCTCGCGAGGTTGCGGGTAGGTGGTGTCGATCTGGGCAACGATGGCATCGGCGAGCTCGCGGGTGGAGGCGACAAGCATGCGGCGGTCGTACAGGTCAAAGGGCGAGCCGTCGGTGGAACAGACAGTGGCGCCGGCCTCGGTGGCGACAATGGCGGCGGCGCAAAAGTCCCAGCAGTGCGGGCCCCACTCAAAGTAGGCATCCTGGGCACCCTTGGCGACGTAGCAAGTGTTGCAAGCTGCTGAGCCGAGGAAGCGCAGCGAGTGAGCATGGACACCTGGTGTGTCGCCGATGAGCGCGCCGTAGTTGGTCTTGAGGAAGTCAACCTTGTCGGTAGTCCGGGTTGAGCCGACCTCCTGAGCGATGAGGGCGTCGTTGATGGCGGTGATGCCTGAGGCCGAGATCTTGGCGCCATTGAGTCTGGCGCCGTGGCCCTTGGCTGCAGTGTACAGCTCGTTGAGCATGGGCATGTACACGACACCGAGCACGGGCTCCTTGTTGATGGCCAGACCGATGCAGACGGCCACAAACGGGAAGCGATGGACAAAGTTGGTGGTTCCGTCGAGCGGATCGCAAATCCATGTCGGCGCGTCGGTGAGCGGTGGGACAACGCCCGACTCGGCCGCAGACTCCTCGCCAATGCGGGCAAAGTCCGGAAAGGCAGCAGCTAGGCGGGTGAAGATCAGCTTCTCGCTTGCGACATCGGTCTCGGTCACCAGATCAACCTCGGTCGCCTTGGTCTGCACCCTCGAGTGCTTAGCCGGCTTGGCGTATGCAGCCGCAATGAGAGCTCCGGCCTCTTTGGCCACCTCCTACACAATGAAGAGTCAGTCTCCATGACGGTGGGTGAGTGCGGCGTTAGCTTTGGCAGTGGTAGTGGCAGTGGAAGGGGGGACGTCGGCGCTGCCTGCTCGAGGCCATGCTCGGGTTCCGTACGGTGACAATGTCGAGGTAGCCGAGCAGGTCGTGGTCTTCCACGCGGGTGGACGGGATGGCTTGGGTCTCGGCCATGGTGAGTCAGGTGTCGGGAGTGGGGTGGGGAGTGTATGGGGGAGGGTTTGGCGTTGGCGGTGTGTGGTGGTGCAACGTGGCTGGACGCCAGGCTCGAGCGGCAAAGCCGCTCAATTAGGCGACTCGCGGCCAAGGGGCCGGGCGCGCTTGGGTGGTGGCGATGACGTGAGATCGATGGTGGCTGGGGACGGGCGATGCCGCTTGCGGACGGCGGCCTTGAACTCGGAGGCCCAAAGGAAGAACGAGCAGCGCCAGCGGAGGTCGCCGCGCGGACCGCGCGGGCGGGCGCAGATAAAGAACTCGCGGCCTTGGTTGAGCCCGGGCTTGTTGACCACCAGTCGCTTGGTCGGCTCGCGATGGCCGCGGCATAGCGGGACTGCGTCCTGGGTCTGCGGCTTGAGTAGCTGCGTCCACGCTTGCATTGTGGACGTCGAGTTGTGGACGGCGCGGGTGGCGGGCGATGCCGCCACGGGCGGCGGCAAGGTGGCCGGACGGCGAGGCTTGGCGGCGTGCGGGGTGAAGAACTGCCGCAGTGTCACTGGCTTGGACGCGGGTGCCGACTTGGGCTTGGATTTGGGCGCCGGTCTTGGCAGCGACGACGGGGCCGGCTCGCAGCTGCGTGCAGCGGCCACAAACGCGTCGATAGTCGCCTGCGAGCCTGCGAGCTCGGGGAGGTAGATAGAGGCGAGCGGCGGTGGCGCGCGCGGGAGTGGAGCGAGCGCTGCCAGCTGCAAGTCTGCCACGACCGGGGCGTGATCCGAGCCCATCCTGTCGGCGTCGATCCAGCAGGCAGCGACGGCCGGTGCGAGCACAGCATCGACAAGGACATAGTCGATACGCGAGCCATGATTGGCCAGCCGCGCCTCGGTCTGGGTGTTCCAGCAGGTAAAGGCTCGGGTGGCGTCCGGGTGCAGGGCGCGAAAGGCGTCGACCATGCCGAGGCCACCGTCCTGCGGAAGGGCGAGCAATCCGTCGAGCCAGCGCCATGTCGACGACGGCTCCCAGTCGGACGGCAGCTCGTCCGCGTATGCCATGTCGCGCATATCGTGGACAGCGTTGAGGTCGCCGACGAGGACGACCGCGTGGCCGCGGGCCATTTCCAGAGTCATCGCCGCCCGCAGCGTGTCGTTGAACTCGGCCTTGAACTGAGCCCGGTCCTCCGTCGCGCCCGAGTTGGGACAGTAGACGTTAAAGACAACCACGCAGCCGGCATGGTGGGTCACCACCGCCCGACCCTCGTCGTCAAGCTCGTGCAGCCGGCTGCTGCTCAGCCCGGCCGTCCCTGGCGGCAGGTCAACAAAGGCCTGCGCCCTGGCGGCGTCTGGGCGAGCTGTCGCACTCCTCACATACGTGGCCGTCCCCGAGTAGCCCGACTTGACCCTCGCTCGCGCAAAGAATGCATCGTATCCGTCGACTCGGACCTGGTCTGGTGCCGACCCCACCGTCCCGAACCCCATCTTGGTCTCCTGGAAGCATATCACGTCGGCTTGGAACGAGTCTAGTAAGCTGCGCAGCCAAACAACAGTTGGGTGAGACCTGCCTTCCTCCCCCCTCCCCCCCCCCCCCCCCCCCAAAGGGAGCAGCATACCTCTTGAACTCTGCCGCACCCGCTGGCAACGACCGTAGGCCATTGACATTCCACGTTACTACCCTCATAGAGAGAGAGAGAGAGAGAGAGAGAGAGGGAGGGAGCGAGAGTGAGAGAGAGAGCGGTAGGCACGCGTGTGGCCGAAAAAAGGTCGTGGTTTGTCGAGTGTGTGGCAGACGGGCAAGTTCGCGCCAAGACGCCCCACCGATGTCAGCACACGCACCGTCCCACCACCACGCTCGACACCCACTACGCCCACACCCACCACACCCACTACCTCACTCACACCCACATTCTCCCGTCTCTACCCTTGCCCTTCCATCCTTCATCCCTCCTCTCAGTCTACACGACTCCGCCTACCTCAAACCTTCACGAATCCTTGCCCACCCCAACCCCCATCATCATGGAGCACCAGGTCCAACAGGCCATGGAGGGTACGTCCAACCTATAGCATCCATTCTCCCTCTCTCTCTCCCATCCCCCTCCACTCTCCACTCATCTATTCTTTTGCAGTCATTACGGAAATGTCCGATATGCTCAACACTGGGCTCACTCGTGAGCAGCTGGCACTGGTGGTCGACCTGTGCGAGAAGGGCGTGAACCCGGAGGCTCTGGCAGCTGTCATCACAGAGATCCGCCGTGAGGCCGAAGCACTCAAGGCTGAGGCTGCTCATACACCGTAGGGCGAGAGTGGCCGACCCAAGACGCAGATGTGGTGAAATCTCCCGCAACGGTGGTGATGATGCGACGATTGGCTTCTCGCTCGACTTTCTCCTCCTCCTCCTTCTCCCCCCCCGCCACGGTCCCGCCACGGTCCCGCCTCGATGCGCCTACACTGGATCGGACCCTCCAGCCTCAGATGGGCTCAATGTCTTACCCGCCCTCGCCCCTGCTGCTCCTCCTCGCCGCCCCGCGGTAAATCGAATCCGGGCTCCATGCATGTTACCGATTTCTGGGCGCGGCTCCGCAAAGCAAAAATGGCGGTCGTTGCGACCGCTGCTCTCGACTTGGCGATTGAGACACTGCACCCTGAGCCATGGAGTGTACTTGGGTTGTCGATGGTGTCTTTGTCACCGCTGACCGCGATATGGTGAACGAGCGGACGAGCGAGGACGCTCAATCCGTCTTTGATGTTTCGTCCCCACTCACATCAAGCACAAGTGGCGCCGACGCCCGCCCGCGGTGCGATGTGTGTGGCAAGCCGTTCGACGGCTGGTCGGCTGTCTTTGCTCACAAGGGCTCCGGCGAGAACTGCGATCCGGGCGCGGGCGCTGCGGGCGAAGCCGAGGCGACGGTGACAATGTCTGCGCGCGTCGCGGACGAAGTCCGCGACACGGTCCACGCTCTTGGCCGCGAGCTGGTCGAGTCTAGCGATGGGCGGTGGAGTATGAAGTATCTGGCGCGGAGCGTCGAGTTTGCGCTAGACCAGCTGACCTATGCTCGGTGCAACGCGTACAACCTCGAGCGGTGGTACCCCGCAGTCGAGGCCGCGTACGATGCGGCCGGCAAGCCTCTGCCGACCGCCCGCTCGATCTTCTTGCCGCTCTCGGACCCCGACATTGACATCCTGTGCAAGACGTTCTCGCGTGGTGAGTTTGGCTCGAGCCTCTCGCGGGCCGAGTCGGAGACGCTCGCGGCACTTGAGCGACGGGTCCAGGCCGCAATGGACGAGGCGACCTTGATGTCAACGCGGTTTTTCGTGCGGCTCTCGACGCGCTCGCCCAAGGACGCCGTGACTAGCCAGGACGGCACCGCCAAGGACGCGCTGGCAGTGACCCGGGCGCGCGAGGCTCTCGCGCTCATCGGCCGCTCGATGCGCTGCTACTCAGACTTGCAGGCGCACCTCAAGTTTCGGGCTTTGCCCAACTTGCCAGCGATGAACCTCATCTTGCGCGAGTGGGTTGACATGCCGTTTGACTACGAGTTCCGCTGCTTTGTAGCCAGCGGCGCGCTTACCGCCATCTCACAGTACGCCTGCTTCGATGTGGTGCCCGAGCTTCACGACACTGCGACACTCGATGCGATCCGCGACGCCATTGTCGAGCTCCACACTTCGCTCGACCCGCTGCTGTCTCTCGACTCGTATGTGTTTGACGTGGTATGGATGCCGGACACGGGCTCTGTCTCGCTCATCGAAATCAACCCGTTTGGAGCCGAGCTCTCATCGGGCGCATGCCTGTTCTCTTGGACCCGCGACCGCGCACTGCTCTACGGCGACGAGCCGGCTGCCGGCAGCCAGCCCGCCGTCCGAGTTCTCCGCGAACTGATCGGCAAGGCCTCTGTCCCGCGCGTGGCACCGTCGGCCATGTTTGGCGTCTGAAGAGTGTAAACGTTGGCCGCGTCTGCCATGCTTGTCGCGATGACGTTCGCCTGAGCGTGGCAACCGCTGCCACCGCAACCAAAGCACGCGCTTTGCTGGCGCCGCGTCTACTTTCGGTATCGCGTCGAGGACCTTGCGACGACCCTCCTGCTCCGTCTCATCCTTCGCGGTTTGTGTCACCTTTGCCTCGCACTGTGATGGTGCGACAGCATTCTCGACCAGGTTGTGCTGATCACGTCAACGCTCGTATCACGGCGCACTCCTCTTCAACCTCGAATTGGCCCAGCATGTTGGGCCACGATAGGATTGGAGTGGCCTTGAGTCTTGCAATGGTAGCGACGACCATACTCACGAGCCACATTGCAGGAGGAATTCTCACAGGCTATGTCCCTCCTATCAATGTGACCATCGTCGGCCTGTACCCTGTGACAGGTTCACTTGCCTCTCCAGGACAGGATATTGCATCGGCGGCAAAGCTGGCTGTGTCTCACGTAAATGCCGAGCCGCTGCTCCTCCCAAACGTACGCCTTCTGCAGTTGATCCTTGCCTCCTCCTCCCCCCCATGCCTTCCTCCTTCCCATGGCCACCGCCATGACACCCTCACCCCCCATACCCCCTATATCCCCCCCCCGTCCATACCCCCTCCATACCATGCCCCTTCCCCCATCTCAATGTCATTTCCCGTTCTATGTCTCCCATTGGCGTCGGGCGCCCTTGCTGTGACAAACGCGGCGGAAACCGTTTCACCCTTCCTCCACCACCACCGCCACCACCACTACCTCCACCACCACTACTACTACCACCACTACCACCACCAACTTGTGGTGACAGACCTGTTGTTGGAAATGAGACTCATGTGAAGACCATGCTCCGGCTGGTGGGTGTTTAGACTCGGATTATTCTGGAGGCTGTGGATACACAAGCTAGTGCGGCTCAAACAACGTTGTCGTTGCTGGCTACGTTGAGGAACGTTCAGCGCATTGTGGCTATCTCTGGAGCAGCAGTGTCATCGGTCTCGCGATCTGTGCAGAACATCGTCTCAGTCTTCAATATTCCGATGATCTCGCCAGCTTCAACAGCAGCTGTACTCTCCAACAAGGCATTGTATCCTACGTTCATGCGAGTTGTTCCGCCTGACACGCTCCATGGCTCTGCAACAGCGTCGACAATCAAGAGCATCGGCTGGCGGCGAATTGCAACAATCTTTCACGACGACGACTACGGGATCTCGTCGAGCCAGTCTTTGGTGACCAAGGCAGTGGAGCTCGGCATCGAGGTCTCGGCGCAGATCTCGTTTCCGTTTGGGACGACCGACTTTGTTACTGTTGTTGACGCAATAGAAAAGCTCTCGGACACGCACGTCCTGTTCATCGCATGCTACACTTTTGAGGCTGTGGAACTCTTTCGTGAGCTCATCAAGCGTGACCTGACCACCGGGCGGTTTGTCTTCTTTGGCTCGGATTGGCTCGTCGACGAGTTTTTCGAGTCGGATCTGGACCAAGACAAGCTCCACGGCCTGCTTGTGCTGCAATACCTGCTTGATTCATCGCCGCTGATGGATGCGTTTACCGACGAGTGGGAGACGCTCAACTCGACCGAGTATCTCGGCGCCGGCGACCGTACGTACAGCCAGTTTGCACCGCTCTCATACGACACGGTCATGACTACGGCGTACGCGCTGCAGGCTGCGATCGACGATGGCGTCGATGTGTTTGACGGCCAGGTCCTGCTTCCGTATATGGCACAGACCACGTTCATTGGGCTGACCGGCAACATCAGCTTCGACGTCAACTACGACCGTATCTCACCGCTGGCCATTCGGAACTACAAGGGCGGCGCAGCATTGCAGACGGTCGGCCAGTGGGACACCGCGTCGAACTCGCTGGTATTTACCGACTCGATCATCTACCCTGGCAACATGACACGGCCGCCGCACCTCCCTATTGTGGCGTCGCCCGAGTCTGACAAGCTTTTCATTGTGTTTGTCACGGTCGGCGTGGCCATCATTGTGATGGCGGCGATCATGCTCACTGTGAGTATAGTGATCATTCGGCGGCGGCGGGCGCAGGTTGCGTCGCTGGAAGAGCAGAACAAGCAGCTCAACCTGGAGGCGCGGGCACTCAACTCGCGGCTGGACGTGCTGTCAGAGCAAACAGCGATGGCATCTGGCCGGCAGAGCGGGCCGGTCATTGACATGCCAGTCAATCAGGTGCTCGGCCTCTTGTGGCGACTGCAAGGCTCTGTCCGCAACCCCATCGACGTCCGCGACATCAACTCGGCCATCGAGGCCATCCAGTCGAACGTCCTATTCACACCCGAGACCCGCGACGACGCCTCGGTCTCTTCGAACCGCGACAACCTTACCCGTGACTGGATCCGCAAAACGCTCATCGGAGGAACTGGGCCGGCTGCGGCCGGAACCCACGGTTCGGCCTCGTACACCCGCAGAGGCTCCCACGTCCGGTCCGGCTCGCGGATTCTGCTCCCGATCTCGCCCTCCCCGCCCTCCCCGCTCGACTTGGGCGTGTCGAGAGAGACTGCGTTCAAGCCGGCGCCGCACCTGGCACCACTGCTGGAAAACCTGGCGTCGCTAGAGTTTGACATCTTTGCGCTCGCCATCCGCGACACGTGCACGCTGCGATCGGTGTTTTTGGCCATCTGCACCGAGAAGCAGCTGTTCACCCAGCTCGGCCTCGACTCGTCGGCTCTGGCACGGTACATGATGGTGTTGGACAAGGCGTGCGAGGGCATGTCGAACCCATACCACAACGTGCTCCACGCCGCGGACATGGTCCAGTTTGTGCACTTTCTCCTCTCGACCTCGGGCCTGTACGCGGTCCTCTCACCGCTCGAGTCGTTCGCTGCGCTGTTTGCGGCTGCGATCAAGGACGTGGGCCACCCCGGCGTCGACTCTTCATACCTGATCAAGACCAAGTCGGTTCTCGCCATCCGGTACTCGAATCGGTCTGTGCTTGAGCAGCACGCATTGGCGATGGCATTCCAGCTCGCCCTTGCCGACAAGTTTGACGTGTTTGCGCCACTGAGCGCCAAGTCCTTTGCCGCCTTTCATGAGCTCGTTGTCGAGCTCGTGATCGGAACCGACATGCACAAGCACGTCGAGGTTATGTCGCGCTTCAAGATTGCGTTCGGACTCGGGCGTGAGGGCGGGTCGGAAGCATTACCGCAGCATGGCCAGGCACCGCTCCAGGGCTCGCAGCTGTTGGAAGGCATCCAGTCGAACGCCAAGCTGAGAACGATTGTGCTGCAGCTGATTGTCAAGATGGCGGACGTGTCGTATCCGTCGCGGCCGTGGGCTAAGGCCAATTCGTGGGCGCACCGGTACTCACGCGAGGCGTTCCAGCAGGGCAAGCAGGAGCGGGCGCACGGGTTGGCTGTCTCGCCGTTCATGGACGGCATGGCGTCGTCGGTGGCCAAGGCGCACGTGTCGATGATCCGCATCGTGGCGCTCCCCATGTTCCAGGCCTGGTGCGAGCTCTTCCCCATCGACGAGTGCCTTGGCCACATGCGACACTGCCTGCGGCACTGGTCGTCGGCGTCGACTGACGAGATGGAGCACGCCCACGAGACGGCGCTCGCGGCCATGGACGCCTTTGACCGGACATTCTTTGCCTCGGACGGCGGCTCGCCGGTAGTCACCAACGGCGGCATGCAGAAGAGCACGCTAGCGCCCAACCAACCCAACTACATCGAGTCGGTCATCTCAGGCCTTCTCGACGTCCTTGACGACGATGAGCTCTGTGAGGAAGATGAGGACAACGAAGCGACGCCGGTCGCGAGTGGGGCCGATGCGGACATCGCCGTTGCTCTTGACGCGCACGGCGGCGAGGAATGAAGCACACAGCCCTACTCTCGGTTCTGCAGCTATCATAGTGTTAATCGAACCAGCGCTTCTTCTTCTTGCCACCGGCAGAGGCGAGGACGGCGCGGAACTCGTCGACCAGCGAGCCACCGGCGTTGTTGCCACTCTCAGCCTTGCGCTTGCGCGATTTGTTGTCGCTGCCACCAGCGTTCTTGCTGTTCTTGCTCCTTCTGTGAGCATCCTGGGACGACGACGAAGCGGCGGCGGCAGCAGCGGCCTCGGCCTTGCGCTTGGCCTTGTTCGCCTTGCGACGCGAGAGCTTCTTCTGTGGCACTTCGGGCTCGACGACAGCGGCGTCATCGAGGGCATCGCGGGCGGCGTTGAGCTTGCGGCGCTTGGCGGCGCGTCGCTCATCGTTGGACGGCTGCTTCTCGATCGAGTCGTTGCCGGCGGCGAGCTCACGCCGGCGCTTGCGAACCTCGTTGTCTGAGCCAAACAGCGAGAGCTTGTTGCTCTTGGCAGGCGCCTTTCTGCCAGCGCGCGAGGAGGCGTTTGCGGACTCGGGGGCAGTGCGCGAGGCTTTGACGGAGAGCTCGTGGCGCTCGATGGCCTCCTTGGCGTCGACAGCAAACTCGACGATGAGGCGCCGTTCGTCAGAGTAGAACTCCGGATTGTTGTTGAGGAGCTGGAGAGCCTTGAGGGCGTCGTCGTGATGGGCAAACTGGACGAAACCGTAGCCGCGCGAGCGGCCGATGCCTGCGGCGGTGATGCGGTTCTTGTCGCGGACAATCTTGACCTGCTTGATGATCTTGTGGCGGACATTGCGGTTGAGGGCCTTGAGAATGTCGGCCTTGAGCTCCTTCTCGGTCTTTGTCAGCGGGATGTTGCGAATGGCGAGGCGCTTCGTAGAGACCATGTTGTTGGGGTTCTTGAGAGCAGCCTGCTTCTCCTCGTAAGCCTTGACGCGCTTCTTGAGGTCCGACTCGGACATGCCGACGGCGGCGGCGGAGCCCGGGAGGATGACTCCCTCGTTGGCGATGGCCACGTTGCGGGCGTCGCGGCGCTCGGCCTCGGCACGGGCCTCGGCGCGGTGGTTGACCAACTCGCGCTCGCGCGACTTGTCGACGGCGAGGACGACAAAGAGGCGGCGCTGGTTGAGGAAGATGCCCTGGCCGGCGTGGGCCGGCTTGCCCTCAGTGTCAAGCTCAGGCTCGTCGTCGTCGACGTCCTCGTCGTCGAGGCGGAGGCCCATCGAGGCGACGACCGATCGGCGGTTGAGATGCGACTTGGACTTTGCGGTGGACTTTGAGATGTTGAGGTCGTCCGAGCGGATGGCGGCGGCATCAATGGCGGCGGCGGCCTGCGCGGCGGTGTCAAACTTGACAAAGCCGACGCCGCGTGACTCGCCCGAGACCTTGTCATACACGATGCGGGCAAAGAGGACGTTGCCAAAGGCCGAGAAGGCCTCGGCGAGCTCGTGGTTCTGGGTCTCAAACGAGATGTTGCGGATAAAGACGGTGCGCTTCTCGTTGACGTCGGACGGGGCCTCGCGTGCGGGCCGGGCCGGGCGGTCGCTGGACTTTGAGCGACGGCGGGCGTCCGAGTCCGAGTCCGAGTCGCTGTCCGAGTCGTCCGAGCCTGAGCCCGAGTCCGAGCCCGAGTCCGAGCTGGCGTCGCTCTCGTCGTCCTTGACGGCGGCCTCAAAGACGCTCTTGGCAAAGGCAAAATCGACGGCAATGGGCCTGCGGAACGGTTGTGCGGCGTTGACGGCGGCGATGGCGGCGGCGGCGTGCTCGCGACGCGAGAACTCAACAAAGCCAAAACCGCGCGACTTGCCCTCGCTGTTGAGCGGGAGGTGGACGTCGACGAGCGGCCCGTGGACTTCAAAGACGGCGCGGAGCTTTGCGGCGTCGACAGACCACGGCAGGTTGCGGACGATGAGGCGGCCGGGCTTGCCCGAGACCTTGGCCTTGCGCAGCGGGTCAAGGACAATCCATGCCTGGAGCGGGACGCCCTTGTGGATGCGGTCGTCGAGGGCTTCGACGGCAGCGCGGGCGAGCTTGGGGGTGAGGAACACAAGGTGGGCCTGAATCTCTGCGGGCGACTCACCGGCGAGCTGGCCGAGCATGTTGAGCTCCTCGGGCGTGAGCTTGTCGACGTCGACGGTGTGAGCCGATGAGGCGTTGTACTTTTCCGACGAGAGCGGGCCCGAGGTCGGCGTCACCTCCATCTTGTCGCTGCCAAGGACAGGAAAGGCGAACGAGTGGAGCGAGCCGAGCTTGATCTTGAGAGCCTTCTTGAGCAAGACGCGGAGGGCCTGCTTGCCCTTGGTCACCTCGGAGATGGTAAAGCCGCGAACAACGACCGTCCGGGCAAGCATCTTGTTCCTCGTCCACGACTTGGCCTCGACGGGTGCGCCGGACTTGCCCTTCTTGCCCTTCTTGCTCTTCTTCCCCTTCTTGCCCTCCTTGTGGCTCTCGGCCTTGGCCTTTTCCGATGCGAGCAGCTCGAGCTTGTCGGTAGCCGGATCGGCGGCCTTGCGGGCAGCCTTTGCCTCTTCGGCCTTTGCCTTTGCTAGCGCAGCCGGAGGCATGGCGACGGGAGCCTTCTTTGCCTTGGCATCATCATCATCCTTTGTCCCGATGACGAGACCAGGCGCATCCGATTCACCGTCAGCACCAGGCAGCGGCTCCCGAAGACGACGAGAAGAGTAGACGACAGTCAGAGAATGACCCTTGACGGATCGCTTGTGGAACTTTGAGATGGCCTTTGCGGCATCTTCCTTGAGCGCAAAATGAACGTAGCCAAAACCACGCGAGACCATTGAGCCCTTTTCGGTGACCACAAAGGCATGTCGGAGCGGACCGACTTCAGAGAAGAGCGCTTCCAGCTGTGCAGTGGTAAACGACGGCGGGAGGCCACGGACATGGACCATAGTCTCGGACTTCTTCCCCATCTTTGCACCGTCTGGAAATAGGTGGTGGTTTCGGACTTGGTGCTTTGGCGTGAGGTGGCGGTAAGTGGTTGGTGCGTTGGTTGAGTTGTGTGAGGATGGCGGTGGGATGGATGGATGGATGGGTTTGGGGTGGTGGCGGGATTGGGGGGTTGGGGGTTGGGGGTTGGGGGTAGTGATCATTGGCGGGATTGGGCCGGGGGATTGAGGAGGAGGGATCTATGGAGGGGCTTGGTGGTGGGGGTGGTGGTGGTGGGTGGGGGGGGTAATGATCGGGAGGAGGCGCAGTGATCGGATCGGATGGGAAGGGAATCGAGTCGGGATCGGATCGGATGGGAAGGGGGAGGGGGAGGGGGGTTAGGGATGCGATCTGGAGGAGGGCATTGTCCAGAGCGGGCGGGATCGGGGCAGTGATCGCGAGGTAGACCAATCTGTAAAGGAGTGTGTGGGAGAGTACATGTCTTAAAATCGGCTTTCATGCCCCCCCCCCCCCCTCGCCCCGCCTCAGGACTCAACATTTCATTTTCACCCTCACCACCAACCACCGACCACCATTCGCCTTTACCTTGTGCCATCGCGAGCGCACGCGCTGCCACTCGGTCACCCACCCGTCCCCACCCCCCCTACCGCCACCCACCCCTACCCCCCCTCTACCCCACCCAGCCCAAGTTGGGCATGTCCCAAACATTCTATGATGCGGTCAAGACTGCTGTAGCGCAGCACAGGCCACATAGTACACAGGAGATGATGTGGAAGGTCCAGGCAGAGCGAAGGCTGTTGCCCTTGCCCCAGCCTGCTCCTGCTCTCGCTGCGCAATCGGTTGTCTTTAGAGATGATGCTACATGCCCACAGCAGACTGCGACTGCGACTGCGACTGCGACTGACGCAACGTCGAGTTCTCTCGCTGCTTTGTCCTCGACCTCGCCCTCGTCGTCGGCATCGACTTTGGGCCCGGGTTGTTCTCACAACGGTGATCTTGACCGTGACCGCGATGGTCACCGCCATCACCATGGCGGCCATCGTGGTTCCTCGGCAGACGACGTTGTCGTTCGTGAGGGGCAAGTATCATCGCAGGCGTCATCATCGTCGTCATCAGGCGGCCAGGGCCTTGTCAGCAACAACGAGTTGATGGCCATTGTCCAGGCGCTGGGCTTGTGGCGGGCCGTGCCGTCGGCAGCTGTTCCAGCAGAGTTTGTGGCTGTCTTTGCCAAAGAAGCAGGAAAAGCGCAAGAGGCCGAAGAGTCGGGCGCAGCTACTTCGTCGATGACGCGATCGCGGCAGTACTCGCTGTCGGACATGGCTGCGGCCGCTCGCTCGTCAGCGTCGCCGCCAGACTCGCCGGCATCCGGCGTGGCACCAGTCGGCGTTGCTGCCCGCCGTTCCGCGCTCCAACGGAACAGCAAGCGTGTTGACAGCCGCATGAGCTCCGGCGGCCAGAGCCAATCGTCAACCTTTGACGACTCGTTCACATTTTTCGGCCCGCCGGACTCGGATCGCCGCCGTGTCTTTGCCCGTCTTCGCCGCAAGGAGATGCCCACTACCGAGTTTGAGCTCCTCCCCCATTTGCAGGACGAGCTCGACCGCGAGCGCGCTGCACAGCGGTTTGCCGTCATGGCCTCCAAGCAGCGCGCTGCCGCCGGCCAGGCCGATGCCGCCGACGTCCTCGCCCAGCCCAACTCGCTCGACAAGACAGGCACTTTTGACGTGGGCGCGTCTGGTGGCGCCGTTCCGCCACCACCGAGTGGCGGCGATGCTGCTGCTTCGGGGGCGCAGCCCGCTGCCACTGCCGCGGCCGCGTCTGCCGCCGACAACGACGTCGTGGCTGAGCGTGCCGAAGTCGTCCCGCTCCGCACCATGCTCGAGAAGCAGCACTGGGTCAAGGACTCGCACGCTTGGGCATGTTATCACTGCGGTGCGTCCTTTTGGCTCTTTACCCGCAGGCACCACTGCCGGCTGTGCGGCCAGGTCTTCTGTCGCAAGTGTGCGTCGTGGTTCATCCCCGCCCGCCTTGTCCTCGGCTCCAAAGGCAAGGACGTTCGCTCGTGCCAGTACTGCTACGACCACGCACTCGAGTCAGCTGCCACCTCTGAGGCCGCCGCCGCCGCGCTTGCCGCCAGCGAGGCCAAGGCCGCCGCTGCCAACCAGGCCAAGGCCAAGGCGGCCAAGGTCAAGGCCAAGGCCAAGGCCAAAGCCAAGGCAGCCAAGGCTAAGGCCCGTGCTGCCAAGAGCAAGGGCAAAGCTGCCCGCGCCGCTGCCGCTGCAGAGCCCGCCATCGACCCGACGCTCATGACGGCTGCGCGCATCTCGTTTGTCCTCGGCATGCGTCGCTCGGACGTGACCAGCTCGTCCGAGCCACAGGCTCCGCCCGTCCGCACCACCTCTGTTGTCGCCGGCTACCGCACACTCTCCACCATCAATCCACACCCGGCGCTCGACGACGACTGGGGCTCCGCCGCACCGTCGACGCTCACGCCCCCATCCCTCGGCCCACACGCCTCGGCTGACCCAGACCCGATGGCCTCGACCGGCGTCTCGGTTTCGGTCTCGGTCTCTGGCTCTGGCTCTGGCTCTTCCTCGTCCACCTCCGCCTCGACGGCCTCAAGCCCATCTTCGTCCGACAACGACAAACAAGGTTCATCCTCCTCTTCTTCCTCCTCTTCGTCTTCCTCCTCCGACGGCACCACCCACGTTGACAGATCGGGCACGCCCGCCATCGCGCCGCTCGCCAAGACCCGCTCGCGCCGCTCGGGCTCGGGCTCGGACTCTGACTCGGCTCGCCCGTCTGGCCTTGGCGAGCAGGACCGGACCGTCTCGCGCCCGTTCTACGCGTCTGACTTTGACATTACAGACCGCAAGAACTCAGTATGGGGCTTTGATGCCCACGCCTCTGACGCCACCAGGCCGCGCAAGCCAGCGACGCTTCTCAGGCAGGTCTCAACTCCAACAAGCATCCTCGCTAGTCATCTCCCCGCCTCGCCCACTACCGGCACCACACCCTCGGGCATCAACGCCTCGTCCGACTCGCTCCATCGTCTCACCCTCAACACCTCGGTCGAGAACTTCCGAGAGCTCGTGACAAGCAAGGCGAGGGAGGTGGGCGAAGGAAGCGGTTCTGGCTCTGCAAACGTCTCGGACACTCCGGGCTCCCCCGACGCTGTTTTCGCGCCGCTTGCTGACAATGCAGTCGTAGGCGTCGAGCGGCACTTTGCCACGGTCGTGCCATTCCTCCGCCCACTCGTGGCACAATTGCTGGGCGATGCCAACCTCGATGACAGCCGCTACGGTGATGGCGTGACTCAGCTCGCACTCTGTGCTGCTCAGCACATCGCCCCGGTCCTCGCCGCCGGCGACTCGATGGACGTCCGCGAGTACGTCCGGTACGAGGTGCTGGCCACCGGAAACTTTGCAGACTCGGAGCTCATTCACGGCCTCGTGACTCCCAAGAACATTGCACACAAGAAGATGGTCAACCACATGACCAACCCCAAGATCATGCTCCTTGGTTGCCCTCTGCAGTACTCGCTCACTGACAACGTCATGTCCTCGTTTGACACCATCCTCACCCATGGCCGCGAGTTCCTCAAGTCTCAGGTCTCGCGCGTCCTCAAGCACACGCCCGACATCATCGTGGCCCAGCACTCGGTCTCGCGGCTCGCCCAGGAGTTCCTCCTCAAGCGCGGCATCACTCTTGTCCTCAATATGGGCCCGACGTTCATGGCCCAGCTTGCGCGGTTCACCGCCGGCCGAGTCGTCACCTCGCTCGAGGACTTTGCTGCTTCGGACCTTGGAACCTGCGGCGAGTTCCGCGTCCGCAGCTTTCTCGACTCGTCGCGCTCACGCAAGACGCTCATGTTCTTTGATGGCACGCCACCGGCCGTCGGCGCCACCATTCTGCTCCGCGGCCAGGAGCTGGCCACGCCGTCGGTCCATCATGGTCTCACCGGCGCCATGTCGTTTGCCATCTACGCCGCCCGCGCCATGCTCACCGAAGCCGCGCTCCTCGACGACCTCGCTATCGACCTCGCGCCTCACTCGGTCCACATGCGGTTCCAGCTCGATGCTCTTGCTGCCGAAGCCGCCCTCCCGGGCTTTGGCAAGCTTTATGCCTCCCGCATTCTGTCGACCTCGCTCGCCACCGCCTTCCCGCTCCCATCGAACGAGGGTCTCGGGCTCGTCACCAAGGCACATGACCAGAGCAAGCCTGGGCACAATGTCGATGGCGATAACGTCAAGGGCAAGGAACCCTCTGACGACGGGAGCGATTGCGACGCTGCTGCAAATAACGACAGCAAGGAGCTGCTCACCGAGCCGCCGGCCTCGATCTATCCACAGGACTATCAGGGCATCCAAGTCGTTTTTGCTACCCGCTCGCTCTCTGCGGGACGGATGTGCGTCTCGCCACAGCGGTACTTTTTCTCGTTCTTCAATGACTTTGACATCTCGCTCGGCCAGGCTGTTGAGCTTTGTGTGGGTAAGGACAACTTGTGCGTGGCATGCAATGGGCCGATGACCGACCACGTCATCGAGTACACCCATCTCGACACGACGCTTGCGCTCTCGATCTCGGCCATCGAGGCGCCCAGCGACACCATCAGCGATCTCGCGCCGCTGGTATGGTCTTCCTGCACCGAGTGCGGTGCGCTGTCGGGCCTCTCGGAGCTCTCACACCACGGTTGGCACTGCTCGTTTGGCAAGGTCATCCAGGGCGCCGTCTACCAGGGCGCCGTCTCGCGGATGTGCGGGCACTCGGCGCGGTCACTCGTCCGGTTCTTTGCCAGTGGCGACCGGGTTGTCTCGATTGCGTCGTCGTCGGCAATGGTGCTGCGCCTCCGGCGCCCGGCCCGCTCCCTCGAGTTCAACACGGAGCTTCAAGTCAGGCTTTGGATCTACGAGCTCAACCAGATCCGACGCGACGCGCACACTGTCTTTGATGCCATTGCGCGTCAGCTCGACATTGCTGCCGCGCTCGACGACTTTGATGCTTGGCTCGCCCGCTACCGCTCGCCGCGCTTGTCTACCTCGCAGTCGCGATCGCCGACCCGCTCACCCGTACGCTCAGCACACTCCGAGGCCACAGTCAGCGAGTCTGCCGCGGCTAGCGAGGCTGCAGCGGACGACGCAGAGAGCGAGGCTGCTGTGAGCAGCGATGCCGGAGCAGCAACGCCGCAGCCGGCATCGGCGACCCGACTCACGGTGGCAGTTGAGACCGGGGCCAGCCAACCGCCGCCGCGCTCGCCGTTGGCCCGTCCGTCGTCGACCGATCCAGAGCTGATGATGGTGGTCAAGCCGAGCCACGTGCCCGCGGCCCAGGTCCGCTCCCGGCTCGATGCCGAGCGTCAGGCCTTTGACGACACCCTCACCGAGCTCCGCGCCCACTCGCTCGCCGATCTCTCGTCGGTCAAGCGCATGCTGCTGCAGGCCGCCCAGGAGTGGGACGAGGTCTTGGGCAAAGATCTTGTGCTTCCGACACGACTGGCGTTCGCCGAAGCCAACCCGGCAAGAGTCCATGCGTTCAACAACGCGTGTGCACCTGCACCTGCCGCTGACGACTCGAGCGTCACCAACTCGAGCCATCTGACGCCGCCGTTGGAGCCGCGGATGCTCGACGTGGCAAGCGCAATGCGGACGGTGGCTTCCTCAAACGCGCTGTCGGCTCTGCAGGCATCGGTCGAGGAGGCGGACGATGACGCGGGCGAGAGTGCGTCGATGACGCTTGGCGACGGTGGTCGCCGGCGTGCACACTCGATCGCCGGCGACGCCCCCCGCCCGGATGCGCTCGACGGCGCGCCGCCGACGCTCGATCTTCAGGCGGCGCGCGAGACTCGAATTGGGAGCTCTCTCCGGGCGCTGCTCTCGGACCAGGGGTACCGGCACCTTGCGCTGCCCGGTGGAATGCACCGTTACATCAATGTGATCGACAACGAGCCGTCCACGGTCATTGCGTACGCGCTCTCTTCACTGGCGTATGGTGCCAAGCTCACCGAGCTGTTCACCACCCACTACGCGCCGGTCTTTGCCGAACTCGGGGAAACAGCTTCGGCGGCGACGACCAGCAGCGGAACGCGCGGGGAAGAGCGCGCGGCGCGTGGGGAGCTCTCAACACCGCAAATCGACGCGCTGCTTGCGTCACGGCGGACTGACCACTACGAGCAGCGGTTTGCGGACGAGTTCTTTGAGGCCAAATGCGTGATGTACTACCCAGTGCAGTTCCACGCGCTGCGCACCCAGTACGTGAGCGAGATGGACCAGTTCCTCATGTCGCTCTCGCGGTGCCGCGGGTGGAAGGCGTCGGGCGGAAAGTCCAATGCCTCGTTTGCCAAGACGCTCGACGACCGACTTGTCCTCAAGGGCATCTCCAAGTCTGAGCTCGACTCGTTCCTTGGGCTCGGACCCGAATACTTTAGCTTTGTCTCGAACTTTCTCTTTGGCAAGAACGATGAGCGCGAGGACGACTCTAGCGGCGCGTCCCCATCGACGCTCTGCATGCTCATTCTCGGCGTCTTCCAGATTGAGGTCACTCTTCTCAAGCGGCGGCGTGAGCGGTTCCGACAGACGTTCATTGTGATGGAGAACCTGTTTTACGATGCACCCGAGATCTCGGCCCGGTTTGACCTTAAGGGCTCTGAGCGCTCGCGGTTTGTGACGCCGTCGCCCGAGGCCAAAGACCAGGTTCTGCAGGACGACAACTTTAAGGAGTTTCTCTCGCGGTATCCGCTGTATGTGGGCGAGAGCGATCTCGCGCTGCTCTCCAGTTCTGTTGTTGCTGATTCGCGGTTTCTGGCACGGTGCAAGGTCATGGACTACTCGCTATTGCTCGGCATCGACTACTCGACCGCCACCATGTACTGCGGCGTCATTGACTACATCCGCCAGTACACGTGGGACAAGCAGGTCGAGTCAATCATCAAGTCATCGGGCCTGATGGGAGGCGGCGGTAAGGCGCCGACAGTGGTCATGCCCGAGCAGTACAAGGACCGCTTCCGGGCCGCTATGCGGACGTACTTTACGCTCGTGCCCGACAAGCACTCGACGTTTGTGTAACGCCTTCATTGAACACACATGCATGTCAGGTCAACACCGGTCGAGGCGCGGCCGGCTGGGTGAGGCCGGCGATGTCGGCGACGAGGCCCGCGCCGGAACAAAGGTGGGCGAAGCCGACGAGTGGAGCTGAGGCAACTTGCGAGCGTGCGGGGTTGACTGGTGCAGAGAGACGACCGAGGGCGAGGGCCGGTGTGGCGAGGTCGAGCGGCCGGCGTCCGGACTCATCGAGCTAACCAGTTCGGCGACCGTTAGTGAGGGCTTGTCTTGGCTTTCCAGTGGAGGACGGGCGCGGCGTGGGCGGAGTGGCAGCGACGAGCGCGGCGTGACGTTAGCCGAGTCGAGACCGTAAATAGAGGCAACAGTGTCAACAACAGGCGCAACAAGACCAAGACGCTCCATTGCGGCGTCTGCATCATCGCTGTCGACGATGGTGGCGATGTGGGACGGGGCAGAGGGCGGCGCCTCGGCAGTGGCCTTGATGGCCCATCGATCAAGCTTGGAGAGGTCATCGATGGAGACACCGACGCCGAGGGTTGATGCGCCGGAGCGGATGTGCGGGCCAAAGACTGAGCGGGTCTCCCACTTGCGGAAGAGGTCATTAGTGGAGCAAGTGAGTGGATGGGCAAGAAAGACAGCGCTGGCGTCGATGGTGCCGAAGGAAGAGTGGGTGACCGAGCGGGTGTAAGCAAGCTCGTAGAGCTTGTTGTACAGGTCGGCCGCAATGACGCGCGAGGGAAGCTTGCGAAAGAGCGGGTCAGCTTCGACGGCAGCATCGCTCGACGGATCGGGAATGCCTTCTGCGGCGCGAAGGAGGTGCGAGCACGACGAAAAGTGGTGCGGGTAAACAAGGAGGAGGCCGCGGATGGTGACGAGGGCGATGTGTTCGGCTACGTCGAGATAGTAGGCAGAGAGGACTGGGATGTTGAGTGGAAGCGTCCGCAGGATGTCGCCAGAGCGGACGTTGATGATCGAGAGGTGGCGTGCGTCGAGGACCATGGCGTGGGCGGTAGAAGCACAGACATCGACCGAGAGAACCGGACGAGCACCTGGCATGATGGTCTCCATCCGCGGCTGGGTGACCATTACGCGGTCGGCCATAAAGACGAGGCCGACGACGACGACCCGACCCGAGCTGGAACCGGCAATAAGATTCTTGCCTCCCCAAGCAAGCGCGGCCGAGACCGACTCTCCTACAGGAAGGCAGCGCATAAGCGAGGTCGGAACTGGGGCCACCAGCGATTCGCCGTCCGGGGCGATGTAGACCATGGAGACGAGCGAGGACGAACTGAGCAGAAGGAAAGGAAACTCGTGGCGCTCCGGGGCAGAGACCGGCTGGGCCAAGACAACGCTGTCTGTCACGCCACCGCCAAATGGCCACAGCGCGGCAAGGAGCTGGAGGCAGCGCTTGCACCAGACAAAGACGCGACCAGTGACACTTGCAGAGAAGACGTACAGCGTCGGCGTGGCACCTGCAGGCGAGGCAGCCGACGGCGAGCACGAGATGGTGACCGGTGATGCGCGAGTGGGACTGGAACTAGAAGACGAAGCCGAGACAAAGCGCGGCAGGGGCCTATCGTCACCGTTGCTCTCCAGGCTGTTTGGGGCGATGGTAGCAAGCGAGGGGTGCGAGGCCGACGGCGTGTCAGTGCTGTCGAGTGAGACAAATCGAGTTGCGCCCTGAGTAAGCGGCGAGGGAATGCGGGGCTTTGGCGAGGTGACGGGCCCAGGACTTGGCGGCGACAGTGACGACGGCGGTGCGACACGAGGAGAGAGCATGGTTGACAGCAGCAAGCTGTGAGGCGAGGAGCGGGCGAGAGCGAGGCGCCACGGGTATGTTCCCTACTGGGTGGCGAGACAGTCAGACTTGCCATGGCTCGATCGCGTGCCCCCGAGAGCGTGTCCGCGTTGACAGAGCGGGCAGAATTCGGTGGGCGAGGCGAGACGACAGAGGAGAGCGATGAGACGCGCGACGAGCAATGCGAGGAAGAGTGGCTCGAGGTGCGAAGGCGCGTGTCGGCGATGGTTCGCTGGGCTTTGAGGCGTGACGAGATGGGCATGGGCCCACCACTCACATCCGCCAGAGAGTCTGAGGCCTGACGAAGTTTGTCAAGGAAGCGGGTAGCGGTGGCGGTGCCGAGCGAGTTAACTCGCCCGGCATCGGGCGGAGGGCTAAGGTTACCGCGATCGCGGAGGCGAACAATAAACGACGACGAAGCCTTCAGCGAGAACGAGGTGTTGCGCGGCGGAAGGGACTTTGGCGGCGGGCTCTGCGGGCGCGAGACGTCGGCGGTCGAGATGGTGGGAATGAGCGAGGACGGATGGTGGACGAGATCGGAGACCGGATCGGGCGAGTCGAGGGGTGCAAGGCTCGGCGACGACTCGTTGGCTTCAGCGACGAGGTGGCATTTGCGACAGAGGGCGCGCGGGGCGGCGACAAGAGTGGCGCACTTTGTGGCGGCACGATGGGTCTTGGTCTTGTACACCGCAGTTTGCTCGAGGTCGTACGGGAGGGCGGGCGGCGGTGGAACGGGATTCCGGAAGCGCCAGGAGAAGAGAGCGACGTCGCCATTGGAGCAGCCGACGATGACGTGCTCGGCCCATTCAACACAAGTGACGCACGAGATGCAGTCGCGTGCAAGAACAAGTGACGACCCGTCCTGGCCGCGAAGCGCGGAAGAAGAGTGGGCAGCAGCTGCACCACCGATGGCAGAGCGGAGCGAGTACTGGCCGACCAGGGTGTAGCTCTCGGCCGGATCAAGGAGTGAGAGCATGTCGTTGTCGGTGTGAACAAAAGTGAGCGGCGGGGCGTCGGCAAAGGGCGGAGCAAACTCTGCCGAGACGAGGGCCGGCTCCCCGACAAGCTCACAGAGCGGGCGCGGCAGCTCCCAGAGGCCGATGTTGTAGATGACTGGGCCACAGGCGACGAGGAACGAGACGTCGAGCTGATGAGTCCGGGCCGGGTCGCGGAAGATGGTGACGGCGGAGGACAGGGCGAGATTGACCTCGCCGTAGAGGTCGGTCCGGGCATCGAGCTCTGCACCTGTGGCGGCGTCGAACAGGTGCAAGACCGGCGTGGTGTCGAGGACGGCGAGTGTGTTGGTGAGGGCATCATAAGCGAGGCCTGCGACCGACGCCCGTGTCCCACCGTATTTGGCGACGTTGAAGACGGCGCCCGAGGCGGCGACAACATCCCAAGCGGCGAGGGCGGTGCCTGCAGCCGTAAAGATGAGGCCGGTCTCAACGTCGCAGGAAATGGCGGTGATGGCGCCGGAGAGCCTGACAGCGAATACCGGCGAGCCAGTGTCGACGGCGATGGCACGGAGTGTGTCGCCGTCGGCACCGACGATGCCGTCGATGCTTGGGACGTCTGCCAGGCGAGTGAGCGAGCGGCACGGGAGGGTGTACTCATGGAGCACATCACGAGTAATGACCAGCACGTGTTCCCAGTGGGCAGAAGATGTGACCGGCAAGCGGGCAGCATGCGAGAGAGTCGCCGGAGCAGGCTCGGCATCCGGGCCTTGAGCAACGCGAGCAAAGACCTTGTTGGCGCGCCAGACTCTCAGCCATCCATCGGATGAGACCATAGCCAGAGCACCTGGACGAGCTTGAAGCGTAGTCAGCGAGATGATGGGCGAGAGGAGCGGAAAGAAGGCGACACGAACGAGGAGTGGCGAGAAGAGAGCGAGAGCGGGACCGCCATCCGGACCCGAGTCTGACCAATCTAGAGCAAAGAGAGCTCTTGAAGCAAGATACGCGGCATTGTTGATGGTAACTGATGAAGGGTATGGCAGCGGATCAATGACAAGTCGAAGAGCATCGGTTGCCCACATGAAGAGTGACTCCCTTGAGATGTACAGCATGCGAGAGATACTTGGAGCAAAGACCAGAGCCTTCACATCCGTTCCTGCTGATGGAAGGGTATAGCATGACGAGAGGTGAAGCGCATTACATGCCTCACCACTACTTAGAGAGAGTGCCCTTGCCAGTGACCTTACGTGCGGTATGAACTCCACTGGCTTGTTCTCCATCCACCTGCTGGTAGAGTCGAGTGGTCGGCTGCTGATGCTGCTGGTGGTGGTTGCCCGTGGCCGTGGCGGTTGGCGGGTCACTGTGTGGCGGTTGGCACTGGGGCGGGGGATTGTAGAGGAGGGGAGGGATAAAGATGGTAGTTGTGGTGGCGGTGGTGTGCTTGGTGGTGTTTGGCCGGTTCGGGTCGGTGGTGGCGCTGATCGGGCCTTACCAGGGTATTGTCTGTGCGTCGTTCGGTACGGGTGATCTGGTGGCGGGTGATATCGGGTGGCGGGTGATCTGCTGGCAGGTGATCGGGTGGTCGGCCGGCGAGTGGTCGGTCGGCGGGTGGTCGGCCGGTGAGTGGTCGGTCGGCTGGCGGGTGGCCGGCTGGCGGAGTGGTCGACCAACAGGTGGTCGGTGATCATGGAACGACGCGTCGCCCCGGCCAATTGCACACGCCGCCAGTCGCCAGTCTCGAGCCTCCGCCAATTGGCCTGCGTAACACTTACCCTCACTCACCTCCCCCACATTTCATCACCTTCACACGCACGCGAGAACAGAACACATAGCCAGCTACCCACTACAATTGTTTTCATCACGTTGCTCAATCTCTGCCGCCCAAGCGAGCTCATTTAGCACCCTCGCATCCCGCCTCGCTCGAGCAACTCGGCCGACCTGTCATCGACACCGTCTTCAATCAGAAACTGATTGACACGTAGTCTCAGCAACTTCCATCACATCCTCATCACACACAGACAACCATGTTTCGCTGGTTCAGAAGATGGTTTCGATGGATGAACATTTACGAGCGCATTCTCTATGTCATCATTCTCATGGCATGGATCAATGGTAATGGCGGAAACGTGTACTTTCGGTCGAAAAGTTCATCGAGGCCAAGGATAATCCTGCCACCGCCGCAACCATACGTGAGCGGTCAATCGCGCCAGACGATGTGCTGTTTGTCCTCTGCCCTTCGCAACCTACGGATCCCATTGCTAAGCTGACCTGCTTCGAGTCGCTCCTCTCGCCTTTGGGGGTGTTCTCGATGGGGGTGTTCCCCTGCAACGCGAGACCCATCACGCTGTTCGGCTTCAACTGCACCGCCGTTCCCGCCATCAACGTACTCTCGAGTACTCGTGGTACCTTTGGACAAGTCGTTACGGGTGCCACATCGAGCTGCCTCGCCAATAGCACGCGCTGTGTTTTTGACAACGTCTACCTCACTGTCGCCTCGACTTTGTTTACCGAAAAGCTCGCCGCTGATCCCAGCGCCAAGCTGACCGACGTCCGCTCATTCCCGCTTCCAAGCGAAGGCGGCTCGTTTCTCTCTGTGGGGATCTCCACCACTGTCGACCTTCGCGGGCGTGAGGAGACCATCTACATCGCCTCGGGTGTTCAGATGCGCGCCCACGACCCATCATCCGGCCCGGTCTCCTTCAGTTTCGAGCTTAACCAGTTCTCGTGGGATCTGCGCGAGCAGGTAGTCAGCGAGTACGTCGTCTACGACATCTTTGATCTCTTTGCCAGCATCGCCGCCGTCGCATCGCTCACTACAGGCTTGTTCCTCTTCCTCTTCCCGGTCACTCCGTCCATCCCGCAGCACTTTCGCTTCGGAACCCACCACACTGCGCGCAACATCGGCGACCTGGCCCACTCGGCCTCGGTTGCTCCGCGCGCTTCGCTCGCGCAATCGCCAGAGACAAAGCTCACCAGCCTCCGGCGGCGGCCAGGAACGGCCTCGACCTCGGCCTTCAGCGGTTCGAGCGGCAGCATATCGAATAATTCGCCGGTCTAACGACTCGTGTGCGAGACAGCGACACAGGCGCAACGTAACTCGATTGGCGCGTTGCCGTCAGTTCACGAGCACTCCTTGTCTTGGATGTCGTCCTCGCCACAGCCGGTGGTGGCGCACTCGAAATTGGTCGCCATCTCATTTGCCAAATCGCCAGCCGCAACACGCTCATCTCACACCACACTTCCATACACCTGACCCACTCTCCACCAAACTACTCGATCCTTCCTTAACTACCACCAAGCAACACAACGGCTTGTCCTTTCCCCAATCCTCGCGTCGCACCGGTCCGCTGCTTCGACACGTTGCGCACTCTTGTCACGGTCGCGCAGCTCACTTGAGCAATTTGCTCACAAAGATTGGCTTTCTAGCAAACGTTTAGCGCACCCTGAATCATGTTGCTCTTCAAGGGCGTCCGCGCCATGTCTTCGCCAGAGCGAATGTTGTACATTGCAGTGGTCTTTACGCTCCTCCTCGCAAACATACTGTATGGCACGTACAACATTCAGAAATGGCTTGATGCCCGGGACTCGCCGGCCACCTCGGCCACCGTCCGCATCCGCAGTTCGGCGCCCGACGACATCTTTGCAGCGATGTGCTCGTCGCGCCCACTTCAGCCGATTGTCGAGGGCGTGTGTCTCCAAGGAGCTTTCGAAGGGCCATTGTTCGAGACGCATGTGGTTCCGTGCAACGCCACTCGGTTCAGACTCTTTGGCTTTCAGTGTTTGGCCTTTCCGCTGCCGAATCTGAGACAGGAGGACAGCAACCTGTTCTCGTACACAATCGCCGGATGGACGGCGGCGTGCCGGGCATCGCACGAGGTGTGCCGATCGGAGAATGTGTACACGACGGTGTTTGAGAGCGCAAACGTGGAATTCCTGACCTCGCTGCCGCCAGAGGCTCTCGATGAGGCCATCTCCTTCCCGCTCCCTTCACTCGGCTCGGCGTACCTCTCGATTGGCATCTCGACCACCATCGATCTCAAGGGCCGCGAGTCGACCATCTTCCCCACCAATGCTGCGCTCATTCGCGACGTCGATAGCGTGTTTGGGAGGAACACTTCCTTTGCCATCGAGCTCAATCGCTTCTCGTGGAATCTCCGTGAGAATGTGGTGACTCAGTTTATCACCTACGACGGCTTTGACTTGCTCGGCGCCTCGGCCGCCCTCCTCTCGCTCTCCATGGCCATCTTTATGTACCTCTTCCCCGGTACTGAGAGAGTGGCTCAGTACTTTTGCTTCAAGCGCCATCGCCCGCCGACGGTGGTGCCAAAGTCCCAGCCAGTCGACAAGGAGGTCACGATCGAGCTGCATCTCTCGTCGCTCTCATCCTCGTCGTCTTCGAACGTGCCGCCCACACGGATCATCACCGAACGATCGATGGCTGGAGCTGAACACCTGGCCTACAAAAGCCCGCGGACTCATCAGCGGGTTCCTGGCCCGCTTCGGGTCGGCGACCTTCGCCTCAACGCCAGCATGCCCGTCGCGCTAATGGCGTCATCGGAGCCAGCTGCTGGCCCTCGTGCGAAGGTCGTTGCTGACTCTCCCGAAATGGTTTTCCACGTTCCGCCTGTCTGTATCAACCGATCGCCTTCGTGCCCGTCATACTCGATGTCACGCTCGCGGACGTCGCTTCATTCCAACCCTAGCCCGCGCGGCATTGTCGAAGGTCTGGAGCCCAATGTTACCATCCCGGCTGCGCTCACCTCCAACTGAGGACTTTATGTACGCCCGGCGAGCCTGCAGACAAGGAATCGCACAAACTTCGTTGATACTCTCTTCCTAAACCGCGCGATCCGATGCCAGTCTGCGCATGTGGGCAGTAGGGCAGCGGCCGCCGGGCTTGCCGACGATCGGGCAATGGCCGATGCTGGCACGACGGCGATGAGCACGACTCAAGATTAAGTGACTCGAGCACGTCCTCGCTCAGAAGGCAGCCATTGGTCCGGCGATGATTGGCGGCGACTAGGCTGCAGCCTTCAGGTCGGACTCTAGATTGCCGTCATTTGCGGCACCTGACTCACCTCGCTCAGCATTTCTTTGAGATGTTCGCCGCCGTCCGCACCGCTGTCGCCGCTCCATGGACGTGGAGCAGGGCAGCGATAGCAATGCACCCAACAGTGTCTGGCAAGCGTAGCATGTCGACGCGAGTGGGATGGATTGGAACAGGAGTCATGGGTGCGTCTATGGCGAAACATGTGGCCTCAGCTGGCTTTGACCTCTCGGTCTATGCGCGGTCACCGGAGAAGCCAGCTGTGGTCGATTTGGTGGAAGCCACAGGCGCGCGTGTCTTTGACTCACCAGCGGAACTGGCATCCTCGGTCGATGTGCTCTGTTCCATTGTTGGGTTTCCTGATGATGTGCATGCCGTCTTGCTTGATGATGTTGACGGTGCTCTTGGCAAGGCTGTCACCAATCCGCCGTCGTTGGTCATCGATCTGACCACATCACAGCCGGCGCTCGCCCTCAAGATTGCTGCGGCTGCCCAGGCGCAGGGCTCGGATGCTCTGGACGCGCCGGTCTCAGGTGGTGATGTTGGGGCGCGGAACGGCCAGCTCTCGATCATGGTCGGCGGCAGTGACGCGGCCTTTGCAGCTGGCCTGCCGATCCTGCAGCCTATGGCCAAGGTTGTGACTCACATGGGTGGGCCTGGAGCCGGCCAGCACACCAAGATGGTCAACCAGATTGCCATCGCCGGCGGCATGATCGGAATGGTCGAGGGCCTTGTCTACGGTCATGCTGCTGGTCTCGATCTCGAGACGGTGCTCGAGGCCATTTCGGGCGGCGCCGCCGGCTCATGGTCGCTCTCCAACTACGCGCCGCGGATGCTCAAGAGGGACTTTGCCCCGGGCTTTTACGTCGAGCACTTTGTCAAGGACCTCGGCATTGCCCTCGACGAGGCCCGTGCTATGAATCTCTCGCTCCCAGGCCTCGCTCTGGTCCAGCAGCTCTACCTTGCGCTCATCGCCCAGGGTGGCGCCGCCCGTGGTACCCACGCCTTGCAGCTCGCCCTCGAGTCGATGAACAACATCCAGATCAAAGACTACTCGGCGTAACGCTCAGTTGGAGTGGGCCCGTCGCCCGCCGCCTCCCTGCGGCGACGCAGGCAAGCGCCGTGCATCGGCCGCACCTCCGCCGTCACCAGCCGCCCGCCAGTAAATGGTATCGCCGTCGTTGAGCAGGTCTGCCGACGAGATGCTGTCGACAAAGCCGGCATCCTCAAGCTGTGATATCGAGAGCAGGACTGGCGGGCCGGGCGGCGCCACAGGATCCGGGTACGGCTCCGGCCCAGACACATGCCGCATCCGACCGGGCTTGCGCCCGGGCACCCGCCGGGTGCGGTACTTGCCCGCGGCAGCAAGTTCGGCGTAGCTCCCGCCGCCGCTGTGGAACGCGGTGTACGAGGCGCGGACGTGGGCCTCGATCGCCGGCTGCGGCAGTGGCGGCGGGGCCGGAGCCGGCCGGTTGGCAAACGGGTCCTCCTCCTTCAGCAATGCGTCCGACCCAAACTCGCGGAGGTGCATCCATGCCTGCGGGTCAACGGCCTGCACCAGCGGGTAGTCGATCGAGTCGATGAGCGGCACATCGCCGTAGAACCGCATCGACTGCTCCAGCTCCTGGACTCGCGACGAGAGTATGAGCTTGACCTTGAGCAGCCGGTTGACTTCGGTCACCAGGTCCTCATTCTGCTGCTCTACAGTTGCGATATCTTTCGACACCATGCCCTGCGCCCGGGCCAGCTCGTATTGTGTCTTTTCGAGCTTGCCTTCCAGGCGGGCCACCTCGTACAACAGCTCCTCGACCCGCGCGTCTGCCGTCTCGCACCGCTCGTGCATGGTGTACCACTCTTGCTTGACAGCAATCTTCTCGTCCATCAGATCCTGGATCATACCCGAGAGCGAGTCGACAAGCGCCGCGTTTTCGTCATCGTTGCCGAGCGCACCGCCGCTCCCGCCACCGCGCACTCGCTGAGGCGAGGCGACAAGCGAGCTCTGGACTGCTCTGCTGCTTCTGCCACGGCCACGCGAAGAGTCGCTCTCGTCGTCGCTTCCGTCCGAGCCGCGGGCGTCTGGCGAGACAACGACCATGGCGTTCGAGTCAGGCGCAAACTTCTCGACTCGGACCGAGACAAAACCGCCATCGCACCGGTGCCGGTTGAGCATGTCCTTGAACAAATCGCGCTCCGCCGTTGCCATGTCCAGCTCATCTTGCAGCATGGCGACCTCGTGCTCGAGCTCGGTGGTTCGCGGGTTGTTGACTAGGCTATCCTTCTCGTACAGCAGCTCGTAGAACTGCTGCTTGAGTTCGAGGAGCTCAAACAGGGTCTTGGACAAGTCGTGCTTGAGCTGCGCCTTTTCCGGATCGGCCTCGTCGCTTGCATCGTACGACTCGAGGACTCGCGACGGCCGAGCCGGAGTCTTGGACGGCGAGACAAATGCTGGCGGGGCATCGGGCATACCAAAGAGCTGCCTTGGCGAGTCGTCGTTCTCGTCGCGCCCGCGTGATGGACCCGGTGGACCGAATCCGTCGTCCGGGAGCGGCTCCCCTGGCTTGCGCGTCGAGCCGAGGACCCGCACCCCGTATGCGTTGACAGCGTGCGGCGAGGGCGAGCCCCATTCAGCGGCAGCGACGGCGGCTTTGCGCCGGTGGTCCTCGAGCTTGCGCTCCCGCTCGGCGGCGGCACGGGCCTCGGCCTCAGCGGCGGCGGCCCGCTTAGCCTTTCGCCACCACCACCGCGGTCGGCGGGACGATGGCGATGCGGTGCCCTCGCTGCCAGAAGCGACTACGCCAGCCGACGGCGACCGCGGGCTGCGAAACAGCGCGCTCAGCCGGCTTCGCAGTGCGCGGCGGCTCCGGACAGGCGTCTCTGACTCACTCGGTGTCGGCGAGTTGACCGAGAGCTCCGAGCCTGGCATCACGCCAGCGTCTGCATCATCGAGTGCTTCGTGCAGGCGCTGTTCCTGGGCGGCTCGTGCGGCGCGCGCGGCCGCGCGCGCGGCGGCGCTTTCGCCCTTGTCCATCTTGACCAAACCCATATCGGCGCGCAGCGCGAGCGCGCTAGTCGTCGAGCTCTTTAGCGCGGCGCGCTCGGCCTCGAGCTCGGCCTCGGAGCGGGGACGTGCGCGTCGGACCACAGTGCCCGAGTCATAACTGGGTGACGCCAGCGAGAGCGTGTCGTCCGAGTCTAGACGCGGCTCGCCGTCGGCCTCGCTTTCAGAGCCAGAATCGATCTCGTCTTTGCCCTTGTATCCGCTCGGGCTACCTTCAGTAGGCAGCATGAGCAGCATCGCGTCATGAGCGAGCGGATCTGTGTCTCCACTAACTGTTCGCCGCGGCGCGGTTGCAGACAGCGAGCCAAGTTGCGCAGGGGGCTCGTAGCGGCCGTACACGTCGTGGTTTCGAAGGCCGGGATCAAAATCGTCGATGACCTCGTGCGGCAGCGAGTCAAGGAGCTCGTCGTCGTCGACGCCAAAGGCTCCGACAGGCAGCGCACCGCCAAGGCTGGCGCCAAACGTGCCCGAAACCGATCTGCTGAGTGAGCTGGCACTCGAGTTGGAGCGGTTGAGCGAGAGGACTCCACCCGACTCACGCCCGGTCTTAGCCCGCACGCCACCGATCGACCTGGGCCGCACGCTTGGCGAGGCCTGGCCAGGGATCGGCCTCGCTTCTGAGACCGGCATTGCCAGCTGCCCATTCGAGCTCGTGTCAGAGGCCACACGCCGCTGGTTCGGAGACCCGTAGCTAGATGCCGAGGCCGGTGCACCCGATGTCCGCCTATAAGGAGTCTGTTGTGCCACAGGGCACCCGCATTGAAAGCAGAACGAGAACTGACCACCTGCATTAGGTTGCGAGGCGTAGAGGCATTGATTGTTGGCCATGGCGGTGATGGCGATGGTCATGGTTGACCATTGTTTGTCGTAGCCGTTGATCATTAATCATTGTTTGTTGTTACCATTAATCGTTAAACATGGTGGAGCCACCAAGTCGGCCACAGAACGGACAGAAAGGCAGGGGAAAGAGCGCGCGGGTGAGTGTGTACATGGTGAAGCAGGTGGAAATACATGGGTGCTCGAGTGTAGCATAAAGTCGGAACGTACGTGGCCAAGGGTCACCCCACACGAGGCGCACGACATGGCGGCGTCAGGTGGTGTCACTCGGTTCAGGATCGAGATCGTGCGGAGCGGCGGCAAAGTCGCTCCTGCGGATAATGGCCGGTAGGATACAGTAGTTTACAGCGGCGGTTAGGCCTGCGGAGCGACGGAAAAGTGACGGGCCGAGATGTGGAGGTGGACGTTGAGCGAGGAGAGGAGCTTGTACTTGCGCGCGACGGCGCGGTAGTTCGAAGCGCGACTTGGAGTGTAGCTCGGATCCTTGGCGATGCGGATGTAGAAGCGGAAGATGTTGCGGACAGTGTTGAAGCAGTCGTCAAAGACCGCGTCGCCGATGGCGAGGCCCGAGTACATGGCGGCGTAGCGCGGCCACGGCGGATGGCAGAGGATGATCATGGAGAGCCGGACGATGGAGGCAGCGAGGACTGACGGCGGGTAAAAGGCGACGACGTACTCCATGAGGACCAGCTCGGCGAGGAACGAGGCGAGGTACATGATGTCGGACCGCTGGAAGCCGAGGGTCTCGAGCTGGACCGATGAGAGCGAGGAGCCATGGATGGCGAGCGAGGGCGACATGTTAGCGAGGTCAATGCCGACCATGACGATGTATGTGTTGAGGTAGGTGAGCCCGATGATTGGCTTGAGCGTCGACCACGCGTCCGACGTTAGCTGCGCCAGCATGCTGCTCTTGATGGCGCGCGCTTCGTCGAGGTTGTACGTTCCGTCACACATAAAGACGCAGTCGTCAAGCGTCAGCCGGTTGCCGTGGGTTTGCAGCGTCGAGATGTGCATGGCGACGACGCCGACCAGCTGCAGCTTCTCGCGGGTCGTGGGCACTGCTGCGAGGTAGCGGTCGATGTAGTTGACGGCGTAGAAGAGGTTCTTGAGCTTGAGCGCAAACTCACCGAGAACTTCCGAGAGCCAGGCAATGAGGATGCCGCGCATCCGGGCGTTGAGCTCGGTCTGCACCACTTCGCCTGGCCCGGGCATCGGGGCATTGGGCAGTTCGGTCGCAAAGTAGTTGTTGAGCTTCAGCTGCTGTGCCAGCTTCTCGGCCGGCGAGAGGATGGGCTTGGCACCTGCGGTGACAAGGGTATGGACGACGTCATAGTGCATCTGGATCGAAGCCAGGCGCAGTGCAGTGTTGCCGGACGCATCGCAAGCGTTAATGTCAGCGCCGGCCTCCACCAGCACACGCACGACATCGGCCCGGCCGCCCTCGGCCGCTAGCATCAGCGGCGTTGTGCCTTCGTCGAGCGGAGATGTGGCGTCGACGGCCGACCCGAGCTCGAGCAGTGTCACCACCGTTGCCTTTTGGCCCTCCTGAGCTGCAGCGTGCAGAGCGAGGATGCCGGTCCATGCGTCGGACATGTTGACAAGCTCACGGACAGTGAGCTCGTACTCGCGACTGCCGACGGCGGTTTCGAGCACGTCGAGCTTGACCAGCTCGAGAATGGTTTCGACATGCCCGTACGCAGCACAGACAAACAGGGCCGAGGCCAGTGCCTCTAGCGCGACGACCCGGGCGTCGCGCCAAGAGCGTGGATCCCACAGTGTGCCGAGCCCCGCGGCATTGAGCTCCTCAACCCGCTGCTTGGCACGGCGGCCCATGAGCCTAATGTCGCCCACCACAACTGGCGAGTGCGAGGCGACGAGTGACGGGACGGCGGCGCACGACGGGTAATGCGGCGGGGCATTGCCGCTGGTACCAGCAGCACCATTCTCCGAGTCTGAGCCTGAGTCATAGTCCGAGTCTGAGTCGTGATCGTGTGAGCCTCTGCGCAATGTTGACGACGACTTGCGGTTTCCGCTGCCGCCCGCCGCGCTGCTCGCATCTGACGCCACCGCCATCAGCATGCACAGTGCAGCCATGGTGAGCGGGTAGGCGACCGGGGTCGGCGACACTAGCTGCGGCGCGCTGGAAATGACGCGGTCGGCAAGATGCGGCTCGTAGAGAGCGATGCCGCTGATCGCCACCGGGCAGTAAATCGCAGCCGGCGAGGCAGCCATGACGTCGAGGACAGGAAAGGCACGACGGGCCGAGACGCGCTCGCGCCAGAACAGCCGCGCCGAGCGCGGGGTCGAGAATACAAAGACATCCGAGGCGTCAACCGGAGCAGGCAAAGCCTCCATCAGGAGGCCGGGTACGTGGCCCCGGGTGGCGCGGCGCGAGGTCCGTGCTCGCAGTGCAAGCTCGTCCCAGTCGACAAGCTCGTCGAGGTTCGGGCCTGGGCGGCCGAGGAAGCCCGCAACATGAGCGGCGACCTGCAGCAGCTCGCGGCGCCAGAGGATGGCACCAATGACCTCGCGGCTAAGCGCGGTGCACTTGCTGAGCAGGCAGAGGATGCGGCTGTTCATGGCGTACGAGGCGGCGTTGATGACTCGTGCCACGCTCGAGACTCGATGGGTGCTCGGCATGAGTGCCGAGTCGAGAACGTGGGCGACAGCTCGCGCCACCGCCGAGCAGTCGGAGCGGAAGAGCGAAAAGGAGGCGAGGGCGGCACGCGCGGTGCGCGACCCGGGCTTGCGCCCGATGCACGCCTCGATGACACCAATCAGCATGTCCCACACCTGCTCAGCGTCAAAGACCGGGACCGGAGTGTTTCCATTGGCACCGCAAACGAGCAGGTCATGGAGAGCACGGGTGATGGAAATCAACAGCCGCGAGCGGCGCTGGACGCCGATGGCGACCAGGGCGAGTAGCGGCTTGGTCACGTCGACATCGCGCACCACCAGGGCGCAGCGGACGACGACCCTGACAAACTTGTCGACGACAGTGGACTGCTTGCTCAGCTGCCAAATGCCAAGCGCCTCGACGATGAGGTCGAGGCCGCTTGGGGGCGCATGTAGGTCAGCGCCTCCAGAACCAGGCCCAGGATCCTGGTCTGCTCATCAGCCAGCCGCGTGACAGGAGAGACAAGCTCGTTGGCGTCCTTAAAGTAGCCCGCGATGCGAGCAAGGAGCGTACACGCATGAACTTCGAGAATGTCGGCAACAACACGCCTGCTCTCGGGGCAATCGTCGACCATCCGTGCCCACGACACGACCACCTGCGACGGTGCCGATGACGTGCCCTCGATCTTCCCCATGAGCTCGAGGCTGTCGATAAAGTCCTTCGTTCCCTGGACAAGACCGCGCTTGGCCTTTTTGCGCACAACTGGACCGCCGCTGAGGCTCTTCATCCGCTTGGCGGCGCTCGGCCCGGCCGCGGCATCGTCCTCGGCATCGCTATCGGTGGTAGCCTCAGAGGCGAGCGGCGGATCATTGTCATTGTTGTTGTTGTTGTTGTTGTCGCCGCCATGAGTGGCGACCGACGAGGATGTTGTCGTGGCTGACTCGTTGCGCGAAGGGTGCCGGGACGAAGCGCGAGAAGAGCGGGAGCGCTTCCGAGAGGGCTGAGGCTCATTCTGCGACGAAAGCCCGACCTCTGAAGGGCTCCCACTCTCTTCCATTTGCATGGATGTCGGAGTGGTTGTTCCATGTGTTGGCGTTGTCTCGGGAACAGCCATGTCCGGGTGGCGAGTGGTTGAGGTGGAAGGCGGCGAAGATGACGGAGGAGGAGGCGGAGTGGGTGGCATGGCAGAAGGAGTCGATCTTGCAGCCACGACGGTAGAGGAGGACATTACGGAAGAAACCGAAGGGTCAGCGTCATGACTACAACCATTATTACCTCTACTCCCACCATTGCTACCCATTCCCTCTCCCTCAACCCTATGCCTTTCCATGGACATGATGGCTATGTAGAGTCTACCCAGTCAGCACCACACACACACACACACACTCTCTCTCTCTGTGCGACTCGTCCCCACTTTCCCGAGACGGTGCAAAAAAAGGTCGTGAAGTGGTGCCATCGAACGAGAGTTGGCTGTCTTGGTCATGTCACCTCGGCGAGCTCTCGACCCATCATGGGCTGTCTGCTCGCTCAGTCGCGGCCGAGTGAGCGGAGTGGAGCAGACCGACTACCACTGCACTTTAACCATGGCTGGAAGACGGACGAGCACACGTGGGAATAAGGACAAGGGAAGCCATGGGAGTGCAGGTGTGGATGAGGATGTCGGGGAATCGTCGTCTTCTGTGGCTACTCCTCGTCGGAGTAGTGGACGTGTGAGTAGGCGGCCGGCTCGGATACCGACGAGCATGACCAAGCCGGCCAAGGCGGGCCAGGGGTCGCCCAAGGTGGGCAAGGGGTCGACCAAGGCGGGCGAGGGGTCGGTGGGTAAGGGTTTGGGTAAGGCGGCCAAGACCAAAGCATCTGCAAGCAAGGCAAAGGCATCCGCAAGCAAGGCAAAGGCATCCGCAAGCAAGGCAAAGGCATCCGCAAGCAAGGCAAAGGCATCTGCAAGCAAGGGATCAGGCAAGGCAGGCAAGGCAAAGGCATCCGCAAGCAAGGGATCAGGCAAGGCAGGCAAGGTGGCAGGCAAGACGGCGGGCAAGGCGGCGGCTAGAAGAGGGACTCGCCGCTCGGTAGCCGTGCCATTCTACTCGGGCGATGCTTTTGTCAGCTCGGATGAGGGCGCGAGCTCAGGCAAAGACGAGATCGAGTCCATGGACGTGGCAAGTGGCTCCGCATCCGAGTCTAGTGCCGACGGCGATTCCGACGACGATGATTTTGAGACGTACTCGGAGCCGAACGACGAGTACTCGTACACCGAAGCATACACTTACACCGAGGACGAGTCCGAAGGCTCCGAGGTTGGCGGCCACTCGCCGCTTTCGATGCTCAACCCTTACCGCAAGGAGAGCGCCAGCGCGGCCATGCGCCGGGTCAAAGTAGCTGTCCGCAAGCCGCGCACAAAGCCACAGACCACTGCTCGCTCCAGCAAGTCCAAGTCGAGTAGGAGCAAGACGAGCAAGAGCAGGGGAACCAAGCGCCGCCGCGTCGACGACGGCAAGCTCATTAATGTGGCTGCCTTGCTGGCAGCCAAGACGCCGATTGCTGCCAAAAAGCCGCGGACCTCGCAGATGACCCGCGATCACCTCATGCGCTCGTTCTTTGGCTCGCGGACGCTAGAGCGCAAATCGCACGCCGCCGCCGCCGAGCGCGCACACATGCTCAAGCGAAGCCAAAAGTCAATGGCCGCCTTTCCGCTCATCGACGACGGCGGCGAGTCGGGCGCCGACGAGCCCATCGACGAGGACGAGGTCGCTCGCATCAAGAGCATGTTCCTGCAGGCCCGCGCATCGCTGCGGCTCTCGGCTGTGCCCGCCACGCTGCCATGCCGTGAGTCACAGGCCAACGAGCTGCGGTCCAAGATCGAGACCTCGTTCCTGACCCGGACCGGCGGATCAGTGTTCATGGGCGGCTTGCCGGGAACCGGCAAAACTGCCACCGTCCACGAGGTCGTCCGCGAGTTGATGAGCGCAGCGGCCGCCGGCTCGCTTGATCCGTTCTGCTACGTCGAGATCAACGCCATGGAGCTGGCCACACCCAAGCACGCCTACGTCGCTATGGCCCGAGGTGTGTTTGGCGAGATCGAGGCGCCAAACCAGCCGCTCCGTGCTCAGCAGCTCCTTGCCAACGAGTTCAAGCATGCTGCCGAGCCGCGCGAGGTCGCCACCCTCATGCTGGTTGACGAGATGGACCTGCTTGTCACCCGCAAGCAGACCGTCCTGTACAACCTCTTTGATTGGGCGGCGTCGCCCAACTCGCGTCTGTTTGTCGTCGGCATTGCCAACACAATCGATCTGCCGGAGCGCATGCTGCCACGGGTCTACTCGCGCCTCGGCGTCCACATTATTCGCTTCCCCTCCTACACCGTTGCCCAGCTCGAGACGATCGTCCACTCGCGGCTGGCCGAGCTCGATGCTTTTGCACCCACCGCCATCGCCCTCTGTGCCCGCAAGGTTGCGTCGATCTCCGGTGACGCCCGCAGAGCACTGGAGCTCTGCCGCCGCGCTGCCGAGCTCGCGGAGGCCGACCGCGAGTCCAATGTGGTCACGCCCGCACACATCTACGAGGCCATCAAGTCGATGATCTCCTCGCCCATCGCCGCCGCCATCTCGGGCGCCTCCTTCCACGAGCGTCTCCTTCTTGTAGCCCTCTTTCTCGAGTCGCGCTCGCAGGGCAAGGCCACCCTTGCCTTTCCGGACGTTGCGCAGCGGCACGTCATCCTCGCGCGGACCCACAACATCGAGCCGCCCTCGACTTCGGACCTCAAGGCCATCGTCTCACGCCTCGGCGCCACCCGCATTCTTCTCATCGAGGCGCCACACAAAGACCTTTACCAGCGCCTCCGCTTCAACGTCGCCCGTGACGACTTTGTCGCCGCCATGGCCACCGATCCTGTCCTCGGCCAGATTGTCCGGAAGTAGCCCGCTGCGTTGTCAAATTTGTCCGTCTGTTCCGTAAAGGCTTCATTAACCCTTACCTTAGCCTGACGGCACGAGGCTCCCGTGCGCGGCGCCGACGTTGGACTGCGTCTCCTCGCTCGCCGACTCGGTCTTTGTCGCCGACAGCACGCCCCTCAACGTCTGTGCCGAGTTCCCGGGCGTCATCGACATCAACTCGGAGCTCGACTCGGCGCTCGCCGGCGCGTTCGCGTCGCGCGACATGCTCGTCCTCGCTCCTCATGTAGGCGTCGGCCACGTCATCCGGCAAGCACGCCCATCACAAGAAGATCCACAACGTCCTCGCGCTCCCCCGTCCGGCCGCTGGGTTTAACTTTGTGATGCTCTCCTTCCCGGTCGTCGGGGTCGCCACCGCGACGCCAGCTCGGGCGTGCTTCAGGCGGCCGTCTACGTGTCGGCCGCCATCACGTGCGGGCGCGCCTCCCACCTCAAGCTGCAGGCCGAGCAGGTGTCGCGTAGCGTCGGCCGGCGACCTGGAAATCAAGCATCATCGAGTTGTTCACCTTGAGACGCGCGACAACGCGTCCGAACGACCGTACCGATAGCGGTTTAATTGCACTGTCGTCACCTGGGCTCGCACAAGTCGTCGGCACTCGACTCCCACTCCCACCTATGCACCGCGGAACTCGCCTTGCCATTCGCCAGCTACTGTCCACGGTTGCCGCGGCAGGTACGTCCCCACCGCTGCCTCTCCCTCGCTTCTCACACCCTTGCCTCTCCTTGTGAAGTACTCACTTGCGCATGGGGTTGTGTAGGCATCGGTGTCGCGCTCGGACGCTACGTCCTCTCGACCAAGGACGATCCGTCAGCTCCGCCGTCGCGGCCGCGGTCGCTGGAGGAGATTCTTAGCCCAGCCAGCGGGGAGCGGCCAAAGAGCAGCGAGTCGAGCCATGGCAAGTAGTGCTTGTACTGGCGGTGTTAGCGGAGGCTGGAGCTGCGCGTTCGTTTGGCCTTGACCGGGCTGCTCGGGCTGCCGGACAGCGACGAGGTGAGCGGGCTGTCTCGCTTGCGCTTGCGCTCTCGGCTGGCGCCCTGGCCCCCGGTTGCGACCTGCGACAGGGTCAGGTCGAGGCGGCGTGGGCGCACGCTGCGGATGGCAGCGCGGGCAGCGATGCGGCGGAGATGGTGGAGGCCGCGGTTGACGTTGTACAGCTCCTCGGGGTGAGTCCGCGCAAGAGGGAACAACGCCGGCGCGTAGTCGTGGCACCCAATGGTAATGCTCCGCGAACCTGGTTGGCCCAAGGCAGCAAATATGTCTGGAAGGACAAAGAGCCGGGATCGGCTGAGGTGCGCGAGCCACTCGCCGGTCGTCTCACAGCTCACGGTGTGGCTAGGGCTCTCCGGCGTATGCCATCCCCACGCGGCGAGTATGGCGTCGTCCAATGCAAAGGCGCCGCTAGGAGCAAGCTCGGCCGCGAGATGGACAAGTAGTGAGCGCTTGCGGGTGTGGCGCTCACGGAGAACCTCGCGATGGACGGCGGCCATAGTGGCAGAACACCAGGTGCGGAGTTTGACGCGCGACGGGCGGCGCGGCAGCTTGGATCCGGTACCACTGGGCGTCTGCAGCGAGTTGACTGCCCGTGTCCGCGCCGCAAACTCGACCGACCGCTCAACAGTCAGTGGGTCAAACGCGTGCCAGGCGTCGAGAATGGCGCCTGCGTGACTCCGCCACGAGCTGCCCCGGAACGGTTGCAAGAGCTGGTAGAGAAAGGCCGCCCGGGCCTCGGCCTCGTGGGTCCGCTCCTCCCGCGAGTGGACCGGTGCAATCGAGGGCTGGTAACTGGCCGGCACGAGGCCGATCCACAGAAATCGTAGCAGCTGGAGGTTAACCGAGGCTTCGATCCGCGCCACCAGCGTCTGGGCGAGCCTCCGCTGGTCCATGCCGGTCAGGAGCCACGGCAGAGCGCCGCGGACAATCTCGGGCGGTGGTGCGAGCGAGAGAGTACCTTCGCGGTGATCTGACACATCGAGCGGGATGGCGGCTCCGATGGTGTCGTCGGCGCTCTCGTCCGAGCTAAGGCACGAGCCTGGCACGCCGAAGGTATCGTCCAGGTCGAAGACGCCGGCCTCGAGCGGCTGGATGAGCGACCATTCGGGCATGTCGTCAAAGGCAAAGAGCTGATGCGAGGTGTCCTGGCTTACGCGAGGCGAGGACTCGCGCTGACAGCCGGCTGGCAGCTGTGGGACGAGGAGCGGCTGCGAGCGGGCATGCGAGGCGACCGATGCGGTGCTCAAAGTCGGCGGAAGGTTGCCGCGATAGGTGCTCGCCGGCATGACAAGCTGTCCCGGGCCAATGTTCTCCTTCTCCACAAGCAAGTGGATGCCTTCGGGCGAGTCGTTCTGCAGGCTGGCGAGCGTTGCAGTCAGCGCGAGACTGGGGGCGGGAGCCAGTTTACCATCTTTTCCGGTTTCACGACCTTTTTCTGCGAGCGAGCCCACGTTGCCGTCCCACACCGACGGGCATTCTGGCGGCGACCATGCAGTGAACAACGTTTTCACTGGCGACGAGGGTGGCAGCAGTGCGTGGGTCTTGTGCCGGAGAATGTTGTTGGTCTTGGTCGGTGTCGTCGACTCCCAGGGCTTGGACTCCATGGCGATCGGCCGAGACGAGTGGCGACGCGCGTGCTGGTTGGTGAGCGACGACACTTTTGCGCGTGAAATGAGGCCAAAAGCGCGCGAATGCAAGTGTCGTCTGTTCTCATCCGCTGCTGGCGGCTGGGCCGTCGCTGCTGCTTGCGCGAGCGGCGTCAGCATCGGGGTCGGCAGGAATAAGAATTGGCGCTTGGTTGCGGTGGGTAATGTGGATGATAGCCGGTTGCTGGAGCCACGGCTCGCCGTCGATCTGGACCGGGTGAGCGGTGTCGTCGAGCCAGCGGATCTCGAGCGACGAGGCTTGGGCCAGCTTGGTTGCCGACCCAACGCCGGCCTGGATGCGGCCGAGGTGTGCCGACGATGTGACGGCGAGCACTTCGAGCTTGCCATCAGAAAACGACGATGGGCGGACCTTGTCGCGCCAGAGATTGATGCCGCCGCCGTACGACGGGATGTTGACGATGATGATGGCCTGAGCATGCGGGAGCGTGACCCGCTCGCCGTCCGCCCACAGCGCGATCGAGGTGGAGAGCTCCGGCGAGGCTGAGATGGCGGCCTTGGTGCCCTCCTTGGCGTAGCGGATCTTGTTGCCGGTTCGCGAGGTAAAGGCGCCTGGGTTAGCCTCGCGCGCGGTGTGAAAGGCGAGGGCAACACGGGCGTCGACACCGATGGAAAAGTAGTTGTTGATGACAGTGAGCGGTGGGCCATCGACTTCAAAGTTGTTGTCCATGAGCGAGACCACCACGTTCCAGCGATCGAGGCTGGCGTTTTTGGCGGTGAGCACGCTGTCGAGGATCGGACGGAGCGGCTTGCCGGCATAGCCAGGGCCCCAACCGGTGGCCCGCGCGAGGTCGTTGCCGGTCCCGAGTGGGAGGATGGCGACTGGCGGGCGGGTCGTCGGCAGATCGCCCATCTCGATCATGTCGTCGAGGACGGCAAGGATCCAGCCAATGGTTCCGTCGCCGCCAGCACCGAGAATGCGGAAGGGTGTCGAGTCGCAGGCGACAGCAAAGCGGGCGATGTGGGCACGCGGACCACCATCGACGGCCATGTCACACACTTGGGTCGGCTGGAGGGCACCGCAGAGTCCTCCCAGCAGGGACCGGCCTTGCTGGCCGCCGCTTCGAGTGTTGACCAGGACAAGCAGCGGCATATCACCGCCTGGAAGCAGCGCGGCAAGCGGGCCGCGACTGCAAGTTAGCGCCTTGGCCAGCGGCATCTTGGCCATACACGCCGAGTGGAGCGCAGCATCGCACCACACGCAGTGAAAGCCGGTCAATGATTTGGCCGACTTGGTCGACTTGAGGCAGACGATGCAGCCTGCGGCATCGGCATAGCCTGGCACGTTGCCCTCGATCCACTGATGGGCGCCATCAGCAGGCTGGACCTCGCTCTTGCAAGGGGCCACGCTCCAGACAGCAGGAGTGGCCCGTTTCGCACACTTGGCGTGGACAACCATGGCGCATGTGAGGCACCGTAGGCCTTGCTTGCCAACTCCGTACAGCATCTTTCGGCAGATACGGCAATATGCCGGCGATGAGAAGTGATGGGCATCAAAGACGTGGCCAGCAGCTGCGACATCGATTCCTGCGTCGGGTGCGAGATCGAGGTCGTGATCGGCATCGCTGTCAGTCTCCTGTCCGCAAGCATCGGCGCCTGCAACAACCTTCACAGCCGCCGGCAGGCAGAGAGAGGCAATGGCATCTACGCATTCAGCATGTGCATGCATGCCGCATGCTGTGCAAGTGTGTCCTTGATGGTAGAGACCCTTGAGAAGCTTTGTGCAGTGCCCGCACCAAGCTGTGGGCGGCTCGAACGGTGAGTTGTGGCCGCCACCCAGGTGAAGGCGGTGGTAGGCAAGGCGGCGAACGTACTGGGGGTGTTGAACTGGGCGACTTTGAAGGTGTGGGGAGGGCTTTGGGAGGCTGCCATGAGTGGAGAGGTGTACAATTACAGGCGCATATTACTCGGCGCGAGCAGAGGCGGTCGAGCCAGACTTGCGAAGGGTGGTGATAGCCGAGTAGAGGAAGGCGTGAAGGCCGTCGAGGCCGCGTTCGCGGAGGTAGTCCAGGTACTCGGCCCGGCGGTTGCCGTCATTGGTGTTCTCGATGGATGCGAGGTCAGGGACGTCAAATCCTGGGCGGGCAGAGTCCGAGGCGGCGAGGGCGAGATAGTCTGCGGCGAAGCCTGTGCAAGAGAGGTTGGAGGCCATGGAGAGGGCAAAGCGCGAGGCGTCGTGAGTGGCGAGAGCGTCGATGAGCTCGTCCGGGACGTCGAACAGCTGGGTCTGTTGCGGCTGCAAAAAGGCGTTGCCGCGGTAGAAGACGTTGGTAGCGTCGACGATGTAGGCATTGATGAGCAGGGCGCGCTCGGCGACCGACGGGTCAAAGTCGATGCGTGCGGCGTTGGCTGCGCGGTCGCGGGCGAGGCGCGGGTACTCAGCCTTGATGATGGCAAGGACTCCTGCGATACGCGAGGTGGAGAGCGCAGCCGGCGAGAGGAGGCACGGGTAGACGATGCCCGGCGAGGGAACCCAGAGGAAGGGGAGGCGGAGGTCTGTGAGGGCGGTGGCGTACTGCTCGAAAAAGGCGAGGACGGCGTCCTCGAGCGCCGAGTGCGAGTTTGCGAGGGCGAGGGCGCGTGCGGCAGATTTGTCGACCCAGGCGAGAAGTTGGTACATGGAGAGCCAGTAGTTGGCGCCGATGTCAAGACCCTCAAAGATAAAGCCCGGGACGGGGACGGTGGGCGGCGGGTCAGAGCCGGAAGCGTCAGCGGCGGCGATGGCTGTGGCAACAGCGGCGGCGTGGGAGTCCCAGTCTGTGGCGAACCAGCGGAAGAGCATTGTCTTGAGGGCGTTGAGGACAGCGACCTGAAAGGCGACGCCCGATGCGACAAAGAGCTGCGAGAGCGGGATGAGGAAGCCGGTGTAGAGCGCGTCCCATGGGAGCGGGCGGAGGTAGGTTACAAGATCGAGGACGACGTCGGCGGCGTGAACACCGTTCCAGTCGGGGAGGAACGAGCCGAGCCAGACCTCGAGCACGGGCGGTAGCTCCTTGAAGAAGCGGGCAAAGTCGCGGACGGCCTCCAGCAGCTGGAGCGCCATCGGCCGCAGCGGCGAGGCGCCCCATCCAAGCTCGGCCTCAAGGCGCGCAGCGAGCCAGTGCGAGATGCGGGCGAGCGCGCCCGGCGTCGGGTCGAGGCTCACCAGATGCTGCAGCGAGCGCTCGGAGAAGACAGTAGCGAGCTGCTTGGGAAGCTTGATGGTGTCAAGCTGGGAGACGAGGTCATCGATGGAGGAGACCTGGTCGAGGGCGAGGGCCGACTCGCCCAGGCGAGGGCGGACTGGGCGGGAAGCGAGGTGGCGAGCGGCGGGATGAGGACTTCGGCGGAGAGGAGCTTACGCTTCTTGCGGCCACGGCGGCCGCGCGGGCGCATCGGGTCCGGGCGAGCCCACGAGTCGAGAGCGCGCTTGGTCTGGGTCCTTGTCCCATGCGGGAGCGCAGCCTGGGCGGCATATGCTTGAGCGGCCAGCTCGGCTGCAGGGCGGGCGTCCTGGACGGCGCGCATGGCACGGAGCCACGGGCCGTGCGGAGCCTTGAACGACGGCTTGAAGCCGTAGGGACGGGCGATGGGGACCAGTTCAGGTGTGTAGTCCTTGTAGACCATGAGGAGAGCAATAAGAGCCGGCTCCTTGGCGACTACCTGGCGCTTGTAGATGGAGAAGAGCTTGCGGACCCGGAAGGGGACGACGTCCTCGCGCCGGGTGAGGAGCGAAAGGAGGTGGCAGACCCAGGGACGGAGCGAGTCGTACGCCACAAAGTGGAAGAGGGCGCCGTATAGCGAGTGCATGACGTCGTAGCCGTCAAACGAGTCAAAGACGAGGACCATCCACATGAAGATGATGGAGCGGATGCCCGGCGAGCGCGGCTGGGCGATGCCAAGGAGCATGACAGCGACCGACTGCGGGACGACCGACGCCGGGAGTAGCGCATGGATGATGTGGCGGGCGGTGACGTCTTTGATGGCGTCGATGTTGTCTACGTAGAACGAAGCGATGGTCTCGAGCGCGTCAGGTTCGAGGCCCGAGCGCCATGCTCGGGCCTTGAGCTCTTTGGCGATGGTGGCGACCACGGCCTGCTCGTCGAGGCCACCCTGCATGGGCGACTTGGCCTCAAGCGCGACCAGCAGCGCAGGCGTCGACATGCTTGTGATCCGATCAATGAACGCTTGCTCGACCCGGGCCCGCGATCGGGGCGCCGGGAGGTTGGCAGCCTCAGCCTCGGCCGGGGTCAGCGGCACATTGCGTGGTGCGGCCTGCGACGGTCCTGCAGAGCCTGACAGCGGGGTAGTTATAGGCCGTCGTCTCACAAGGCTGTGCTTCTCAGCAGGTGTGGAGGGTGTGGTTATGTCCATGGGTGCTAGTGATGAGGGTGGGGGGAGGGCCGGCGGCGACGACGACGACGACATGGCGCGTGAATCTACCGGCGGGGTTGGGAAGGTTAAGGGGAAGCAAAGGTGTGGAGGGGGTGGAGTGGTAGGTGTGTATGAGAGAAAGAAGAGGAGGGAGGGTTGTGGAGAGGTGTGGGTGTGTTGCGTAGGGTGCGGTGCGTAGAGCGGGTGGTGGTGGTAGGTGTGGCGGGGGCGGAAAAGGGCTTCAAATGGCGCGAGCTGGTGACAGTGATCAGGCACACGGTTGATCAAGACGGCGGCGACGACGGCGAAAGAGGAAGCACTTGACCGAGTCTGTCTGTGGGTAGACCAAGGCATGAGCAAGGCCAAACGTGGGTTGTTGGCAACCAACCACCGACCAGACCTTCCGGGCAATGTGGGAATGCTTGTGGGAGGCGGGGTGCGGTCTTCGTCGAGTTGTGATGACTTTGGTGGCTTTGACTCGTCGGACGGTGGCGGCGAGGTCGGCGAGGGTATGGCTGGCCGCAGTGGCAACGGTGTGGAGATGCAGAATGATTGGAGCATTCCGAACGCAGCAGGAGCCACGACGACGTTGATTATTCTGGGAAGCATGAACATGCTCAATTATGTTGATCGATATGTTCCGTCTGCCACCAAGGAGCTGTTCAAGGCTGAGCTGGGGCTTACGGATGCCCAGTCTGCGCTCCCGCTCTCGGTCTTTATTGTTGTGTACATGTGTGCCAGCCCGCTGTTTGGCTATCTGGCCGACTCGGGCATGGATCGCCGGATGCTGCTCACAGTCGGGGTGGTCATCTGGTCTCTGGCGACGGCGGCTGGGGCGCTAGCGATTGGCTTCTGGACCTTTCTTCTTGCGAGAGCGCTTGTGGGCGTTGGCGAGGCTGCGTACGCGACGATTGCGCCGCCGCTGCTGGCAGACGTTTTTGCACCGGCGCGGCTGCCGCGGGCAATGGCGTTGTACAACATTGGTCTGCCGGTCGGCGCGGCCATTGGGTTTGTGGTTGGCGGCTCGGTTGGGCACAGACTCGGGTGGCGGTGGGCGTTTCTCATCTGCGGCTTGCCGGGTCTGGTTCTTGCGGCGTTCTTGTGGCGGATCCGCGACCCCGGCCGCGGCTACTTTGAGCGGCAGCGCAGTGCAGACTCGAGCGTGAGCGTGACCGGCAGTGCGAGTGAGGACGGCGGCGAGAGCGGCGAGGACAAAGTGACGCTGGTGACGGATGCACGACTCTCATTGCTGGGCGGGGGCGGCGGTAGCGAGGCCAGCGATGGGGGCGAGGCGAGTCAGGCAGGCGGTCGTGACGGCGAGACGGGCGTTCTCGTCCTGCCGTGGCTAACGGTGGCGGGCATGCTCGCGCGCAACGCGCGGTACTTGTTGACGATGCTCGGGCAGACGGCACTGACGTTTGGGGCGGGTGGAATGGCTGACTGGCTGCCAACGTTTCTGGTGCGATACCATGGGCTCACGCTCGAGACGGCAGGGCTTGTAGTGGGCGGGGTGACTGTGGTTGCGGGCATTTTCGGGACGCTCTCAGGAGCGCAGGCTGCAGTGTTTGCTGCGCCGCGGACAAAGAACGCCAACCTGGCGGTTTCTGGGCTGGCAATGGTGCCTGCGACGGCCGGAGTCTTTCTCGCACTTGTGCTTCCGTCGGCCGGGAGTGTGATTGCGCTGACGGCAGCGGCACAGTACTTTCTGTGGTTCTTCCAAGGCCCGTCCAACTCTGAGCTTGCGTCTGCGACGCCATCGCTGATTCGGTCGCGAGCGTTTGCGGTCTCGATCTTCTGCTCGCATGCACTGGGCGATGCGGCGTCGCCGCCGATCATCGGCTTGGTTTCCGACTCGGAGTCGTCGCTGCGGACTGCGCTGCTGCTTGTGCCTGTGGCGATGGCGGTGTCTGCGGTGCTGTGGCTGTGCGCGTGGCGCGGGCTGGGCAAGTTTGTGCCGCCCAAGACATACTGGCGGGCATGAGAGTGAGATAGAGAGAGTGTGAGGTGTTGTGTGCACAGAAAAGCGCAGCGCCTTTGACGTCAGGGAGGGCTGCCCTCTGCTGCGGAGAGTGAAATGCGGAGCGAGAGGTAATGGGCTGTTGATGGGTGGGGGGGGCTAAGCGATGGCCAAACTAGAGCGCCTCAACGCACGCGGCAAGCATGGAGAGGGCAATGAGGATGGATGCAACAGCGAGCGAGAGCGAGTCGCGAGTGGCGGCCGAGGTGGAAGATCCACCCTCGGCCTGGACCTCATACTCGTCAGACGAGGTAACGGCGGACGAGACCATGGCGGACGGCGAGTCGTTGGAGCGGGTCGAAGTGGAGGCTGCGCGCGGGATCTTGCACTCGAGGGTGACCGGGGCGACGCCGTCGGCGGAAGTGCGGGTGCAACGGGTGGAGCGGATGACCATGGTGCGGTACTTTTCGCAGACATCGTTGTTCTCGGCCTTGTCACAGTAGCGCTCGACGAGCTCGAAGATGATCTGGCGGACGTTGTTGGCCTTGAAGCGGCGGAGGACGTCGGCGCGGGTCGAGTTTCGCGAGTTGACGATGAAGCGGCGGAGGTCAAATGCGCGGCAGACAAACGGCTGGGCCTCGCCGTTGACGTCGCGTGGGCGGATGCAGATCTCCGAGTCGGTGCAGGTGGTGGTGCAGGTCGGCTCGGCCGGGCGGCACGAGGGGCAGCACGAGGTGGAGAGGAGGACGGGCTCCTCGCCCGAGGCACAGTCGCGAACAGTGGTGGCGCACTCGGCGACCGAGGTCAGATCGCAGAGAACCTGCGGGCGGCGGCATGAGCCGCAGCAGGCCTTCGACGGGTCAAAGACCGGGCGCTGGCCAGGCTCACACACCGGGCGGCGCTGCATGCATTTGCGGATGTTGTCTGCGGTGCAGGTGCCATCCGTACCAGGGCGATCGGTGCTGGGGTCCTCAATGCGGCAAGTCGGGCAGCATGTGGTCTCGTCAAAGGCAGGCGTCTCGCCGGAGCCACAGACACGGAGCTCGGCGAACGAGGACGCGCACGTCGCCGGGTTGCACGGCGGGCGCGGGCGGCAGGTGAGGCAGCAAAAGTTGGAGGCGTCCGGCTGCGGGAGGGTGCCAGTGGAGCAGACCGACGGCGCGCAGGTAGCGGTGGAGCAGTCGCGGTTCGACGGGATGCGGCAGCGCGGGCAGCCGGTGGTGACATCAATACCAGGGGCAAGCGTCGCCGAGCACTCGGGAACCGAGTCGAGGGCGGTGGACCGGTCGCAGATCGGCGGCCGCTTGCACGAGAGCGTGCACGAAGTCATGTTGACCATCGGCGGACGGTTCGGGCTGCAGATGGGCGAGGCCGGCTCGGTGATGCCGCTCTGGCACCGCGGGCTGCACGTCGGGCAGCAAGCGGGCGGATCGCCACGGATAGGTAGCTCGCCGGCACTGCACTCGCGCGGAGTCGAGCACGACGAGCTCTGGGCCGGATCGCAGGTGGTCGACCCGCCGCCGCCGCCCGACGGCGCCGGGCAGGTGTCGATGTTGTTTCCGCGCTTGACATCAGCGCAAGGAGGAGTGGTCCCCGACTGAAGCTGGTGGCACACACCTGCGCCGCCTGCAGCCTCTGGCGGGCACCAACCACAGGGGCGGGGACCGGATGTCGAGTCGCCCTGAGTTGCCGACTCTGCGCAGGCGCGGCAGTTGGCGTTACGGAACTCGGAGCGGCATTGAGCGACAATGCCTGCCGCCGCGGTCGAGACGAGCAGCGCAGCAATGGCTGCAAAGATGATGACCTTCATAATTGTTCTGTCCCGTGCCAATGGTGAGAGAGGGCCAGGCCTTGCAAGCGTGCGAGAGAAGGCAAGGGGGGGGGGGAAAAAAGGGAACGAGTAAGGAAAAAGTGCAAAGGGATAAAAAAATGTGAACTTTGCAAGTCAACAAGGTGGATTGGTTAGGGCGGGGGGCGGGTGGGGAGGGGGGGGGGGGAGAGTGTATATGGATGTGTGGGTGGGTGGGTGTGGGTGGGTGTGGGTGTTTGGGTGTGTGGGGCGTGCGTGAAAGGGAGAGGGGAGGGGGGGGGGGGGGGAGGTGCTTGCGTACATGTTGTGAAGAAGAGTCTGTTGTTGTCTGTCAACGTAGAGTTGTTCGGCAGGGTCGTGCGCGGGTATGCGGCTGGTTGAGGGAGAACAAGCGAAGGTGTTACTGCTGGTGGTGGTGGTGGTCATGATGGGGCGGCTGGGTCTGAGGCTGGGCCGAGGCCGGAACAAATACCGGATATTCGGGGAGCGACAGGCCTGGCAGGGCCGGCATCGGTGTGACGGTGGGTGCAGGAGCGGGTGCGGTAGGGGCTGCGGCAGGGGTTGCGGCAGGGGTTGCGGCAGGGGTTGCGGCGAGCGAGGCCGGGGTGGGCGCAAAGGCACCGCCCACCATCTGCTGATGATGCATCTGGTGCATCTGCTGCTGCTGCTGCCACTGCAGGTACTGCTGGTGCTGGAGCCACTGCTGGTGCTGGAGCCACTGCTGCTGTTGGGCCATGAGCTGGGCGTGAGACGGTACAGCGCCGACGGGCATCGCCGGCACGGCGGCGCCTGGGGCGGGAGCGGGGGGAGGGACGACGGCGGGAGCGGGAGCGGAAGCAGGAGCACTGCCCTGGATCAATGACAGCAGCATCTTCCCGGCCTGGTTGGCATCGACAGGTGCGCGCTGCGGCGGAGCCTGGATGCCGGGCGCCGGAGGAATCGGGATGGCCGACAGCGGAGTCTTGGCGCCGCCCTTCTTCTTGCGGTTGCGGTTACGGCGCTTCTTCTTGCCCTGACCCTGGCTCTGACCCTGGCTCTGACCCTGGCTCTGACCCTGGCTCTGACCCTGGCCCTGACCCTGGCTCTGACCCTGGCCCTGACCCTGGCCCTGACCCTGGCTCTGGTTCTGCGGCTGTGCCAGCGATTGCGGCTTCTGAGCCTGCTGCTGGCCAGCGGGGTGGGCAGCCGGTGCACCCTGCTGCTTGCCACCACTGCGCGAAGACTGGCCTGACGAACGGCGCTGGTTGTTGGACCGCTTGCCTCGGCCGCCACCACCACCACCACCACCGCCGCCGCCGCCGCGCGAACGCGACGGGCCCGCACTCGCAGCAGGCGACGGAGTGGCGGCCCGGCGCGAGGAGAGGTTGACGAGGACGCCGAGTGGGACAGACATGCCGCGCTGGTGCGAGACAAGGCCGCCAAGCGAGACGCCACCTAGCATCGGCTTGTCGAGAAGAACCTTGATCGACTCGTCGTCGACACCAACGACGACGCCGCGGACGCCAAACGGCATCTTACCAGCGGGCGCGACCGAGACGACGCGGTCGCCGATGGCAAACGAGGTCGTGTTGGCGTTGGCCGGCGGAATCCATCCAGTCTCCTCGCGGGCAAAAACATCGGCATACGAGACAGTGACCTCGGTGGGCTCAGATGTCTTGGCGTCGGCAGCCTTGACCTGCTTGTCGAGCGCGCGCTCGAGGTTGGCCACAACATCGGGCGCGGCGACTTGGGTGGTGACCGGGACCATCGGCGCCTTCCAGAACGGCTGCTGTCGGAACCAGGCCTCGATCTCCTTGACGTACCCGATACCGCCCTCGTTGGCAAAGAGCTTGTTGGCATCAAACTTGTCGAGACGCGAGTTCTTCTCGAGCACCTTGAACACCGCCGGGAACTTGGCCTTGTACTCTTTGAGCAGCGCGACAGCGAGCGGCGAGTAGAACCAGTCGAACCGCTTCGACTTGGCGTCCCACATTTCCTCGACGTAGCCGAGTCGCTTGAGCCGTTTCGAGTTGAGCTTGAGCTTGAGCCCAAGGTTGCCGCGACCGGGCTCGACAAAGACGAGGCCCATGAGGCGGGCGAGGGCGCCGAACGAGGTCTTAACCTTCTTCGCCATCGCACCCATGGTGATAAAGCCGGTGTTGGTGGCCGAGGAGTTGAGCACGCCGGCACCAACATTCGCCACGTTCTTGGGGCCGGTCATGGAGACAACAACCTTGCCCTTGGCGTCGGGCGCAGGCCCGACGACAATGCCCGACGAGCCGTAGTACTCGACGGCCTTGCCCTTGGGCAGGTGGACCACGAGCTGACCAGCCGGGTGGCGCTCCGCCGGCGGCACGGCGTTGCGGGTGGCAAACCGCGGGTCGCCAGCGCGGCCCTCGCCGTGAGCAAGGTCGTCCGGGCGGACAATGAGCGAGAGCGGAATCTTCTCCCGCACCTGCGCGTACTGGACTGAGGTGGCACCAGTCTTGGACGAGCGAAGCAGGCGTTCGGCGCGCTGCACAACGACAAAGACACCGACGCCGCGGCGGCCATCGTCTGGGTTCGAGACCTCGATAGCCTTCTGGAAGTAGTAGTCGCCAGCAGATGAGGCGTAGTCGCGGACAAAGCCTGAAGCCTCGGCCTTGGAAAAGGCGCGGTACTTGCCGGCAGCGTTGATGGCGCCATGCGGCGCCTCGAGGCCGACGACTCGGGCCTGGAACAAGTACGGCGCATCAACGTAGACCACCGTCGAGAGCAGGGTCGACGCGAGGTTCGAGAGCGCAGCAGCGTCGGCCTCGGCCACGTCCAGCTCGGCTTCAGTGTCGAGCTCGAGAACGAGCGACGGGTGCTTCGACGGGTAGTTGAAGACCTTGACCGGGACAGCGGTGAGTCGGGTCGAGACAATCGGCAGGTAGGCGAGCGAGGGAAAGAGAAACGGGCCAGCGGAACCAAGTGCCACGCCATCGGTCAGTCGCGACTGGTAGCGCACAATCTCTGGGAGCGAGTACGTCGCCACCGAAGTGTGGGTCTCGACAATGTCCGGCAGTCGCGCCGGGTATGGTGAGGTGTAGCCCTCGGTCACCGACGGGTCGTGCGCGTACAGCTTCTCGCTACCGTACGAGTTGCGGTGCAGCTCGGCAGCGGTGAGCGCCGACGCCGGAATCGAGTCGTGGGCAGCGACGAGTGAGGCTTCGTCGAGGAACGGGAGGAGGACGACACCCTCCCACTCGTTGCGCTTGCCGTTCATGTCGACATCAAAGTCCTCGGGGTACATGTCGATGATGGGCGAGTCGTCATCGGTCATCAGTCGCCGGTACGGCTCGGGGAGGAGCTGCGCCGAAGCGGCCGGCAGGACGGAGAGCAGCTGCTGGAATGGCTTGAACGGCGTCCCGAGCTCAAAGTGGAACTCGAGGTCGGCGAGGTCGCGCAAGTCGGACGTGATCGGCGCGTAGTGGTACGGGTAGAACCACGACCACGAAGCGACGCCGTGGTAGTAGTAGTGGAGGACCCAGAGTAGGCCCTCGATGTACGCCTCCTTCATCGCCTGTCGGTCGGCCTCGGCGTAGGTACCAAACTTGGACATGTAGTACGCCTGCTTCCACGCGTTCTTCTCCTCGGCGAGGTCGTCAGCAGCGGCTGCGGCGAGCACGGCAGCCTCGCCCGCGTCGAGCACCGCAGTGTCGGCGAGCGAGTCGGTGTTCGGGTCAAAGTAGACAACAACCTCGGCGTCCGAGCCGACGTCGTCGTCGTCGTCGTCGTCGCCGTCGTCAACGCCCATCGACGCGAGGTCAGCAGCAAGGAGCGAGGGCTTGGCAGCGCCGGTCTTGGCCTTGGCCTTAGTTTTCGGGCTGGCGCCCGGCTGCGGCGTAGAGGCCGAGGTGGTCCCAGAGCTAGCGGACGCGGTGGCGCCACGGCGGACAGCCTCGACGGCCGAGGCGTTTGCCGAGGCCGATGAGTCGGTGATGACACCATCGCCGGTGGAACGGGAGCCGACCTTGGCACCCTTGCCGCGGCCGCGGCCCTTGCCCTTGCCCTTGCCGGACTTGTGGCCCTTCCAAGCCTCGTCGACAATGGACGAGGCAAAGAGGTCGAGCTCGTACTCGGCAAGTTCGGCGACAAAGACCTCCATGCGGGCGAGATTGAGCTCGCCCGAGTTGTTGATGTAGCCGCCGAGAGTGGGGAGGACACGCTTGTAGGTGTTGAAGATGGTGTCGAGAGCGCCCTCGGCAATGTCGAGGAACGGAAGCGTGGGCAGAAAGTCGTTGCCGATGAGGAAGCAAATGAAGATCCAGTCGTCAATGATGCGCTCGACGTCAAACTCGAATGGGAGCTCGAGCTCCGAGTACTCAAACTCGAGGTACTCGCGGAGGAGCGCCAGCGAGAGGAACATGAACTTGTCCGAGCCACGCGAGTTGCCGCGGCCAAAGGTGACTTCCTCGCGGAGAAGCGCAAAGTGCGGCTCGTGGGTGAGGAGGCCGAGGAAGATGAGGTCTGCGTCCAGGCCGTACATGCAGTGGCGCACGTTCGGGTTGTAGCCCGGCTGCATCTTGGAGCGGCGGATGAACTCCATGATCTTGTGCTCGCCCTCGCCGGGCACCTCGTGGCCCGAAAGGATCACGTCCGGCACCTGCCAGTTGGCGTCGGTCTTGATCTTGCTCCGGATAAAGTACTCCAGGTACGCGGTCAGCCGCGCCATAAACTCGGTGCCCGGCGTAATGCAGTTGGAGTCAAACTGCTCCAGCTCGGCCAGCGCGGGGTTGACCTTCAGCTTCTTGGCGTACAGCACCTCACGCTCCTTGGCGGAGCGGAACCGGCGTGCACGCTGCTGGTTCATCTTGGCCCGCGGCGCCACGCCGTCGATGGCCATGAACAGCACCTTTTGCGGGCGGACAAGCTGAACAAGCCGGTCAAGGTACCGTCCGATGGCGGCAAACATCTCGTCCTCGGTCAGATGAAAGTTCGGATCGGTGTCGTCCGGATGGGTAGCGTTGTGCACAATGCCATTCATGTCAAAGTAGAGATTGTCTGGGATGTTGGAGAGGTGAGGAGATGCCGGCAGGAAGAGGAGGAAAGGGGGGAGATTACGGGCTGCAGGCCCCGAGAGAACGTGGAGAAAACCACAGAAGACCACGTAGAAGAGACCACACAGGGCAAGTTACAGCAAGTACGTACCAAAGACCGGATTGTGATCAGCATTGGTGATGAACGAGTTGATGAGAGCATACCGCTCCGAGACAAAGCGGTAGAACTTGGGCACCTGCTCGCGGTGACGGTGAGCCGGTTGGGGGTGGGGGGGGGGGGGGGGGGGGGGTGGGGGCTGAGTGTGGGGGGC